ATAACGAGAAATCTCTCCCACATTTATTGTGAATACAGCAAAAATGTAGTATATGTGGTAGTAATTATAATAGTCAGCAGCCGGTTGTACGAACGTGTCATTAGTCTAATGAGTCATTAAGTCTTCCTTAGCCTAATGCATCATAAAGGCTTAATGAAGACTTAATGACCCATTAGGCTAATGCCACGTTCGTACAACCGGCTGCAGTACAGTATACATATATGTAATACTTATTTTTAACCAGCAGCTCGTAACTATTGTAATTTTTTATGCATACATGCTATTGTATAACGTCGGAAAAATAGTTGAAAATTGGCTATGAAGGGTTGCAAGCCAAAAACAGTTTTGTTCAATACAGTTATATTTCGTTAGTTTCATTTTTCACCTTATACTATGAAAACAAATGCCCCGATCTTGAAAAGTGATTCCTCCCTTGCGCAATGCTTGCTTTGGTACTTTCAACCGTGTTGTTTAAATTATCATCATCATTGGGTTGTTTATAAAAACTCCCAAATTCTCATTTCTATATAGAGGGCTAAAATTAGTCATCATCATCATTGGAGTCAAAAAATAAACATGTAAGCGTTGCAAACCTGCCTTTGAAACCTTCCAGAGATAGATTTAAAGAAAACTCAGAAAAACCTGCAACTACACCATTTAGAGACAGTCTTATAAGTATTTCGAACACCATTTCACTTTAAAGTTTGTTATCAATTCTTACAGTATAAAGCAACCAATAAACTACAAATTGACACTAAATGATCAGCTTTTAACTAATCTGAAGCCAGGCATACTTATCTATCATAAGATTTTCGGATTTATGATCCAAGATTATGATATTGAGAATTTTTTTTCCTGGAACCGGATTAATTCAAATACTAGTACAGTAGACGAATAACCAGTAAATGTCAATTATACATCAACAAAACAGACAAGATTACCAAACAGTCATCGAGTGGATGATGAGTCTTTTGTAGACGAAACGCGCGTCTGGCGCAAATACAAAATTTCATCCTAGTATCTATGACGAGTTTATCTTCAATCATTATATGGATAGTCATTGAAAAATCTTATAGTCTCCTAAATAAACCCACAGACACGACCGGATATCTCAAATCAACGCCAAAACCCATCATGTCCTCCTTTTCTAGTTTTCAATTATAAAACTATCATCCAATTAAACTAATCACAAGATTTTCATTTATCTCGAGAAACACAACCTTTCTTTGACTTATAATTTTAATTGCCCCCTTGTTGTCTTCTGAAATTTTCCATAAACTGAAACATCTCATAAGAGACATCAATAATCAGTTATTACTGTATTAATATTTGTGTCTTTTCAAACTTTTTATTTTGCTATATGTATATAAAAATGAGGAAAAATGGAATGATTGCTAGTGAGATAACGACAACCACTGAATCACATGTTCCTGGCCATCCCTTTACCTCGGACAGTTGTGTAACAGCACAACATAAGAATTAACTTTTTAAAAAATCAGTTGGAAATTATGCTTGCTTACAATTTACCACTAACTGCAGATTTAGTGTTGAACGTTTGCTGGCCGTTGAAGTGAACCATTGTGCAAACTGGAAATATGCAGATTCCTTTGTTGAAATCCTGCTGTCTTGTAACAATTAAGAGCACTCATTTAAGATCAAAAGCTACAATTTCCATCTTATATGATTTATGTGTATGGATATAGAAAATTTCATGTTTGACTGCTGAAAACTTTGATAGAACTTCCGAACCCATTAACGCTAAATCGTTGAATTGATTGAACAGATTAATCAATATCGATTAACGTCAACATCACGTGATAATTCGACCACAAATATAATAAAGTTTATGAAATTGAAATGCCACAAACTACGACAACTTCAAAAAGACTTGTATTACTTTATAGTAAAAGGATTAGTTAATTTTTTTTCAATAATCTACTGACACAAACTAAATTAAATCATAAGATTAATTGCATGCTAAAAAGATAAACAAAAGTATGTTGGAACCCAGGAAAAGAGAATGAATTTAAAAATATTCAAGACATCAAAATGGGAAATCATAAAAGATCCAAGGATCCGATGTCTTGGATTTATTAATTATTTATTGTAACTTTCGCTAAAGGAAAATTATTAACAAATAAAAACCAAACTAAAACACATCAGCAACGAACACCCTTCGAACCAGTAAGCAATAACCGATAAAACGAATTTCTATTTTTTATTCATTTGCAATCTCTCCAATCATGTATTTGATCTTAATTTTCACGTTTGTTTCTGTAATGTTTTAGATGCAAGTACAAGTATCATTGTTTTTATATAGTTTTGATTAACTTTATATTATCGACTGAAAAAAAAAAGAAATATTGTCAATACTTATATTATAACAAAGGTTATGCTTTTCTAAGACTGTTTGTTTAATGACATCTTCAGACTCAATCCGTTGAAGGTGTACTACTTGATACTTACAATGTACCCTGGGAAACATCAACGGTTAGTTGTAATTGGGCTTTGAACTAGCTTTCAATAATTGTGAATATTCTTAAATCTAATCGATGATGAATAAGTAGTCTCAAATTTCAAAAATAAAATCAACGCTGGGGAATGTTAAAAAACTAAATGTTCACGCGTAAATATTAAATTTTCCTTTTAAGTCTTCAATGTATATTTGTCTGTTTCAATTTAGATTAAATGCTTGTATCATACCGTTTTATTGACAATTAAAAAAGTTTTAGACGATAAACAAAATAGTGAGTATCATCATTGTTCGCGTTGAAATTTAATTCTTTGTAAATATTTCAGGGTTAGACATTTGTATGTAACTGAACAATGATGACTTGATACAGCTTTGATGTGGACCATGATACTATTTTTTTTGTATTGAATAAATACCAGGGCACATTAGGATCAAATCTTTGTATTTGAAATTTAACTTCATAAAATATATATTTGATCCACGGTTTCGAGTCGCACTCTTTTAAATAAGATATTGAAATTTCTATACAGTCGTATTTGGTCTACTGTTTTCTGCGATTTTGAATTCCATAGATACTATCTATTTTATAGTGAAGGTGAATATGATGTCCCTAGTGTATGCGTTTGTATCTCACTTCTGTCAGGGAAATGATAGTCAGCATGTCTATTCAGTTAAACGCCATAAACTTATCAACCAAGCTTTCAAGGAATATAATAATTGTGTTCCAGTTAATAGTCATATGGTTAAAAGTTAAAAAGTAATTTCATATCCAAACACAGCACATTCTTATATTTATATACAGCTAAAAGTTAAAATTCTAAAAACATGTCGTCCTGAACATGCATGGAATATTTGTCAATGGACATTAAGCAACCAACAATCAATCAATCTAAAACACCATGTAGGATTTTTTCTCTTTCAATTCTGGATTGATACTAAAAATTATTATTCCGTTTACAGTTAAACTTGTATAGTTAAAAATCGCAGATACACTGCCAATTCATATAATTAGTACAGGTGTATCAAAGTTTAAAGCACAAATGTCCTTAGTGTTAGGAGCCTAAAGCGCCAACGTGAAGGAACAATTATGGCTAAACGTCACTTTAAAATCAACACAAAAGTCTAATAAGCCAGAAAAAAAGTACATCTATAGATATTAATGGTCTAAAACAAAAGACAAACACGTGTCTATACCTTACGATCTGATTCAGGACAAATGGACCAGTGAATGAATTTAACTACTGGATATTTCTTTGCAGCTACATTTTATAAAAGACAAAAAGTACTAATCTATAAACAAATACCACCACTTCTGAGGTTCTTGAACAAGGAAAATCAGTTGTCATTTGTTTTACATCTATCTTAATGCTTTCAGTCTTTTGGTAATTTTGTGTAAATGGAGATCTTTGATTGATGATGATACCCGATTAATTTATTCACAACTTTACTAAATTCTGAGCTCTATAAATATATAACACGTGTCTTTTGTTTGAGATCTTATGGAGACTTCTAAATGACTTTAGTACTTTGGGGTTTTGAAGTTTTTGGGTTGCTGTCTCATTGACGTATATCATATATATATTTCCTTTTATTCTTAATCAATTTACGTTTCAGAAGCTGCAAAAATTTACATAATATTTTATTAATTTTGACTTTTAATTGTATATCCAATAAACGCTGCACCTTCTATTCTAACTTCATATCTCTAATGTTATTATTGAAGCGAGAATTCAGTTTCCTTCCATGGCATTAAACTTGACAACAAAATGTCAATTAATCTTTCAAAAATGACAATTCGTAAAATCCAGTGCATGTAAAACAATTTAAGACGAATTAGGAATTACCAGTGTTGCAGAAAATGACGTATAAAATAGTAATTATTATTTGTATTTATGGAAATCAAATTTTACTTATGGGAACTGTAAATCATCTGCAACTGTCAAATCATTTCAAACACTATACATAACACATTTTCATTTATAGAACATCTTGTAAGCAAGTGAAAATTAGATAAAAAAAAAATTTCCATCCGACGGTTGTGCTAGAATTTAGTCAAATCTTTTGCCATCTCGTATTTAGTCAAATCTCTCTCTATTTCGCATTTAGTCAAATCTCTCTCTATCTCGTATTTAGTCAAATCTCTCTCTACCACGTATTTAGTCAAATTTTTCTCTATCTCGTATTTATTCATATCTCTCTCTATATCGTATTTAGTCAAATCTCTCATTATCTCGTATTTAGTCAAATCTCTCTCTTTCTCTCTTTCATATATTTTCTTAACTTGCATCTGCTCTTTTTGCATAACACTCACTTCGCAGCTGTTCCTAGCTTTAATATAACTCTCTTTTTATCTTAATAACTGAAAATCATGATCACTCCACCAACTGTTGATTGTATCCCTCAAATATGCTCTAGACTTCTTCATCTTCTCTTCAGTCTTTTCTTTCCATTCCATCAATATTGACTACCACTTTTTGCTGTATGTTCAGAATAAAGGCATACCTGAATTTTTTTTTATATTTCACAGATAGATAGCGAGTGTCCAAGAGTTTGCGACTGCCCATACAAACAGTTAAATTGTGAATATGGTGTACCACGTGTGATAGATGGATGTGGCTGTTGTCACATGTGTGCCCGACAATACGGTGACACGTGTAGTGTTATAGACAGGTGTGATACAGATAAAGGATTATACTGCGATCTTCTGCCTAATGCGCAGCATGGCATTTGTAAAGGTGAGAAATAATAAAAAAAAATCTGCTTAACGACTCGATCATATAACATCAAATCGTGACCGGTTGTGTATAAGTATCGTGAATGACGAGAATACTCCATCAATAATCAAACTAGAAACATGTGTATCTAGGTATTCACTATCAGATTGTTTCAAGGGTAATATTTCAGTGATAATCTATCATGATAGATAATGATACATATACATTTTTGTAATAGAAAACAAGATTGTGTCTCAGAAGCGCGCTACATATGGTAATAAATTAAAAAAAAAACACACGCAAATGTCATATTGCACTAGACCTGCAACATTTTAGTCAAAATCCAACAAACATTATCACAACTATTGCTTAATAAAAAAACCTAGTTCATTTGATCATGGTAATTCATAAATGGTGCATTTACTTTTTATATGTGCTTTCCAAAAATGAATGCTTGATGTAGGATTTCATTTTACTTCCCATACTTTCACTTCTTGCATTGCACATTCAGCAAAGAAAAAGGACAAAGGTTAAATACTTTAATGATATATTACAATTATGTAACATGCATTGTTCGTAGGATTTTTTTCATTACTGTAGTATTTTCTGATACGATATTGGTTGTTATTTTTGTGTTTGTACTTTTGGTCTTGTTATCGATTATACAGTAAATTATTTTGAAGTAAAGTGTTTTTTCTGTTCTGATTTTGTTCCACGTTCCTTGAACCTTTTCTTACTCCAAGGGTCGAGATTAAAAGGGGAGGATTCAGATTTAAATACCCTAGTTAATAATTAACCCCCACCACATATTCACGTGTCTATGTAGAATCAGGAACCCCGTCAGTTTTTGTTTTAAGTTTTTCCAATCTTGAGATAAGCCGTATGCTTGATGTAGGATTTCATTTTACTTCCCATACTTTCACTTCTTGCATTGCACATTCAGCAAAGAAAAAGGACAAAGGTTAAATACTTTAATGATATATTACAATTATGTAACATGCATTGTTCGTAGGATTTTTTTCATTACTGTAGTATTTTCTGATACGATATTGGTTGTTATTTTTGTGTTTGTACTTTTGGTCTTGTTATCGATTATACAGTAAATTATTTTGAAGTAAAGTGTTTTTTCTGTTCTGATTTTGTTCCACGTTCCTTGAACCTTTTCTTACTCCAAGGGTCGAGATTAAAAGGGGAGGATTCAGATTTAAATACCCTAGTTAATAATTAACCCCCACCACATATTCACGTGTCTATCTAGAATCAGGAACCCCGTCAGTTTTTGTTTTAAGTTTTTCCAATCTTGAGATAAGCCGTATGCAATTCATTTTTACAGTTTGTTCTTATGTTGTTCTGTTACACCAATGTGCCAAGTTATGGAGGGTTGAGCGCGTCAAACATGTTTAACCCCGCCACATATAGTAATTCAGTGGTTGTCGTTAGTTCATGTCTGTCATACTTGTTTTTCAAAAATTGTATTGTTCTTTATTAGGCAGATAATTTTGTCGTTGTTGAAGGCCATACAGTGATCTTTAATTGCTTATATATTCGTCATTTGAACTCTACTGAATAGTTGTCTCATTGGCAATCATACAATTTCTCCTTACATTTATACTGTTGCATGGTACCATCACGTAGTTGGTTCAAAAAGGATATAGCACACTTCTAAACATTCCCTAAACATATAGACCTACAGGTTCCACTACACTTATAGAAGCAGCAATTTTTCAAAATATAACGTGGTATCAAGAATTAATGGACCATTATTTTTACAGAAATTATATAGACTACAAAATGAAATACTTGAGAAATTTTATTATAAATGGGACAGGACACATGTATTTATACCAAGCTGAACAACCTTTTATTGTCGGAATTCACACCTCATGCAATCGTTATCTTGAAAAGCCCTATACTGAGTCATGTCGCTTATTGGGCAAACAATACTTTTGTGGAACAACTTTCTCAATCCATACCGCCATAAACTACATCATATGGATTTGTCTATAGACCGCTCTGTTACGAACCAGTACAATTCTATTCAGGAAGACTTCCTTCTATAAATGGATGAAATAAAAAAAAGGAAAATCAAAGCTTTTATTTCCAATAAATGATCTATATTAACATCACATTGTTTTGCTTTAGCCGGTTTATGTCAGAAATGACCTCTGATGATACGAAGTCAATTTAGTTAAGCAGACTGTTTATGGTATAACAGTGCAATAAAAAGGATATAAAACTGGATACATTGATTTGTTTATTTTGTTTTGTTTTCATAGATTTTGAATCGGGCGACATTTCAGGGCCAACTGTAACAACTTTTGTTCCTCTCCATTATTGATTTGAGAATCATTTTGAATATGTTTTTAAAAATTATCAAAGATATCGTATTTCAGGAAAAGACACAGAAAAATACGTGATAGTCTTAACGATTGCATGCGAAGCTCGTTTTTGCATTAAACAATATCAAATACCGTCTAGACCAACATTACGGAACGTTGAATAGATAAGAACCATTATTAGTTTAAGAGTAACAAAAGTCACGCACAAAACATGAAAAAGTAGTATCATGAAGAAACATATAATAAAACCAAGACTGAATTGTATTTTTACTGAAATCATATGATCAGTACCCTAGCTTATTTTTCCTTAATAGTTATACATTTTTGGCAGTTGATTTAGATAGAAGATACAAACGAGAACCATGCAAGTAGGAGTATATATAAAATTACATTGATGACAATAAGATACTAACAAGAAAACAAGTACAAACACTACTTAAAGTAAGAATATGCAACAAATGAAAATATAGTAAAAACTGAGGTACCAGATATAGTGACCATCAGATATTATACTATATATAATATATTTATAGAAACAAACTTTTCAAAGGTTTAAACTGTAAAGTGAAACCCTAGTTTTCGTGATATATCTACACTCAAATTATAGTCAGTGCCGATAGAACCAGTGTACATATTGAAGACGAACATTAAACCACCAGTATTTCAGTTGGTTTTTTTCAGTGTAGAACAATGATATTAATATGATGCAAGGTCATTTATCAATTCCAAATAATTTATCAATTTATCTGACATGAAGTTTACCATGTAGCAAAAGACAGTGTCTTCATATGGCACTATATTACCTTTGTGGCTGTAAATACTGAACAATTATCAATGAATTTACAATCGATTCGCCGTGTTTGTCTCATAATTCTAAGATAAATATTGATCAAACACCAGATCATAAGGGAATATGAAGTAAGTGTATCAACACAGATTATGTTTACAGAATTGACTTGTCTTACAGGTTTTCTTTAGTTCTTGCATAGATATAATAGCTATTATATCTATGATTCTTGTAATGATTTGCCAGTGAAATGAAATGGTTGTTTAAACAATTCCATACAACTATTGTATTATTTGGAATTTGAAGAGCTATTACTGTGGTGTTGAAACCATTAGTAGTTACTGTACAGAGACGTCTGTTTTATTATGACAATACAACTACAAATTTAAAACGTTTTAGATCATTTTCATACAATTATACAATTATGTGTAGAAACTAACAATCGGTATTGAAAACGCATTTTTAGTTTTAATTTACTTCCTAGAAAATAAATGTCATCAAACATATGCCACGGTATTTTAGCCATTTAAAAATTGCATTGAAATCAAATTATATACAGTTTGAAGAGAGATCTCCCCTGTGAATTTTAATTATCAGAAGAACGTTAATTGCATTGTACTTCGTTATCTGTTTGTTAACACGAGTAAACTGTACTGTGTTTGAAACGCAATTAAAAATATCTTGAAAATAACATCACTTTGAGATACATGTGGTACAATTTAAAACGAGCATGTTATTCTTTTCAGCTAATACTCCAAAAGCATGTGTGATCAATGGCAAAAGTTATAATGATGGCGACACGTTTTATCTTAACAATAATTGTAGAAATCGTTGCACTTGTCAAAATGGACATTATGGTTGCGTTGACTTGTGTCCTCAAGAGTACCGGAAGCCGTCTATGATATTTTGCCCCAATGCCGAATTGATGGCTGTGAGAGGACAATGTTGTAAAGAATGGAGCTGTTTGAAACCAAATAAAACAGAGTCTAACAAAATACCAAGACACGTTACAAACAATTACAAAATACGCCCGCAAAATAATCCAACATGGGGTAAGAAACTTATTTACATGCGATTCTAGTTCCTGTCAATATAATACTTCCATGCTAAAACAAACTAGAATACATATACAGTTGTCTCAATATACACAATGTAAAATTAAAAATCTAGTGTACGCAATGCAAATAAAAGTGTACGCAAATAAAAGTCCATCTCTAATTTGAGAAGCATCATTTTTACATATGATAACATTTTATATCTTAGGTTACGATTACTTTAAAAATGCATAACTAATCTTTCTCAAGATTCATTGATTGACAAGGAAGGTTGTTGGTTCTCTCCATAATTTTTATGTCATTTCATTTTTTAAAGACTTTGGCATTTTCAAAGTGAATCTGTTATCCTTGCATTGTCGTCGTTGTATACCTATTTAATAAAGCTGTAGACTTATATCTATTTATTTAGATAAGTGTATTATGTTTGTTCATTTGTTCATCTATCTCACTCATTTCATTTCATATGTATGTTATGCATGTATGAATTACAGAACTGAACCATGGCGAACATGGAACAAACCATGACATTACTTTACCTAACCATGACACTGAAATTTCATAAATATTCAAATCATTTTCAAAAGTGGCGATTTTTTTCAGAATTATAGTTAAAAGCAATTGTAAACTATAATCAACAATATGTTGATGCACGCCGAAAAGAATTTTTTGTTTATGTGTGACTTACAATAGCCCAACTCTAAAAGTTGTCGTACGCGAGCGTTTATTTACTGTTATATCTTTCATATTATTATCTTTTAAATAAAATAAATTGCAATCATAATAGATATAAACAAAGCTACGAAATTTATCTCTATATAGATATAAGAAGATGTGGTATGAGTGCCAATGAGACAACTCTCCATCCAAGTCAAAATTTATAAAAGTAAACCATTATAGGTCAAAGTACGGTCTTCAACACGGAGCCTTGGCTCACACCGAACAGCAAGCTATAAAGGGCCCCAAAAATTACCAGTGTAAAACCATTCAAACGGGAAAACCAACGGTCTAATCTATATAAAAAACGAGAAACGAGAAACACTACTGAACATCAGATTCCTGACTTAGGACAGGTGCAAACAATTGCAGCAAGTTTAAACGTTTTAATGGTACCAAATCTTCGCCCTTTTTCTGAAACAATAGTGTAACATCACAACATAGAAAGACACACTATAAAATATTAACTGAAATGTCTTTACTCAATCAAAGGACATATTAACACCAGTGAACATACACTGAACAAATAAATTTGACCTATGATACAATGTAAATACAAAATAAATAAACTAAGGGAAGAATAATAAAAGTAACATGTTATACCGCCATGAAATGTTAAACAATTTAAGAAAAACAATATGCTCGAACAAAAATATCAGCCATTTGCATTTACTTTAAACACAGGTAAATGAAAATAATTTTGTTGTTAGGTATACGTGTACAGTTCAAATAGAGAAAGGAAATATTTTTACAAAAGAAATAATTTTGATGTTCATAGTACGAAGTGAAAATTCATATTAATACCAAACACTTATCAAAGCTGGTATATAGACCAGATATAACCTTTAATAACATTAAGTAACAAAAAATCATTACAATTAGTATCAACAGGTCAAATAAACAAGAAAGTACGATTTGAGAGTACTCGCAGTTACTGACAGCTAGTTAAAAGCCAAAAACAATTAATAATAAAAACATCATGCATCAGAGACTAAAATCAACTAAAACACATCCCACGGATTTAGTATATTAACGTCATGGACAGTCAAAGAAGACATGACTTGTGCAATGCCAAAAATAAATGTATCGACAGGCAGTAGGATAGTTAGAAGTTTAACCTCTTTATAGATAAAAATGAATGTGGGTGTGTCTTTATACATCCCGTTTGAAAAGAATACAAATTTAGTTATGTTTTAATTTGCTGATGACAAAATCGATATTAGTGCCAGTGTAAACTATTATATTCAAAGATCTAATTACAACATTGGTAAGATAACCTTTACTAACTTCTTTGAGGAGAAAATCCAATGTTTACATTTAAGTTTAACAGTATCTATTATTGAAATATTATAACAATATAATAGTACATACATTTTACAAGCAGTCAAATATTGGAATCGGAAACAAGTTTGAAAATTTTTTAAAACTTATAAATTCGTAAAAAAATCAAGGTCGAACTCATGAACGTTGGAAGTGTTGAAGTTCCAGCTCCCTCGTGTTTTGTTAAATACTTGTTGATAAGCTTTTAAGACCAGTGATAAGGTATTGTACGCATCGAGTCGGCAAATATCTAACCTAAAGCACTACCAAATTTATTGCCGATCAGCCCATGTAAATTATCTATCCCTTACACAAAACCGAATGTGAAAATTTAAAACATGAAATGTCCCAATGACAAATTATTGACATTACATGTAAATTATATACAGCAGTATCTAAAGTAAAACATCATAGCATACGATACAGAATATTAGAGCAACAGCAACACGAACCCCTTTAAAGACTTAGGTGTTTCGGAAGGACAAGAAATTCCTCCACCATTGTTACAATCAGACGTGAAACATACAAATTTCAATATTTTGGACTAAATGAAATAAGAGAGAATTTTGTCAGTAAACTTGAGTAATTTCAAAGGTTTTCAAATATGTATATACCGGTATGTGTTTCTCTCTATATTTTTGTATCTCTCTTTATTTTAAGTTGAAGAATCTAAACAACTAAATGAAGTGATACACACTGGTGTCACTGACTGTTCCCTAAACGAAACAAAATGGAGCCAATGTTCAGTCACATGTGGTGTAGGAATATCTGTTCGTATGGCACCAAAGCACTGCAGGCGGAAGGAAGACACAAGGTTGTGTTATTTACGCCCATGTGGAACAGTATTGTATAGTAATGATGTAAGTTTGTACTACATGTACATCCCTTAAATATGAAGTCAAAGCTCCTGAAAATATGGCATAGTATTTGAGTAATAAGAAAAACATTTTTAGAAATGTTTAAAAGTAAATGTCAAATGAAAAGGAGTGTACTTTTAAAACGGTTACTCCAACTAAAGACAACGGACCAAGGTAGCTTTTAAACGTATCATGTTATGATTTTGAATGAAATTCAGGCTTCAGAAATAAAAAATAAAAAAAAAATGATTTATTCTTTTTTTTTTTTTTAATTAAAGCAAAATTTATAGTCCTTTGATTAGTTCTAACTATACAGTAGCAAACTATCGTTTGGATAACATACTTGAAGTTTATGTTTATATGATGCTTTGACATTTAAGAAGTCGTGTAGATACATTCAATGTTCATTTGCAAATTTTAACTTATTACAATTTTTTCAATTGTCTTCGTGACTATAGTTTACACGTATGTTTGATTTTTGTTTGTACGTGTAATTAGTTAGTACCAAAAACTACTGAAATCTTGCTTGTTCCTGACCTTTACGGTATGAATAAAATAATATGGATTTCGACAGAAGTCCCTTAAGATCTCTAAAAACTAGTTGTTAAGATAAACAGAAATACTATAGAAACCTACATGATATTGTTTGTACTTAATCAATGAAGTAAAGCCACGGATTCTATTTCATTTATTACAATGGATATTGTATCTTAATATTCAATTAAGAATGAACATTCACATTCAATAATTGAATTTGTCGTAGGTTAAATTAAGGTCTATTTTTTCTTATTCTATCACATTATTTATTCAGGATGTCTTGTTAAATTACGTTAAAAATTCCAATTACCAGCCAGAAATCAGATTAAAAGTAGAAATGTCGTACAATTTGGCGAGGTTTGATGTATTTTCGAGGATCCGTCTAAATAAAAGAGTTGTACGATAAAATAAATTGAAAAATAGTCCCGAGTTTACAATCTTTTTAATTATATCATTGTGTTAGGGCAAATACCAATACATGACTTTTTTTGAATCAGCTCACTTTAAATTTCAAATCTATGTTAGCTTCTTATTATTGTTCACTTAGCGAAAAGAACTATATTTCGATTCCAATGATTTGGAGTAAAACTTGCGATATTATATAATTTATGTTTTGACTGCGGTCTAACCAATATATATATTTTTTTCTGGTAGCGTATATCTAACAAGTAAAAGTGTGAACAATGAAATCCTTATTCAATATTATAGATTGTCTGCTCATTTTAAACCTATCTGTAAGATAGAAACATATTTCCACCATACTTGTCCATCTGGTTATCTTAATTTTCCTAGGTATTCTTAAATGCTTTGGATTTCCTTGCAACAATTTTAGCAATGCACTTATGAGGAATTTAACTTCAGCCCGCGGCAGACGAAACTTTTGAGTTTTGCAAAAAAATACTTTCATTCAAAAATCCCGAAATTAAAACATCCACTTAAAGAGACAGCAAGAATCCTTTGAAAGGATGTTTAGTACAGCATGACGGATGCAATCTGTAAAGGGTTAGTTTGTGATGGAGAATAATGATAACAGTAAAAAAATGTTTTTTTCTGACTGCATCGTTTATTCAACATAAAATATCGTTTCAAAGAACACAATGTTTGCATAGTGTGTTGCAGTCAGAACCACACTTTCTGGTATACTATAACAGCAATTTATATAGATTTTGAAAATGATGGTTTTCGGAAATGTAGCGATATACAATGTTGGACATTAGTTACTTGCATACATCTATAGAAGAATTATGACATTGTCAATGACTTTCAATGTGCATGGGACATTGGTCATTTTCTTTTCTTCTTCTTTTTTTTTAGCATGGGACGTTTTGATGACCAGTAAGGCGCCTTTTAAAAGAGAGAAACCTGTATACTCTACGTCAATGTAAACGCAATATTCCGTCTTTTATTAGTCTGTGTACAGTCCCGGATTAATACCAATGGCTTTCACATTTCACCCGACAATCCTCATATTGCAATTTTTCGTGAAAAACTAATTAATCCTATATATTGATAAACTTGGATGACTCAAAGTTGATAAAATCTACAATCATTGCTTAAACATCTGGTTATGTCACTGACTTTAAGGTTTTGAGTAGACATTCTAAAGTCGGTTATTAGATTGAGCTAGCTTGTATAACTAATAAAACTTAAAGAACATTCGAGAAGACGAGGCATATTATCTTGATATTTATTTCATTTGATAAATTGTGTTTGAAACTAAAACCATTGATGACTGTAATTAGTTTTTGTGGCTTTCATTCCTTACTTGACATTTCTTTTCATGGCAATGATTACTTCAGGATGAACTTTATCAGTGATCGAACATTTATTCTGTTAAATCTTTAAATTAGGTATTAGATAAAACTGTTGTTTATGATTAGTTCCTTTGGTTTTTTCTGAACGGAACCGGAAATTCGTTATTTGCGTCTAAAAGCATTCTATGTCCGCGTACAGTAATGAGTTTGTTCGTGCTATAAGGTTAACATACGATGCTACTTGTACAAACATTAGCAAACTTATGATGTATACGATAAATAGGTATACAATTAAATGTGGAAGTGGCATTAAATATTTCCTTGGTATGTTTTACGCATAGTTTTCACCCTACTAACGGCAATCTGTGTTCCTAATTGTAATTTAAAACAATTATTATTTGCTATCGTGTGCATCAGAGTTTTGTCTTCTGTTCCTATTTAAAGACACAATGGATTTTGCAATCGTGTACAATATATTTTGATCAGTATTACCTATTGCTGTACTGACGGCCCGTAGGGTGTGTTACAGCAGTATCAACGTATATAAATGAGTCTCCCTACGTATAGTTACATTGAGAGCTGGCATGTTAAGATTCGATTTGGCATTTTGGTCAAGTACAAAAGAATAGTATATTACTAGAAACTTATTGAATGCTAAGCATCCATCATTGAACCAAAAATTTTTAAAAATCTGATAATTTCATATCAAAATGTATCATGATAATTTTGTAACAGACGTTAGTGCTTAAAATTTATATTTTTTGAATTGGTAAACGGTGTTATGCATAGAAGTATATAACCTGTGACTTCTAGCATTTTTTGGTGTTTTGTCTGTCGATTATGATCGTAAGTTATACTGATATGTGCATGACGAGTATATATTCTTTCGATATCTTTTTATGGAATTGATCGCTGCTTAATATATAATACGTTTTTATTTCAGCGAAAGAAAAAATGTACGCCAACAACACGGATAACAAAGAAAGAACGAATTTCTTATAAAGACTGTCACAGTGTACGGGCGTACAGATTGAAGTTTTGTACTAATTGTAAAGAAAAACAATGTTGTTATCCAAAAAGAACAAAGACCAGAGAAATTGAGTTTCTCTGCAACGATGGACGTTATGAATACTTTAAGTATGCATGGATCAAAAGATGTAAATGTAGTAGGAGGTGTAAATAGATAACGTAAATACTTTTGGTGTCTGATATTTATTGAAATTAATATCTAGTAATTATATATACATGTACATTTGTATTATCTGGTTTGTCGTTTGATCTATGTGGTCATATAGGAAATGTGGTGTTTAAAGTGAAATATTTATTATTATCATAACACTTCCTTATTTGTGCAATATTTTTTTAATATAGGTTTAAAAAAAATTTAATGAAAAAAAAATTTCCTCTAAATACTATTTGGCTATGTATGACCCGTAATAGCATATAGTATGGAAAATCACCATCGATGGAATTTTTTTTTACGTTCAAAAATAAGAATATAAATAGATTAACAAATCGTTATTTTTATTATGGAATTCGATATTTTAACTGGAGACTATGAGTTTTATTTTATTTTCAATATATGATTCATATAGCTATATCAGGCTATATATATATACCTTTTAATGATAAGCAGTTGCAAAATTGGCTGCTATTCTTATAATTCTTATACGTTTATTATATAAGAAAAATAGGGAAATATTTTTATGTACATATACATTCTTAAAGACTAAAACTGTAATTGATATCTCAAATTAATGTTTTTATATCTGTTTCAGTAGTTTGCATATCATGTAAATATGTTATATTTTATACAATCATAGTTATAATTCTTGATTATTAACATATCAAGTTGTATTGTGTTCTGTATATATGCTTCGGCTATATTGGTTGTGGTCTGTGTTGTATGTCTAAATTGAACAAACGAAACGCAAAATTGCTTGACATGCATTGAGCATGTAACTAATTACATTTTTGATCTAAAACATTCAGTATTGTTATTTGATTAAAAAAGATAATTATATTTTTCTGTGTGTTTTGTGTACACTTTGCAAAAGTAAATGCTGCATTGTGCGAAAGCATGTAACTGACTCTCTCCAAAAGGTGAGTGCTTTGCATTATAACCGCAGTTACCTCCCCTTTTGCGGCATTTATCTCATGAAAAAATTAAAAGTAAGGAATCTTGCCAACATTTAAAAAATACAAATCTGATGAGTAAAGTCATTTTGTCTGTTTACAATTACATGATATAATAGTTGTTATAAAGTTAAAGCTGACAAATTGCTATCGTGGCGCAATGTTAAGTATTTTTTGTTTGTTACTTTGGTATAATTGCTAGTCGTTTATGGCGGATATCCTTTCTGAAATATTGTTATTATGTCATTCCTCTGCAGATGTCTGACCAACCAGCATTATAGAACCATGTCAAAGTACAAAATTATATGTTGGTTTGAAGTAGAAGTTGAATCTTTCTTGTCAATTGTAACTTCATTGTTAGAACACTGTAGTAAGATATCTCTCCGATGTACAAATTTATAAACTTCCTATTTCACATAATGTTAGTTTAAGTTTGATTCATAATTTTGTTATCTGAAGTTACTCTTGATCTCTTTGGCTATTCTATTTACTTGAAATGCCTTTAAGATTTTTATTTAGGGCATCAGGACCAAAATAAGGTCGAATTGACGACTTGCAAGAATAATTGTCTTGCAGGACAATTATATATCAGGGATGTTTTAGAGATTAATTTTACAAAATTGAACCAAATTGGCTGTTAATAGCGAATTATTATTTCTATATTCTCCTTTAATTAATGTTTGAAACAAAACAAAATCATATTTTATTTTTTTTTCTAAATCGTGGCTAATGGTCCTTTAATACATATCCCTATTAAGTTTCGTACCTAGATTTTGACTATTTAATATTGTCCACCTAGTTTGTTTAATTGTGCAGAACAGATTGTTAAAGACATACAAGTATGTAAAGTCATATGGTTTTCTTTGGAAGACAACCAAACACCGACACCTGTTAATGAATTTATTGCAATTATAGACTTTTAAATTGATCGGTTCAATAATAATAGTTGACTGGTCCAATTAATAGAAACAAAACCAAATTTACACGCTCTTGTTTAACTATTAAAAAGTTGTTAAATGATTTTCAAATGAAAACACAATTATATGCTTATTAATGCATGATTGATCCATTTAATTATATAGTAATGTGCAAAAATAAGCATGCATCTGACAAAGAAATGATTGTTTCGTTCTTCCTTACTAATGAAAACGGAATTATTTTTTCTATTGCTGTGCTTTCTACAATATATAGGTATGTATGCTTTAATTGTGGTCATCATGTACACTGCTTTGTTGGCATCGTGGTAGGTGCAAACTAAAGACATATAGATTAACTTTGCTGCTTCTCTGTCAAGCAGGTTGCATTTGGTAGACAGATCAAACACTGATCGACATGTAGTCAGCATAACTGGATATATATCTTCATCGAGACTTTAACTTGAGTTTAGCATAACAAATCACACACAGCGTGCCGGTCCAATACAAAACAGGGTTTATTATCCTCACAGCCTATACTAACACTCTTATTTACCTTGTCCGTTCCTTCCCTCTTTACGTTCGTCAAAATATTTCCGTCACCTATATAATGAACTCTCTTTAACAGAATGACTGCATATTTGGTCAGCAGCTTGATAGTGATGAGTTGTAACGTGTGAGCACTTTAAGGATTTGTCAGACATCAGACCCAGATTAATTACTTCAATATAGATCTATTACGATTTCGAGACAAAAACTTGGCGCCCCAAGTCTGGGTCGCCTATTTCCATGTTTTCTATATGGACCGTACTCTGACGTCCCACGTCCTAAAGGCAACAGACGTTATATAGCAATATTGAGCTAGGCAGACATCTACTTCCTGTTCTTCGATACTAAAAATTGTACGTCACACATTTCTCCAGGACTACTCTACAGACTGACTTCATGTTTTATCAGCAGCGGTTGCAGTGATGAGTTGAAACGTGTGAACATTTTCGGATCTGTCAGATATTTTAACCCACCATTTTCTTCGGAAAATGCTTATACCTAGTCAGGGATATGACAGTTATTTCAATTCGTTCCGTTGTTTGATATAGTCTTACGTTTGATCTTGTCAGGTTTTATGGATCGGTCTCTCTTTTCGAATAAACTTTGGCATTTGTTTTAATACATTTTTTATACCTTCTATCCGTTTTCCGATGATTTGAATTATAAATGGGGGTATGGTTTACACGACAATGTGTGCATTCTTGATTATATCTCATACTGTAACCCATTTTAATGCATGTGAGATTTTTGCTGGACGATAAGCAACCGCCGATCAATGAATATGCAATTATTTTGGGATTCAGCAAAGTTTATTTTGCTTATGTCTAAGACACTAAATTCGATAATCGATTGCATAACATATGAGAATTCTTTATATAAATCAGTACAAAAAAGTGTCGGCAGATACCAAGGGGACATTTTAAAATTCATAGAGAAACAACGTCATGTCAAAAACACACGACACGAAAAGACATTCAAGTCCACAAACCACTTCATAAAACAATAAGGACTGAGCAACAGGAACCCCGTCAAAAATTGGGAAGTTCGCATGTGTCCCAATAGGGTAAGCAGATTTTGCTCCACTAGTGGCACCCGTCATGTTTTTCATTGTAAGTTCGGTGACAAGCCTCATTCAATGATGTCACAATCGAGGAAATAAGGAAGCAATAATTTATATTTGCTGTAAAAATTAGAGCAGCAAACACATTATCCCAGTGATGATGTCATTATGATTATTTTCGAATATCATTACTGGTTATTAGTTGGTGTGAGTAAATCTCTTACCATACACTAAGTGTGATTTTGCTTCCAATTTATGTCCACACGCAGCAAAATACAATTTTATTTTACAGCACAAAAAGAATTGAATTGAAAAGAATTAATCTCTTCCTTATTTGTTGACATATTTCACTTAAGATTTTTTTGTTTTCTTAAGACCACACAAGATGTCACTGTACGTTCCCTGAAGCATTACAAGCACTCTGGGATAGTAGTGAATATGGAACAATTCTCATCAATTCCAGTACACTAACATTGGAGAAACATTCGTTCAGAATTGATGGATCCACAAGTTCAACTGTGTTTGATTGCTTCCTTGGTCAGTCATCACCAGAATATTATCTAATCAGGTAGACTCTAAACAAACATGAAGTTCTGTACGAAATAGTCATTTGGAGTTTTGTTATATGTAAAGAAGTCTTATATTGACACACGACCTCGGGCATTGTTCTTTTTGTATTTGTTTTCTGATCATTTTCTTTTTACTTATTTTGTTATTTGTTATTTTCATTTTCTATATCTGCTGTTTTCACTATCATTGCGCCGCCAGATTTAAAGAAACTGAAAAATGAAAATATCAGCATCCAACCAACCAACAGTTTTATCGACCCAGTGCTAATAAGAGAAAAATGAACACTGATATTGATACATTTCGTACGTCCAAAGCTTTTTTCTAGATTTACCTTCATCGGGAACGCTCAACTCAAAAATTGGAAAGCCAGGGATGTATAAATACGTACAAACTTTATATATGATAGGTTTACAAACAGGCAACAAATGTCAATCGAAAGTTTGCTTTGTGGGGCAAACACGTGTTTGAAGACATAAGACAGAGTTCAACGATAATGTTTTAAATCCAAAATAATCTTTTATTTAGAAATCACCACCCATTTGAAGATCTCGGGAAAACTGGATATCTTTATATATGTTTATCATTCACCCGAGTTAACGAAAATTCTTACTACTTTTATTTGCGGTCATGTAAGTATAAAACATTTTAATATGCTTTTCAAATTATAAGTGTGAAAGAACGAATTAATTCTTAAAATAGATTCTTTTCTTGAGATACAAAAAATGTTCGGTGCTGAGGGTGTACAGGCATGTTATAACAGCCATACACAGGTGTATTTATTGCGTGCGAAACGCCACACGGAACTTACCTTCATAAGAAATGCGCATATTCACAGGTCGTGAAGATTTTGGGAAAACATTGTAAACAAAAACAGAACAAAACACAAAACACAAATTACCAAAACAAAAATAAATTGAAAACAATCGATACCAAACAAGAAAAAAAAACCCAAACATAACCTGTCTAAGGATATTAACTTTTCAAGAGGAAGTATGAACCATGTGATAATATTAAAGTAAAAATTTATAAAATGATGTTTCATAGAAATGTTTAGTAGATCACCGTAGAGTTTTATCACCGATTGATGTCTTAAGAAACCCAGGCGAATGATTATATTTTATTAATCAAGGTTCAGTATCGAAAAAAAACACTGTCAAATACAAAATAATAGGAAATTACATGTGTACTAGATTCTAAGATTACTTGAAACCTAATTAACAGAAAAAAGTATAACAAAAATACCGAACTCAAAGGTATGAAATTCAAAAAGGGGAAGTACTTAGCAACTGACAAAATCTAACGTTATTAAAAATAAATAAATACAGAGAAAAATATACAGCTTATTTCCATCTGATGTAACAGAATACGAGGAATAATCACAATACTTGTTTTTTTATACTTTTACTTTTTATTGATTTTATAATTATATCAGTGGAAAACAACAGATTTGCCAATGAGCGTGTTAGTTTTTGGGAAACAGGTGTAAATCCAGACTTTGGAACTGAGTGTACTGTAACCCCAACAACGGCAGAGTTCAACAGTATGGTCAAAGTTGGTAAATATAGTAATGCTAGCGGTAAAAATGTAAATGGTGATGTTTTAGCTGCTACATTTCTTTTTATCTTAATCGTAGACTTTTCTTTAAAAAAAAAGTGTTTATATTTAGTTACAGAACAAACAAACAAACAATGTAAAAATAAAGCAAAGTGTGTATGTGAAAGAACAAATAAAACATTGAATATTAATGTTGCATAAGATATTGAATTGTTGTTTATATAAATGCGTACTTTTGGATTAAGCTTTATCAGGATCATTCAGAACTAAACATTGGGATGACCAAATTCCATGAATTATAACTTTACTGACAGTTTTAGGAAAAGTATGACAGAAAAAGAATGAAAATCCCCTTCTTGATTAGGCAGGAAAAATAGCAAAATATGTCTAGAAAACACAATTCATTACCAATTATGAATTCATCAAATACATATTCGCCCTAGTAAATCTTTCGAAGCAATTTTCTGAAATTAGTACCCTATATTTTGTCATTCTGTCGTCAACATTAGAAATTACTCGTAGCTTCAACTAATTCGAATACTGGTTTCTTTTAGTATAATTAATTATGTTTATTACATTTCATTCAACAAAACATTAATGAACCTTAACTAACCTAAAGACACAGAAATGATACGAAAATGTTCATATACATCCTAAGGTTTCATTTGTTTCGATTTGACCTTTAGGTTATTCAAGTTCGTCGAAGACATACTGTATGGATCCACTCCTTGGTAACTTTTACTATTCCTTGACGTCGGCAACATTTACAAATGTTTGTAACGGGGATGGAAATAGTCTTTTGACTGTCTGTGAAAACAGACAAAACTTAACTTTTGACCTAAATCTACACCAGCAATGTACTTCATCAACATCGTCAGTTATGTTTACTGGTGAGATTCGAGTTGTTTTATTTTGGTGTAGGTTTCACTCATGGGTTGTAAATAGAATAAAAACTCAATCGCATGCATTATGTAAATTACTTACTGCTTTCTGAGTAAAGAAAAGAATAAAAATGAAATCTAGCCATAGGGCTTTAAAACATTAACTACGGTCAAATTTTTTGTTGGAATTTTTGTAAGAATTGCAAATAATTTTGTAAAATAAAACAGATAATTTGTTCAATATCAAATGTAATTAGAAATGGTCTGAAGCAAAACACTAACTTATAGTCTTGCTAATGAAAGCATTTTGAAAATGAATATCGCATAGAATATAGGGTAATGTGCACAGTGCTTTACAATGGAAATAAAACATAACAACAAAATAATTTAAAATTATATTTTTAGCATTTCAACTTGCACAAAGAAGTTATACACATAAAGTCAGGGGCGAAATAAACGTTCTAAGCCTTCAATTTACCGTATACCAGTCAACAAATCTAGTACCATCAAGGGTTGACTGAAGTATACAAATATGGCAATCCTTGGATTCCCTCTTAACTGAAGCAAAACATATGTTAAAGAGGGGCATCAGTTTGGCAGTGCATGATGTATAAATACTCAGCCACGTCCGGTTAGAATCAGGATGTTAAATTGGTGTATCTTGTAGGAAGAAAGCTCGTTATACGTTAAAGAACAATTGCAAAAATTCTTAGAGGTCCGTTATTAATCTTCTGCATGAAAAAAAAACCCATTTCTATACCTATTGGGTGTATTGTTAATCTGTTCTCGTCCTGAATATGCAAGACATATTTTTCACTGGACAGCAAACTCAAATTAATCAAAATTACAGTTACAGCTGAACTATTTGAATGTGTACTTAATGCAGTAAATTTAAGTTTGTTAGATAAACCATGGATTCCTTATTTGCTATTGTACATTATTATCAAAACAAACTAGCCAAACAGTTGTTATATCATCCTTTTGCATGTTAATTAACCTGACTGTGTACCACGAATTGATGGGCTAGTAGCATCTATAGGTACTCTCTAAATCTATGGTCTACTCATTAAGCAAGCACTTTTGATTTCGACGTTCTTTGTACACTTTGTACACACTAAAGAACATATTCTGTTAAAATATACATTGAGTTACAAAAGTCCTGCTATTAAAATCCTTCTATTTGCTTTATAGCTGAAGGTAATTTGTATTGTGTATCAGCCATTACACCAGACTCCACTGAGGGAACTTATTATTCCGGTTTATACAATCCAGGCTCTGTAAATGATTTGACAACATTTCGTTTTATTTGCATTGTAAGTAGTGTTTTGTACAGCAATGCAATTATCTTCACTGCTTAGAAAACATATTGCGTATAATATATCAATAAAAGCTTATAATTAAGAAATTTCAACAACAAAAGCAACAACAATTGAGGCGTCAAGTAAAGTCAATCTAAATATAAAATGGGACATCAACGGCGAAAGTGATACATTTATCGATTCCCTGTCATAAATGCATTATTCAAAAAAATCCCAAGAAAGATAAAACTGACTATAAAATAATTAAATAGATGTAAAAATAAGAATTGAACAACAAAAAGAAAGGAAAGAAAGAAAACAACACACAGAAAAAAACCCAACTCAAATTTATGAATTATATTTGGTCAGGCTGTGAGCATCGTTGATACAGAAAGGAGATTAACAGCAAGTCCTGGACGTTGTGAGAAAGACCAGAGTTCAACTATAAAGCCAAATGATGGTGAATTATATGTTATGACTGCTAAAAGTAAGTGCAATTATGGATACCTTTTTAAATGAATATACGTTTATATAAATGGGTAGGATTCTTAGGATCGAAATTGTATATATTTTAAACGGCCTTAAAGGGTCTGTCTTGTCTAACATGTCTAAAGAAGACAAGACTAGATCTATTTATTTTTTGTTTATCCTTATTGTTGTTCAATAATTAGTTTTTAAAGATCTACGTTTAGTACATACCTACACTTGTGAGATATTTGAAAGGTGTACATGCTGTTTCTCTTCGTAGCAAACGGGTTCGTGAGTAACGAAGACAGGTCGACTCGAAGTCGATCATGTTCAGATAGGGTGACTGACATGTCTTCCACAACACAGTTACCTTTATTACATTATGCACATTATGTACTCGACGCAACGTGCTGGTCTGGTGCAAAGGAGGTCTCATTATCTCACCACTACATAATGTAATCGTATTGAAAAATAGAAACTCAAAGTCGAAAACATACAGACATCGTCATAGCAAAAAAAAAAAAAAAGAGCCGACCATATGGTATGGGTTTTCCTCATTGTTGAAGGCCTTACGGTTGCCCATAATTACTTACATCCACTTTATTTGAACTTTGATGGATAGTTGTCTCATTAGCAATCATACCTCATCTCCTTATTTTTATATACACGTTAAGATATCTATGAAAAATGCTATAGAAAAATGTACAGTTTTACATTTTGTGTATTTAAATAATTTTTTTGTTGTAGCCACTTGTCGTAAGTATTCAGATTTACTAAGATATCTCTGTAAATAAATTGAATTGTCATTTCATAAGTATTCATTTGTTTTAAAACATAGGATTATATCGATCCATCATAAAGTAAATGAAGCCTATTGTTAAACAACTTCAATGGTTATTTTTTTTTGCATTTTCCATAAGACTTATTTTCTCAAGTAAATCTGTTTGACCCAGTCGTATGAGAGGTTTCAAATTGACTTACATTTAAATCATTCCAAAATATACAGTATTTTCAAATCCACAAAGCAAAAAGAAAGTTTTTAGATGTATGTTTTTTTTTTAAACTTGACACTCAACAAATGACTAATATGCTTCTTTTTTTTATTTGTATTCGCGACGATTTTTTTAATTTGTTAAAATCAGCCAAATTAACGCCTCTTTAAATGTTTATATATGCATTTGTAATATATATTATACAGTTGGTGTATACTACCATATATTTAAGATTATATACCAATGCGGTAAATTTGCGTAGCATATATATAAAAAATACCGTTACACCAGTTAAATCTTTATCAACTATCCTTTATGTCATCTTTTCAACGAAACAAATGGCATGCAAATGTAGTAAAGGGTTTGTCAGGATCCCGTGTAACGCACGGTGTTCTGTTTTTAAAGCAATGGTAACGTTACTCGACGTATTTACCGTTAATTTTTATCGACTTTTGTACAAAACGTCAGAACTTTACTCTTTTTACACAGATAACATTCTGATTGTTAACAGTTATGGTATTTTTTTTAAAATGGACACTGTATATTTTTTGACGGATATTTTTTTAAAATCTCAATATTAACTTATTTGAAGTACATTTGTATATAGATCATTTATAAACGTTAACTGCATGCCTCCGGTAAATGGCGAAATACAGTGTACATTTGACGTGCTAAGCAAGATATGCCAAAACAGAAACGTTTTAATGATCGATGCAATACTTTTTTGTGTACTATTATTAGGTGTTTTGTAATATTTATAATTGTATATATGTCATTAGTAACGAATTTTCATAATTTTCAGTGTTTATTTTAATATTTTTGTAGCATTCACATCATCATCTGATTCTGTTAACATAGTCGCCATTGTTTTGGGAGTTATCTTCGGACTAATTTTTCTAATTCTGCTGGTTATAATAATATACAAACTGTATTTTTACTGTAAAAAACAAAGACAAAAGCAGAAACTCAAATCAACAATAAAGAATAATATCAGTGTGTTTAAAAAGAGAATGACAGTGAAAGGTAAATCTGTTATCATGTAAGAAAATTGTATCATATTGAAATTGTAAGACAAACTTAAGTTAATAAACAAAACACTTATAAAATATGGCACATTGATTTTGATAAGAGGACTGAGTTTACATTGGACAAGATTGTCGACATAGTCTGTGAATAACCTTTGTTACGTCTAGAAATCGATATTTACTTAAAATACGCAGCTTGCTTCATGTACCTTTACGTTAAATTAGCATTAGTAAGTCTGAAAAAGTTTAGCATTAACTATTGATATCTTCATGAAATTAATGTTATTCTGACCACACGTCAGAAAAACAGGACAATCTTACATAAGTTTAATTGTAAGTTACATAATATACGCCACACAGACCAAAATGAAGTGTAATGCAAATAAAAAAGAACCTTTGTTACTTTGATGAAAATTTGAAGCAACAGTAGCTTACCAATGTTCAAATCTCATAAATCCATTAAGAAGATATAAATGAAGGTTAAAACAAAAACAGATGCAATCGCATGAACTCCAAAAGGAGCGATAACGGATGTGTCAACAAGGTACGCGTCTCCTATGCATACATCACCCGCCATGCAAATACTAACAAATCATTTCATGTATATTTTTTTCGCTGCTGAAGTTGTCACGGTCTACGTTGTTACAGACCTTCTAAAATTCAAACTGACCATTATTTCGTGCGTTCATCGTGTATCGTGCGTGTTGCGTGCGTGTATCGTGCGTGTACCAATCGTGCGCTCATCATTCATCGTTCCGTGTATTTTCCGTGTAACGTGCGTGCACCGTGTATTCTTAATCGTGTATGGTGCGTGCATCGTGCGTGTATCGTGCGTTCATCAATCATTCATTCTTAACCGTGTATCGTGCGTTCGTCAATCGTGTATAACTGTGTACATCAGATAACGTGCATTTGTCAAACGTTCATCTCTAATCGGGTAACGTTCATTCATTGCGGTTTTTATATGATAGTCGGTTATAGAGCTCATCAAAGCTTATATTTTATCTCACGGTTAAAGTGTATATATATGTTCCGACTTTAAATAAAATTTACATTCATACTTACTTTCTTGTGAACACTTGATTAACTTCATCGTACATAACGTTCATACAGATTCATGAATTTTTGTGTAAAATTTATTTATCATCTGTAAACATTTCGTGGTTATTCAGTGAATCTTGGCTGGGACTGACACATCTTAATATAATGATACATGTTCTACGTACAAACAATAAATTGGAATTTCTATTCAACTGAGCGAAATGGGCTTAAAAATATACTGTTGGCCAACTGTTATTTGTTAAAAATATTCCGCCAATTAAAAACAACAGTGCTTTTGCAAAATTTAGATGTGGGGTAGCTCCACTAAAAATAGAAACTGGAAAGTATAAAAGAAAAGAAGTCCACGAGATGACATGTGTTGTAGCTCTACTATTGAAGATGAACTTCATGTCATTTTAAAATGCCCATTATATGTAGATTTAAGACAAATTATGATACATTAAGCTAAACATTTTAATGAACATTTTAACCTTCAATTATCAGATAGCGAAAAATTAATATTTTTATTTAATAACGGCAATGTTGCTGCTATAGTTGCCAAAAACATCAACAATATTTCATTGAAAAGAAACTGCATTTTATTTCCTAGTTCTCAAAGAAAAAATGTTTTATTTTCATATAGTACAGGTGGACGCTGTAAATTTTAAATGTAAATGAGTAAATATATTGTGTCTTAAAAGTCTCTCATTATTCTTTTTAAGATTGGTACATACAATGCAAATGTTTTAATGTTTTATGTTTATTTCTGTGATTCTCATTTTATGTTTGTATGTGGTGAGACTATAATAAAATATTGAATCAGTATTAACATGATTAATGTTCAACTTGAGTCATTTCTCCGATGTTGAACAATGCAAGATTATAATTCTTCGCTTATTTGGCAAATTCATATTCTACTTATTAAAATATTCAAACATTTAAGTTTTGATAAATACCATTAGAAAATATAATTTTTGTCTTCGTTTCTGATGGTCACGTGCACGTAAGGTTTTTCCATTGAGAAAATACAATATACAAGATTGTCGGGTAAATGTGGATTGCGGATTACGATTTTAGATGTCAAACTTGAATTAACAAATTAAACTGAGGCGAATTTAACACGAATATGTATTTTCTCTTCAACAGTGTTTTTATTCTCTGTTCTTTATTTTCATTTAAAATAAGCTAAATATGTTTTGTGGAAAATTGAATACAAATAAACATATGTATTTGAAGGCATTTTTTTAATTAAACAAGTATAAGATCACGCAAATATATCCCGTATTCCTTAAGAAGGATTTTAAATTGAGGAACTTTTTAAACTTTAAATTGTGTTTACGAGTTTAAGATATTCTTTTTTATTTAAATTTTTTGATAAAATAGTTAAATATATTGTATAATCATAACAAGTCTTGATTTAAATGGAATAAACATGGAACACTTTCACAGATTCACTTTTCATTGTGTTCATGGTTGCATATCAAGGACACCGTTTTTAATGTATGTCTAAAAGATTAATATCCGAAAAAATAATTCACAATAGTACTTTGTATTAAAGAATGACGGATTATTTTACCATGGGGGTATTTTTTGTTCCTTTACTGAGGACATTTTTTTGTCCTTTATGAATCCATATGACAAATTTGACTCCAATAAGGATACATTTTATCTTATAGAAAAATCGGTAGTTTTTAGATTTTGTGTTCATCTTTATCGGATATAAAAGATTGAAAAAATACAAACAATTAATTGAAGTTTCGTATGCATCTATCACGATCCAGCAACTTTTGACTAGTATAAAGGGTTGCCTTGGTTTTATAGCTCAAACAGTATTATTTGTTTTGCTTTACATTGGGTTAAATAATGAAATGTATGTTTCAGAAATTTACACAAGTTTGATTTCGGCTTTGACTCCCGGGGACACTGTCGTTTACAGTAAAAGACGAAAATCTACACATGTACGTTCTTATAAAAAATTAGTTGTGGTATGATTGCCAATGTTCATCATTATATCATAATTATTGTACTCCCCCTAATAATGAATCTATAATATATGCCACTGGACGTAAAACGATCAACTATTAATTCATCCATCTTATCCTTTTAGTTTTGTGATAATTTGCATATCAAATACATGAAACAACAGGGGCGGAGGGGCGGATCCAGCCATTTTAGAAATGGGGTTCCCAACCCAGGGCAAAAAAGGGGGGGGGGGGGTCCAACTATATGTCCCCATTCAAATGCATTGATCGTACAAAAAAGGGGGGTTGCAACCCCCTGAACCCTCCCCTGGATCCGTCACTGAACAACTGCAGAGTTTCACTAAAGTTAGAAGGCCGATATTATTGCACATATAAAACAGACATTAACATCGATCCCTCCGTTTTGATCCCCTCACAAAACAACACTTTATAAATTTCATGCATCTATAACGCTTTTCTGGACTTACTTTCACTAGGAACGCTCAATGCTAAATATTTGAAAGCCAAAGAATGTATAAAATAGATAAGAGTGTAGAGCTATATGACCAATAAAGGGCCTATACACATTCACAAGATTCTGTGTATTTATGTGTCTGTCCAAAGTCAAAAGCACGTAGTTCAGTGGTTTTCGTAACATCAATTCTGTTATATACATGTATTTGGGCTTTTTTTTGTGGCAAGATACATGTAGCTTTGAAATAAAGAAGGCCGTTAGTTTGCTCAATTGAATTGTTTCATATTTTTTTCATGTCGGGGCGGGGCCTTTAATAACCGACTTTACAGTTCCCGTATTTTTTTATTATTGAAGGTCGTATAGATATAACTACTAGCATTCCTCTTGATTTGAACTTTCTTGAATAGTTGACTCACTAGCAATTATACCACATTTTCTTATTTTTACATAAGCCTTCAATCCATCAAAAGCCAATTTAGTCTGCTGTAGCTGAAACCTACGTTTCTTAAAAAAAATCTAAATTTATATACTGACAATTTAAGTAATGTTTGTCATAGATATCTGTTCGTGATATAAGTATCAAAATATTTTAGCTATGAAGATGTGTAAACCCTTAAATAAACCCTATTTCTTTGGGCAATACCTACGGCAATTAAAATAATAAAAACCATTATTAGAAAATCGGAATATATATGTGTGTATGACTCGGAGGTGCAATGGAGATCATAAAGTTTGATGGCCACGCGCGAAGTGCGCTGGTCTGCGCCGAAGTGCGATGAGCTGTTCGATGGTTTGCGATGGTTTATATAACGCGGGATACCTAGATTAAAGTCTACAGATGTGCAATTATTATGAGCAGTATATTTGTTTCAATGTCAGTATATAAAGCATTTACTAGTGTTATTGTCTATGAATGTAATAGTTAAAGTTGCCGCGTATTAATTAAGAGATCGTCCTATTTGATGTTTTGCATGTGGAAATTATTCTTGCTTTAACATGTATCTTTACTTAATTTGTTCCTCTAATGAGATCATCATTTACCGTTATATAATCATAAGAATAGTTTCACGGTGGACCCGTATGTATTGAGGGAATGACACTTCATCGTACGTAAAAACAAATCTTTCGTATATTTCCCGTTTTACAGTCCTACATGTATATTGAATTTTACCCACAACTCAGAAAGTTGACCAGCGCGGGGTATGCTTAAACCTCTTATTCTAGATGTCAGGTAACTTACTCGTGTTTATGTTGGATTGCTGTCTGATTGACGAATATCCGTCATTTTATATTTATAAATAACAAACAAATTTAAATTATATATATATATATATATATAAAGAAAAGTTAAGTAGAATCCGTATGCTGGTAACATATAAGAAAATTAATAAAAGATAATAACGGTTTCAATTCATCACTTTTACTAGCGCTTTCACTGCTTTTACAGATCTTCAGGTAAGACATATATATATTTAAATTTGTTTTTAAGGGATGCATCCAGTTGCACCTTTTCATTTAAAATATATTTCCGTGAAGTAATCTCAAAAGATTACTCACTTCAATAAAAAATAAATAAGGGAAATGAAACCTCTTCTCGCATGTTGCACTTTATGTTATTGTTCTCTTCGACAAAATACTGCCTTGAACTCAATTTTGGTATAAATATAAAGAAGCCACATTTGGTTCTTAAATGGATATTTTTTAAACACCTAAAGCTAGGTAAAGCCTATCTCTTAATATAGGCTCTTAAATTCGGCAACTTTTAGAGACCGACCGTGCTTGGGCTGTATAGCCAGTCAAGGTCGCTAAACTCTCATTATCCGTTTAGAGATTTTCTGAAAATACGATGGTTACTGTCTCATTAGAAACTAAAACCTTATCAAATATGGTGGCCTTCGGCTGTCATCTGCTCTTTTCGGGTTGTTGTCTCTGAAATATTCATCATTTCCATTCTCAATTTTAAAATAACTAAAAATATGATAAACAGTTGTCGGATCAATATTCATTTAACAAGCCAGTGCATTGATACAGGTTATATTCTACTGAATTTACTATATCCGTTATTATTACGTAATTATATAAGTCCCGCGTCCAGGTAGAAATAACAATTTGTGGTTTGTATGTCAGGTGAAAGTGACAACGGGTGGTATGTATACTAAAATGTTTATCGTCTTCCATTATACATGAGGGTGTGGATGGGGGTTTATAGAATAGAAAATTATTGACCAAAAAATAAAGAATACAAAAAATAACCAGACAAATATATAGAAAAGAAAATGATGAGGTACTAGAATATATGGAATAAAGAATGATCGACAAAAGGTATAACGATTAGAAAAAAATGCCTAAAATGATAGAATACAGAAATAATGAATCCCTATTCAGACCCTCATAATCTGACGATGACATTTAGCTTTAGGACAATTATGGGCATGTGATACAGTTTTAGAACCACAGTGATTTTTTTTTACAAAAGTTCACATATATACAAGCTAATTTTTACAAAATCAATTTGTATATGTAATAAAAATTATATCTTCATGTGCTAAATTTAAAAGACAAATGGGTTTGAATTATTCGACATTTACTTCTAACATTTCGGTTTCTTGGACATTTTTGTCCTTTGAACAGACATCCTTAACTTTTTGTTTCAAAAGATAAAGATATGCGGATTTCGGTCAAGAGATTAGGAATATCTTCGTTATAAAATTGGGCTCTACATTTGTGTAACAATTCTTTGTTAAAAATAATTTTTGTGAAAAGAAATTGATACAAGAAGAAAAAACGGTATTTTTGTTGTATATTTATCTAGTTAAAAAAAAGTCGGTAATTTCTTCATAAAAGTTGCAACGAATAATCTTCATACAGTATCAAGCAAAATGTCATGTCTAAAATGAGGGACCATAACTGATAACACTTTTTCCTTTAAAAAAATGAAAAAATAATTATTTGGATAAGAAAATAACCCAGATATTTAGATATATTAGAATAAAAATATTTTTTAAATTTTTTAAAAATCATTTAATATTCATCGGTTTATGATTAAATGAAAAATATAGAAAATTGTTAAGTTGTTTTTAAGGAAGGAAAATAATGTTTGTCCCGAGAAAAAAGCCCCCCCCCCTATAAATGATCATTAATTTACCTAAGTGGGGGCTTAAATTTGGAGACCGATCGCGAGGCCTAACTGCCATAAACAACAGATAACGAACAGCAAACAGTGGATACACCAATTGATATGTATGAAAGACAACGGCGGACACAAAATGATTGCACTGAATAATTTCAACTACCATTGAGATCGTTTTTTTTCAAATCTCCTTATCAAATTAGAAATGCATTTTAAAAAAAACATTGGGATATCTTTTACAGTTTGGAATTGGAATTGGAATTAAAAATTGCATTTCCTAAAGAGTTTCAGGTAAAACCCCGAGAATGTCACCTCTTAGAAATTTGAAGTGCCAGGATGTTTGAAAATATGTATGAATTTTATTACATACTAGAAATTGTATAAGGAATATAAAAAGATTCAGTATGTTTACTGTACAAACAAACAACAGACACCAAGTGATAGATACAATGTACCATTGTGGCTTATATTGTTTAATTCATTTTTACTGAGAGCAAAATTTGATTGATTGATTATTCAGTGGTTGTTTAAACGTCCAGTGGCAAAAATTTCATGCATATTCAGGACGAAAAGTCGTTTCAGAAGTATATTATGAAGTATTTGGTATTACAAATGTTTAAATTTTCTCATTATTTGGTAAATTTCATTTTCTTAGCTATTTCTAATTAATTTGTACGAATCAGATTTTTCTGACAAATTATATATTTTGCTCTAAATTAACTCATACGATTCTGATAATATAAGGAACATTGTAACTTAAGTAAAAAAAAAGAGATTATGATTGTTTAATCAGTTGTGTAAGTTCGCTCGTGTCAGTCGGATCACTGATTTTCGGCAATATCAAGGAAAAACCGGCACGTTCCAAATATTGTTCAACTACTCATTTAATGGTGATTCTTTTTCTTTAAAAATTGGAATTTATGTAATAAAAATCTATCTATCTCTACCATAGTATGAAAACAGAGTACAAGTAACACGTCCTTTCTAGTCCTTAGTGGCATATTATAAGTCCTTAGCAGTGTTTAGACGTACAGGCAGAAAACAGTCGAAGGCCACCAATGGGTAGAAAATCCCGCACCGAAGGCGTTTTTCAGCTGGTTCCTAAACAAAAATGAATTTTAGTTCAGTGATAATGGACATCATACTAGACTTCGAAACATACAAATATTTCCTAAATTTCGGAACGTAAACATATGATAATTAATTAGTTAAGGTTACAAATTTAGGCAGATAAAAAGAAGGGGGGGGGGGGGTCAATGCATTTGAATGGGGACATATGGTTAAAACCACCCCTTTTATCCTGGGTTGAGAACCCTCTTTTTAAAAATGGCTGGAATCGCCACCCTTTAAAACGTAGCAATTTATAAATTATTTATATTAAGTAGAATTAGAAAATCGATGAGTTTTATAATTTAACAACACTCATTGATATTGGAAATACTATACTACAATTAATTTATTTAATACATCGAGTGTTTAGTAAAACTGTCGACCAATCAACACAGAAAGCGAGATATCTAAAATGTGTATACCCTTATAGATTTTCATTATCATACATCAATTTTAAATGCAATTCCAAATAAAATGGCTTTGAGAACCGTGTATTAAGCGCTTATCGTTCATTCGTCAATGAATCATTCACCGTGCGTGTATCGTGCGTGTATCGTGTGTTCATCATTCATCGTGCATCGTGCGTGTATCGTGCGTTCATCATTCATCATTCATTTTTCGTTAATCCTCCGTGTAACGCTCATCGCTCATCGTGCGTGTATCGTGTATCGTGCATTCACCGTGCGTGTATCGTGCATTCACCGTGCGTGTATCGTGCGTGCGTGTATCGTGCGTGTGGTCAGTTTGAATTTTAGAAGGTCTGTACCATATTAGATAGTGTCTAAATAAAATAAAATACTTCAAATCAAATATTCAATCGCTTCCAATTGAACGGAGTTGCAATAAAGTGAAATACCTTCATTTTACTATATTTTATGTCTCAAAGGTATCTCATATATGAGGTAAATCTCGGATGCTTCATTTTGAAATGAATGTCAGTGGAACTATATTTTATCGGAATTGATATAATTCCTATCTTTGCAGATAATGACGAATATCCATTGCATGAGATCTCTCTTGGACCTGAATTTCCAAAAGCAAGAAATCAGTTATACAAAAAGAAACGTTTAGTTCCTAAAGGTATAAGTTTTACCAAAATTATCATGATAATAAATCTAAAACCAATGACAGCATTATATAAGCTACACGAAGAATCGACGTTTGATATGATCAGGGATGGGGTAATTGTAATCTGTAATCGTAATCGATTGTAATTGATTACATTTTTTCCAGTAATCGACAGTAATCTGTAATCGAAGACATTTTCGATTACATGTAATCGTAATTTAATCGATTACAGCAAAAATTGTGATGTAATCATCGATTACTTTTCGATTACATTTCGATTACTTTAGTAAAATAGTTTGATGAAATATAACCTATTCTAAATGAAAGTATGTATGTATTAAACAGAATGTATCAATATGATTTAAGAGTTTATCAACTGCTTTATATCTATCTATTGTCACAAGCTGCATTATGATCAACCAGATCCCCTACCAAATTTTACTTCATATCTAGCTTTTGAAAAAAAAAATGGATTTATGTGCTTGTCAATAATTCAAGACCTTATATATTAAAATAAGAAAATAGATTTGAAATAAGAAAATAGAAATAGAATAATAAATGAGTCTAAAGTTAAGTACTGTACTACATTAAAGTAGTAAGCTTATTTGTATTAACATTCTTTAAAGCATAATTTTAAATAAGAGTTGGAATTTTAGATTAGGGTAGATAATCAGTTGATTCCTTATAATGTTATGATATAAAAATTAAAAAGTACACAAAATCCTTTCGACAATGAACCATTGGCTATGCACTGAAATTCTTTTGGAGAAATAGATACATGTATCCCATTTTGACACTATGAATATATATTGTTTATAATTTGATTATAGAATAAAAAAATCTAAACACAATTCTTGTCTTTACTAATCAGATGATAAAAGACTTCTAATAAATAAGATGTAGACTTTGTTTTCATTTCAATTATATCTAATTAAGAGGGAGATTTACATTATTTTGCCCCAGGTTATAAATTGTACTCCATTGGCAGTTTTATAACATGTAATTGGGGTGGTTATCAAAACAAAAGGATTAATTCATGCATGACATTATAATTATAAATATTGATCTTTGAAATTAGCTGAACTAATTAATTATTCTACTTTTTTCAGAGGAAAACTTCCAACATTGCAATTAACTATGTTGAATAAAAATATACCTGTTTTTAATGAGTAAAAACAAAAAAGCTACTCTAAGTCAGTATGAAAGCAAATTTTTTGAAAAAAAACTTGCAATATAAATAAGTGATTGATGCAATGCGATGTCATCTCTCGTTCATGTTGAAAGCCAAATTTCAAGAATGTTTGAATATTTCTGATCCTCAGTAAGAGATTCCATCTAGAAAAAAAATGTCAACTTAAAATTTGAAAACAATGCTCTAAATGCTGTTTTTGGTAAATTTCTAAATATCCACTATACAAACGTTGAGCAACATAATTGTGTTTAACTTTAACTTACTTTATTATTTGTTTTATAATTTTGTAAAATATAATTGACATTAATCGAAAAGTAATGTAATTACTTTTGATAAAGTAATCGATTGCAATCGATTACATACAAAAATCAGAGTAATCGATTATTAATCGATTACACAAAAATCCTTCATGTAATCGATTATTAATCGATTACATTTGTCAGTAATTGTGCCCATCCCTGGATATGATACGAATATATTCCCAGATAAATAGTTTTAAAAAAAATAAATATACAAAACTCGGTCGATAGTTTTCTCAAATATTGAATTTATTATAATATTTTACTTCTATTTCTATAATGCATGTACCTAATGGTGTCAGTCATCCCATGATGTTGACCGGGACTGTAGTCCAGCTTCCTGCGATTCAAATATGTAAAAATCTGGTCAAACCCTTGGATTTTGTACAGAGCAAATTAATCTTGTTTTCTGCGATAATGATTAAGATGAACTTTTATTTCTAGCCCGTTTAACTTCAAGATGAAAACGTATATCTTACTTACACATTGACTGAACAATATCTACTGAAAATAGAACGGCACACAAACTCTGTTGGTGGACAGACAGCAAACAACGACAACCCACGAGTTTTAGGCTCCTGATTTAGGACAGACACATTAAGAATGTGCTGGGGTTAAACATGTTTTTGAGTGAGTGTTCAACCCTTCCCTTAACCTGGGACAGTGCTGTAACAACACAACGAACATAAGAACAAACTGTAAACATCAGATCGGCGCGAAACACAAAAGAAAAAAAACATAAAAAAACTTTAAAAACTTTAAAAAGAATACAAAGCCCAACGTACCTATAGAAGTTACTGAAAGCTAGTTCTACGACAATTTCAACTAATAGATAAAACATGAGATTGCTTTAACTGCCAGTGATTTGTATTGAACGACTCTATTCCTATGAAATATTTTTGCTTTCTGTTCAACAACTAAAATGCTCTCCTGTCTATATCACCCTTTAATCTGCAAGCTGAAAACAATCCTCATCTCGTCAACACTAAAAAAGCTGATAATAGAACGTTTCGAAGAAAAACTGAAACGGGAAGATGGAGTAATTTACATTATATAGAATGTTGTATTTACTTAAAAAACAAATGCGGGTGCTGCTAGAATATTGCTAAATATGAGTAAAAGTTTATAATGGGAAAACAAAAGTAAAGTATACAAAATATAATGGTGTCACCTGTTGTAAGTATCATCTCTTGATTATTAATGTACCTGTCTATACTAGGTCTTATTTTTGGTATTTTCTTTGGATAACATTAACGTGTATTGTTGATGGTTGTGTTGTCATATTAATTTACAGTGGCACTAAACATCATGTATGCTATTCCGTACTTTCAGATCTAGCCACACCCACACTGGAAAGAAGTAGTTCGGAAAACAATATATCATTGAGTTCATACTACCTACAATCAGAAAACAAGCATAGTAGTAAGGTTGCCCGAATATCATCTGCAAGATCGTTCGACAATATGTACACCAAATCACAATCAAGAGAGACTAATGGCAGTTTAATCAAATCTAAACCCAGGAAAAATCTGTCGCTTTCGCATAAATTAGCAGATATTGCCGACTTAAATGAGTTCAGTGAAGAATTTAACGAATCACCCGAAAATTATTCACGCTCTTCATCTTTCCATCGCCTCTCCAGTTCAATGAATGATTTATCAAGGCCTACAACTCGAATGTTAAAGATGAGAAAAAGTGTTTCACTTGAGCAAATGAATAAAGCTCATAACTCCGTAAACTATGATTCTCATTACCCAAAAGTCAAAAGAATTCAAGACAGTGAGGTATTCAAAAACGATGTACGTCAATATAAACAAACAAAAACAATATATAACAAGGAAAAACCGCTATTTGAATTTAAAAATTCAAAGCATAAGGTGTCTGAATCTTATCATCAGTCAATGCGCCAAAGAGGTAATGAACGAAAGATGAAGACGATTAGAGAATCAAACGAAAACATTCCGCACAAACATAGAAAATCTATACAAAAAGATGTGCAGACGCTTCAAAGACCGGTATCAGTATCTTCATATAATTCTCTTAGAACTTTTGACAATTCGTTTGAACCACGTCCAGCTAGTAGGAGTTCTGAAAACAGGTTTATGTTATTAAAAAAGCAAATGAGACAAAGTGCAGAGAGACCAGAAGAAAAAAAGAAAACAATGAGTAAAAGGACAAATTGGAAATCACCTTATTTTCTACATCCTGTTAAACCGGCTCGGTCATCTATAAAGTATTACAACAAATTCAAAAATCCAAAGATAGAACCTTTTAAATCTAAACATTCTGTGAAAAAATCAAACAAAAAGTTTGCCTCAAGAGCATTTGCAACGACGGACTATGACGTAATTTCCGGTATGTATTTCAGGGTGTAGAGATAAATATGACAAATTGTACAGTGGTGAAACTATTAGACAGTTGTTATACAAAAATCTAACATTAAAAACATTTAAGCACAAGCAAATGTTAACTGATTTTGTTTCAAAAATATCATGATTAATAGTTGTATATTTTGTGTCCAAGGGTACATGTATAAAATCAATCTCCAGGCAAAAATACGTAATTCCATGGTGTTTCGGATTTTTATGAATATTTTATACATTGAGACGCACCGGCCGGTCTCGAACCTTTCGAAGCTGATGGAATTCCCTCAGTATATGTTTCTTACCTTCATTTTGTATCTTCTTGACTGATTTATGAGATTTGAACATCGGAAGACAGCAGCGCGTTTCTGCATTTAGCAAAGGATGTATAAGAACCGAAACAGTTGAAGATCTATATGACCAATAAGGACCTAAAAATAATAGCCAAATCCATCTAAGGTCAACTTTGGCTGAGTGAGTTGAAACCTTTGTTTCTTAATATTTTTAAAATTTATAAACGGACAATTCAAGAAAGTTTTTTTGTTATAAATCATGTCAGTACCAAAGAACTAACTATTGAGCTGGTTATACCCTCGGGGACTGATAGTCCAAGTTGTAATCTCAGTTTTAATATATTGGAACAATAAATTACTTAGTTAAAATTGGAAAGTATAATGTAAATGACAACTACTAAATAAATGTACCGTCTAACAGCAGGAAACTGAAAATTACCATTAGAATGAATGTTTTTAACAAAGCATCGTATCAAAGTCAAATATTCAACATTAGTCCTTTTCATATTGAAGTTTCAAGGATATTTTAAATGACGTCTGGCCCAATCAGGATGTCCGAAACTACGACTCATTTCACAAACAAAATCTTGCGTGAAAAATACTCATAAGTCATGAACATTTTGAACAGTATAATTTACGATCAATTTTTTGTCGTTAGATGTTTTGTGAAAAGAGCCCTTAAAACATTCCCTTTTTGAATTGGAAATTTGAATGACAACTTTAATTTGATGTTAATTACATTTCAGATTCGGGTGTTTCAGCAGACGATTCAACTTCGTCTTTGTTTGAAGAAGGATATCCACTGCCAGACACCATTCAAAGTTTCAAGGCTAACGCCAGACGTCAAGTTTGGCATTGAACATCGTCTTACGATTTTTGTGAATTTGTAACCGTATATCCTTACGTAATCACATGACGAATTTTATACAGTTTATCTTTTTCAATTGCTGTTACATGTATGTAGAGGAAATTAAAAAAAATTACAACATTTGTATTGTGTTTTTTTATCACTAAATAATTACATAATTTAAACAATCACTTAATTCAGGACAGAGTAAATACACGATGCATGTATCAAACATTCAATGCTGACATATTGGATAGAAAAATATATTAAAAAGGGATTTGCCTATTTCTCTATTGAAATTATCTATATTTCTACAATGCACCAATACAGGTGAAGTAATTAGAGGATGGAAATATATATGATCGATTTATTAACCTATGTTTACTACGTCCAGTGTGATTGCATGCATATTAGTTGTAATCATATTTAATGCCATAGCAAAAGTATGAATAGAATCAGAAATAAATCTTGTTAGACGTCATCTAAGGGACCTTCGAAAATATTTGAAATGTCTAGCTACAGGATTTATTATACGTGCGGAAAACATTAAGTTCTTCTGAAACGGGTAATGGATTAAAGGATCTTATTTCGACCGGAAGATACTGCACTTATATTCTTCCCTCTCAGGTAAAAGGACGTCCTTTTTCATTTCAGCAACACTAGTACTGTTGGACAGTTACAGTCCTGGAACAGCCTAGGTGGTTTAGCGGCACCGTGGACGTCTCTTATGCCTGAGGTCTTGATGAGTTCTATCTCCAATCTATACAAAGATTTTAATTAAAACTGGTATTTTGGTTAATTTTCTGTTTAACCAGTAAAAAATACAGGTACATACTTAAAAGAGCATTGTCCTGTCTCAAAACTGCTTAACAAGGGTTACATATAGACTGGATTTGTAGCATATTTGAAAGAGCAATGTTATGTCTGAAAAAATCTACTTCAATGATCAGGGTTTGTAACATCACTGAATAAATAAGTTTTATAGTCGTCACAAACAAGAAAAATTAAACGTGATCTGTTCTCATACTGGATTTGGCTCTTTACGACGTATATCAAAATTATAATGACGCCATTATAATTTGATTGACCATATGGAATATGTTTGTCACAAATGACAACGGATAATGTTTCGCGTATCGTAGCTACAATCTCTGTTATTCCTCCAGGACATCACTAAATGCGACCTACCATCAGACTTAACTTGCATGTCGAAACTGGTACCACCAGTGGAGCAGGAACTGCTAACAGAACACGTCAGTTCCCAGTATTTGGTTTGTGTTGTTCAATCTTACTTTGCTTTGTAGTGTTGTGTTGCCTGTTTTCTGCCTCCTTTCATTCAAGCAGTCATTGTGTTGTCCATCTTTCTTTTATTCATGTTTTTTTATTGCCCTCTTTATACGAATGGATCTAGACTATTCATACAGGATATACCTATAAGTGATTTGCAGTTTTACATACAAATTTTCGTGGAACTGACATAGAGAATCGTTTATAAACTTCTATCTTTTTTTTGGCTATAAATTAAAAACACCATAATAATATTTAAGCTAAAAAATATTGCATTTTACTATAAAAAGAAAACCTGTTTAAAACAGTAAAATTGAAATATATATTACATAAATGAACATTTCAAATTATCAAATTATCAAAAAATGAATGTAGCTTTCTGAAAGACATTCACTTTTAATGAGAACATTGTTTTTGTGCTTTAGATTGAGGACAACACGTATTTGTAATGTAAAGTGGTTTTAATGAGGACGAAAAACATGTTTCCTTTTATTTTTCAGTTTATGGAAATCTTCTTTTTTTGTCTTAGTATGTATAAATATTATAATTTGAACCAGTCTGTGCAATTTCATTAAAAAATTGTCCTGCTCTTTCTGCAACTTATTCAGATGAGTAAGTTATCTCCACTTTTCACAAAAAAGGCGTTTTTATTTTCGTATTACCGCAGTTTAGTATTTCTTCCAGAATTTGTAGAAATAACACGACACGATTCATTATACATGTATTTGAATATATGCATGTTTTTTTTCCAAATTAAAGCAATAAAACTATAGAAATATATGATACCATTATTTCCACGTCACATGATTTTGAATGAAGTTTAATGTTTATCAGTTACGGTTTTGTATTGAATTCAAAGGTTTATTGAAAAATTCCAAAAACTCATGTAATCTGCAATTGTTAAAATGTGCAGCATGGTAACGTCTATAAGTGTTGTTTCATCAAGTAACAGCATGGTAACGTCTATAATTGTTATGTTTCATCCAGTTACAGGGCGATAACTGACGCTAACTAATCCGTTTTCTTTACGAAAATCTGACTATTATCGTTCTAATATTTTGTCAGCAAAATCAATAGTTCCATGGATGTGAGGTGTATACGTCAATGAGACAGTTACACATTGACACAAATAAACCAAAGGACATATGAATTCAACGAAAAACAGTGTATATGGAATATGTCAAGCTCTAAATCGATCCGCAGAAAATACAATAGTGAATGAAAAGAGCTGCAATCAACTCCATATGATATTTCTATGTTTAGGGATTTTTTAGAGGGAGGTATGCTTTTATTCAATGATAATCCGGAGTCCTATCATTTTATGTTATTATTCATAAAATTGTCAAAACTGATATGCTGCTCTAAATATGTAAAACAATATTATAATTAATATAAGAATTAAAAGTCACGTTAAATTTACAGATTTACTGTTCATATGTGAAATACTTTAATTCAATATTTGAAACAGTAATTATATATAGTACAATAGAAGGATTCGAGTGAAAGCGAAAAGACAATAAGAAATTTTATACCATTTAATGAAAAGGGTTAAAACTTTCTGCTTTTTGTCATGATTTAAAACAAAAAGAAAATTGTAATAACATTAAAGAGACGTCACACTAATACGTGTGTAACTAGGTGAAAACATAAACGCAATATATATTTATAAAATGGAGACAATAAAAATAATTGATAAGACTCCATAAATGTGTTTTAATTATGCAAACAAGTGATGAATGCGGAATTTTACTTATTAATAATCGGTTACTTATTCTCATACGGTAGGCATTACAAATGTTTTCTATTTCATCCTTAACTTAGAGAATAAACATATGCATTTTCTTTGTAAAGACGTAGAGTGAGCTATTTATACGTAATTTAAAAAAAAAGAGGCGGAAGAAATCAAGGGGACATTCAAAAGACAAAGATAAACTGACAACGCCTTGGTTAAAAAAAAGAAAAACGACGAAAAGACAAACCAGTCCACAAAACGCTGCATAGAAAACTAAAGACTGAGAAACACGAATCAAATCACGGGGTCTAAGGTGCCCGGAAAGGTTAGCAGATCCTTTTTTTTACCTTGAATTAATTGTTGTAGTGTTTCGTAGTTGTGTATTGCATAGTTACTTTTAACATTATGATATATTGTTTATAATGTCCCTTGTCTTTAGTTGGTTCAGTGTTGTTAAGCTATTGAATTCTGTACGAGTTAAAAGATTGTAAGGATTTCCTATTTGTATGGTTTTACCAGAGGGAAGTTGTTTGCCCCAAAAAGGATAAAAACATAATAGATTTGTCGTTATAGATAAATATTTATCGCTCTATCATATATATAAATAATTCGTTCGTGAAATATTACATCATGCAAAATTACTCTTATTCTTTATATCCCGGTATGTTTACTTCAGTGCGATACATTATAGCTATACCATTTGTATATTCGTGTATTCTTATTGGATGCTGTCAATGCACAGTTGAAGAATTTAATGCCTTCACAGTTTCTTAGAGTATGATAATGATTGATTGCAAAGTTGAAATCACTGGAAATGCATCGAAATTGACAAGTGAAAATGAATAATACGGATCGCGATCATACGTTTGTTATATATTTGTTCTGCCTGTCACAAGTCAGGAATCTCACGCATGGTTGTATTTTGTACTGCATTTGTTTATTTATATTTTTCGTATTCAGAGATTTGATTTTGATGGCAGATCTTTGATAGTTTTTTTTATTTATTCACATTTTTGAGCCAGCATTTTTGTATAGACACCTGTGTATTGTTGTAGACTTTTACGTAGTACGTCTACATCTAGATGTTATTTTAGTTATCTGTTTCGTTTGTTTGTATAGACACCTGTGTATTGTTGTAGACTTTTACGTAGTACGTCTACATCTAGATGTTATTTTAGTTATCTGTTTCGTTTGTTTGTATAGACACTTGTGTATTGTTGTAGACTTTTACGTAGTACGTCTACATCTAGATGTTATTTTAGTTATCTGTTTCGTTTGTTTGTATAGACACCTGTGTATTGTTGTAGACTTTTACGTAGTACGTCTACATCTAGATGTTATTTTAGTTATCTGTTTCGTTTGTTTGTATAGACACTTGTGTATTGTTGCAGACTATTACGTAGTACGTCTACATCTCTATGTTATTTTAGTTATCTGTTTCGTTTGTTTGTATAGACACCTGTGTATTGTTGTAGACTATTACGTAGTACGTCTACATCTAGATGTTATTTTAGTTATCTGTTTCGTTTGTTTGTATAGACACCTGTGTATTGTTGTAGACTATTACGTAGTACGTCTACATCTAGATGTTATTTTAGTTATCTGTTTCGTTTATTTGTATAGACACCTGTGTATTGTTGTAGACTATATCGTAGTACGTCTACATCTAAATGTTATTTTAGTTATCTGTTGCCGTCTCATTGATGTATACTCTACATTTATTTCACAATTAACGTGAAGCATGATGAGTTTTATTTTATCTTAACTAGATAATCTGTTTTGACGGTAGTTTAAACTTATACAGTCGTATCGATGATCTACCTCATAGGGTATGCTTACTTCTCTTCGAATGTGACATCACTGTATACGACTTATCATCGACGTTTTACTTGTCATGAGCACAAGACGGGTGCCACCAGTGAGGCAGGAATTGCTAACTCATTCGGACCACTTGAGTTCACCCTTAGTTTTCGGTTGTTTTATTACGTATTTTGCGGACTGTTTTTCTTTTTGTTCATCGATTTTACGTATATATTTGATATAACGGATGAAGAAATATAACTTGTTTAGAGGTTTTTAATGTCTACGGGGTTTGTCTCGTTAACGTATAGCTCTTATATTTTTTATTGATATAACACCTTCAAAGCGAACAGATTTCTTTTTATTTGATTTAATATCAACTAGTACTACTTTAAAGAAACAACGTGCTATAATACCACAGTGACTGCATTTTTTAGGTAATGCTGCATGTACGTTTTCGTCTTCCCTGGAAGGAACTTGGATAAGCAGTAACTATGGCAACATTATTATCAATTCAACTTATTTGACATTAGATACATTGTCTGCTTCCGTAGCTGGATCAACATCCAACGTTGCTTTTACTTGTGATAGAAACCCATCAAGTCTGAAATATGTTGTCAAGTAAGTGCAGTTATTGATTTTTTTGTTCATGGCATAGTTCTATAGGTGTGTTTTTAACATGTATATTTCGTTTACTAGCTCAACATAAGATACATTAGGTGAAAAAAAAACAGCAATAATTTTGGTATGAAAAGAAAAACCTGATATAAATCTACATAAAGATAATTAACCTTTGACATTTGAAAAGAATAGACTTTTTCACTATCGATTAAAAAAGGCCTCCGGTTCCCCTTTAAGCATGTCAAGTTCTATGGCTTACCCGGCCTTCTGTTACAAACATTAGACTTCTGAGATTATTTTGTTCTTTTTTAAATTTTCTCATCAATTATCTATATTACACAGGTCAAGTACTTTCACTATCCTCAGTGGTCATCCTGGGAATGCCTATATTTGTTATCAGTTTACTTACGTGAATTCTAACAACTACTACTTCTATATGCAATCAGGTAAGTGATATACATGTATTCTAACATACGGGCTAAGGGCGTTTATGCTTTTTACCTATATGGTCTTAAACAAATTTACCAAAGTCAAAGAAAGATGTAACTGTTCACACATTCTTTGTACATTATCCTGTACAGACCACAAAATGAGAAAAAAAAAATAATTCGGGTAAACGGCAGAGAAAACGAAATTTTTATGGATGGAACATTTAAATTGTGCCCTAAATTCTTCAAGCCACTTTAAACACATGTACCATTAGTGGATTTAAAAATGGAAACTATAATCATCTCGTGTCCATTCTATTGCATGGAAAGTCCGAGGAACTCTACCGTCATAGTAAATAAGCTTGTTACAATTTGTTTAGACCACAATTTGATTTTTTAACCACCTGTTGTTCGTGGTTGTTATATGGAATTTACTTCCATAAGCATGACGGCGAAAGATTCAGTCTTTTAGCTGTAGATAAATATTTGAATGTGCTGTGTTTTGGATATATAATGATTCTTAAACTCTTAACCATTATGATACCTCAAAAGTTATGTTGATAAGGCGCAAATGTCCTATTAAAAAAACGGAAATGACCTTTTTGAAAAGCACAAATATCCATTAAAAAAGCACAAATTTTCATTAAAAATAGCAATTGTCCTAGCAAAAAGCGCAAATATCTCGCGCTGTTACACATACAGACAATATCATCACATCAAGGGATGTACCCTAAAAGGCCCTGATGTGGCCCTAATGACTTCAATAAAATTGAGAATGGAAATGGGGAATGTGTCAAAGAGACAACAACCCGACCAAAGAGCAGAACACAGCCGAAGGCCACCAATGGGTCTTCAACACAGCGAGAACATCCCGCACCGTAGGCGGGCTTCAGCTGGTCCCTAAAAAATTGTGTACTAGTTCAATGAAAATGGACGTCACACTAAACTCCAAAACATATAAATAAACTAAAATTAAGTAAGTTTTCTGATCTCCAACAAAAATTTGGGTAACAGTTGATTACGATATATCCAAAATATTCATTGATACTTGTATTTACTATTTGCTTTTTGTGATTTTGATGTTTTGTCGTTTACATAGTTTATTCATAGTGCACAGTATCGTTTTTCATAACGAACCAACGCCCACAGTATGTTACCTTGGTTAAACAAATTACATGTACTTCGTTTTTACATTTTAACTACTTATTCAATTATCATAATGATGTTCAGTATGATATAAAGACAGATACAATGTTAGTGTGTGTCAGCAGTATTCTACTTTTTAAGATTTTGTTTTGTTGCACTTCCATTCCAGTAAGATGAATTTTTACACGACCAAAAGTGAGATGTTCTAGTGTCAAACGTGGTAGATTACAGAAAGATAAACTCTTATCATCCTTTTTTCCCTTGTTTTAAACATTTTATTTAATTCTAATCACTGATATGTAAATTTCGCAAAGCAGGATTTTGTTCTTTTTTTTTAGATGAAAATCATGTTTTCGGAAATGAACGCATTAGTTTTTGGGAGACAACTTCATCTCCTTCAGACAGTGAGTTATGCAGTTCACTACCATCTTCAGCAGAATTTAACAGTATGGTCAAAAGTGGTATGTGTTTAATTTGGATATGTCACGGGTTGTATGTAATACAAGTATAATTATTACTGCTATTATAGTGGTTGTCGGTAGTTGCTGTCGGTCATATTTGTTTTTCTGTTATTGTTTTTAGCATCAATAAGCTTTTTTATTTGAATTGTTTCACATTTTGTCTGTGCCGTTTATACTTACTTTACGGTATTTATTTTAGTAATACAATTGTCATATAATGAATAACAGACTGAGTATAGATGAAGGTATACACAGCAACCGAACAATACCAAAAAAACCGAAATTATTTTTGTCGGGATGAAACATAGATTTTTTTTTAAATTTCTTGAATGCCATATCAGATCTATAGACATTATTAATAGAGTAACATAAACTGACATATAACAATCAAAACCAATTATCACTTAAGGAATTCGATCCCATGTTTTACATCAGTTATAAAATCTGTCGTAGAGTTGTCACTGGTTCAGACGTACTTATAATATAATTATTTCTGTGACTGCATCCTACATTAATTTGTAAGATCCTCTACGAAAGATAATTCAGCTGATCTGTAATATTCCATCTTCATGCCTTATATATCATGTACTGTGTTACGACGTTAGATAAAAACTGACGAGGAAAGGTAACACCCGGCCATCGAAAGCTTGATTTTTGTCGAGCCTAGGTGGTCGAGTGGTATAACGCGTCGGGCATTGTGCAAGGCGATTTGGTGTCACGATATCTCAGTAGAATGAGTTCGAATCCCGGCCAGGGAAGAACAAAAAATTTGCTTCCGCAAATTTACAGATCTAACATTGTTGGGCTGTTATTTAGACGAATTATATATTAAATATATATATATATATATATAAGTACTCTAAATATCAGCACAACAATGTTAAATCTGCAAATTTGCGGAAGCAAATTTTTGTTCTTCCCTCGCCGGGATTCGAACTCATGCTATTGTGATATCGGGACAACACCGCCTGCACTATATATCAGTTACTGTATCATATAACAGTCAATGATGTCAGATATTTTCTGCCAAGCACTCTATACCTTTTTTGGAAAGGTTAAACTTGCAAACTGTCTAGATCTAATTTATTATGGGACAACGATCCCTGTGATATGTTCAAATTATCATGGTTATGATAGAATAAAATGCGAATAATTATAATGTAAACTACCATTGTTTTACAGTTCTGAAAAAAAAGAGCCCTTTGCAATGAAAACGTTTTCTTATTATTCATCTAAATCCATACAGAGATGTGTTTAGAACTAGTGTTTTTCTGACCTTTCATGGGAACTTTTATAATAAGAATTTTACGATGCTAGAATTGAAATTTCAGATTTTTAGTTTATATTGTTACACAAATTTATTGCCTCTGGCTATACGTTATGCCCATTTAGATCTTAATTTTTAAAAAATTTATCAGATCATAGATGTATAAACCCAATTGTATAAACCCATATCTATGGGTTTATACATCTATGATCAGATGAAACCTTTTTATTCAAAATATCAATTAATATTATAAAACGATAAGTTTTATTGTTTTCTTTAAGAAATGACAGATGTTCATTTTGTTTAGAGAACACACCAATTTACAACCCTTTACCAAACAATAAGCACATGACTAAGACGAATCATTTCCTAGGTCACGTGATTTACTTTGCAATGAACCAATTCATCAAATTCCTACGAAACATACTCCTGAAGTATATTTTTCTTATACGATTTTAGGAGAAGCATCATCAGCAACGACTAACTGCATGACGCATATATTGGGCGATTTTACTTACTACTACGGGACACCAACCAGTAGCATGGCAGATTGTCAGAATGATAATTTAACCGTTTGTGGCGGTGATAATAGGCAGTCTATTCAGTTCAACAAGGCAACATGTGCAGGTTCTGGAATGTACACCAGTAAGAACTGTATTTAAATATTCACTTTCAAGTTTTGATGTTTGATTTGTTTAATATTTATTTACATAACATACAGTATAAAATTAAGAATGGAAATGAGGAATGTGTTAAAGAGACAACAACTCGACCATAGAGCTGACAACAGCCGAAGGCCACCAATGGGTCTTCAATGCAGCGAGAAAATCCCGCACCCGGAGGCGTCCTTCAGCTGGCCCCTAAACAAATAGGTATACTAGTTCAGTGATAATGGACGTCATACTAAATAAATATGTTCACATATATTTCTTTTTATCTTTTTAACTTTCACTTTAAAGAAGTTTATCACAAAATATCTTCGATGTTGAAACTTAAATTTGGAACCTCCGGTTTTAACTTGGATATTTATAAAATAGCAAGATGCATTATCATACATTAAAAAGAGTCTATTACAAATAAACAAGAGGTTAAAGCGAATATGGACTGGACTTTGAGTTATTGTTTCTTAACGATGTCCAAGATTAATCTATAAGCAGAAAACATTAAATTTTGTTTTTATATAATATTTTTTTGAATTTTCAACATGTGTTTTCAATTTTAATTATTTCGGAATCTACAAACGTTAACAAAAACCCAGCTACAATCGTAACCGTAGTAAAGATGAGTTTTTATCAACAAATACCATGTATATATAGCCGTTTTTGACGATCTCTCTCTACATATACACTAACAACCATGTAAAGACCAGCAAACGTGTGCAGCAGCTAGATTTGCATATTTATGACCAGTGTACCATTGCAATTAAGCGTGAAAATAAGAGTACTTTATTGAATTACGAAAATCTCTATTTCATTAGTATTTTTTTTTCTAACAGGCGATGGAAAGCTTGGTTGCTTGTCTGTCATTTATGATTCAAGTACTGGAGGTGGTACATACTATTCAGGCCTATACAATATGGACAGTACAACGCCAAATGATCTAACAACATTTCAATTCGTTTGTATAGTAAGTTGAAGTTATTATCAGTGGCGTTTATGAAAGTTTTAATTATCTACATATACACATGTATATTACGTATTTTATTGAAGTAAAACACAGAAGAGGGGAGACAACAGGTGACAAAACAATGCCGCGGCATCGGATCGATTACTTTTTATTCTTTGGATTTTATTCATAACCGCAAAATCTCGGGCATATATATAGTGAACTTGTTTATATGTTAAAAATATGGAAAACATTAAAATACAATTCCAGAAAATCTCCCTTTCTTGTTGAAATAGGGGCACTAAATTTGATTTTTGTTAACAGCTTTAACTTTAAACAAATTTTAATATGCTTTTTTAAAATTTTATTTTAAACTAGAGGACTTGTTAATACACATGTAATTAACGTATTCGTTGTGCTGTTTCGTTATAAAATAGATTTTGTCGGTGTTTGATGTGATGTTGTCCCAATGTTTTATTCTTTTCAAAAAAAAAAGAAGAAAAAAAAAAGAGAACAACTGCGTATTATTGACTGAAATTTTCATCGCATAAATATGATAATATAGAAAGATTTATATATATGTAGTGTCTTTTGCTTATTTGCAGGCTGCGACTTCAAACGGAACTCATATATTTGTAAGCACAAGTCAGAAGCGATGCACTGCAAATCAACTTTCAACAACTATTACTGCCGGTCAACTTTACATTCTGAAAGCTAGCGGTAAATATGATTATTACGCATGAACTGCACGAAGCTACGAAGGAGAACATACAAATCTTCGTAAAATTTCTCCTAATTTCAAATATATTTCAAAATTTCTCCTCCTTGCAAATTCAAAATTTATGTTAAATATGTGCATGCATTTGAATAAAAGCATAACTGCAATTGTTATTTTTTTTTAAACTTAACTTACCTATTGGTGAGATTGAACCTGTATTTTCAGACATTTATAGTCATGTACATATAAAAATATGTAGATGCGGTATGATTGCCAATGAGACAACTCTCCACCAGAGACCAAATGACACAGAAGTTAACAACTATATAGCCTGGGTTACTGTACGGTCTTCAACAATGAGCAAAACTCATACCGCATAGTCAGCTATAAAAGGCTCTGAAATTTCAAGTATACTTAATATCTTACTAGGAAACACGAATATTCTGTTTGCAATCTGATCGAGTTTTAGACTCTCAGTTATATTACTAGTATATGGAATAGATCACAAATTAATTACTTTTTTATCCCACCCAAGGAACAGACGACATATTACAATTAAAATTCGCAAAATCCCGACTGAGAGTTTTGTATAAATAAAAGAAGATGCGGGGTAAACGTCAATGAGACGTTGTGTTTCCCAACGACAAAAATAACCAAAATACATCTAGAGGGCAACATACTACGGTAAAGGTGGTCTGATGTAGAGAAAAGGGTGTAAGCCGAAGGGAGAAAATATCCATCAAATAATAAGCACACTATAAAAGGTGAAATTCTTTTTAAAATCGGACAAGGAAATCTTACAAAAACTTTCATGAACAGCCCGACAGAAATGAAAAAATAGAAATTGAAAAATGTAATCGACCATAGGGCGGAAAAAAGCAAATGTAAGAAAAACTTGGAATAAAAGCATAGATGTGCCAAACCAAGATCCTCTCAGTCATCTCTTACTGATATTTGTACTCTTATTTGATATACGTGTTCATCTTCGGTTCATTTATTTTCTGTTTTCATTTCTATTGGACACGTAAATCTACTATATAATGGCATTTCATTATTATTTTAAAAGATACACTTGAATGTAAAATATTTATACGTTAAAAGAAAACAAATATTCTGAATATGTACGAAAAATACTTGTATTTGAACTTTAAAGAAACTGCAAATATTATGTAACCATATACATTGTATGTTGTTCTATTACACAAATATATCTTGTATATACTTTTCACACGCGAATAATAATATTATAAAACAAGAAAGTTTTCGATATGTGTAAATTTTGAATACACTGAACAGTTTGAAAGATTTAGTTGCAAAGTATGTAACCTTAAATTTTACGTTTTAAATGATTTAGCTGTTATTTTTTTTCAATTCAACGAACCAATGTTGTTTCATTTTCTTCTTTCTTTTAGTGACCTGTCGTAAGTATAAGTTTCTGTAGCTATAGAACTGTATAAACGAAATGCAGTTCTTCTAATTTGTTTTTGTGTTTTTGTAAGTTTTCTTGGGAGAGTGGGGAATACTGACTATTTCTTTAATTCTATTTTTTTTTAATTTAACAATTGCTGTGAATAAAAGAGATTGCTGTGTTATGTGCTACTTTTGGTAAGATATTAACAGTATGCAAGTGCAAGACAGAAGACAGAAACTAATTGAAAAAAAAAACATATAAATTTGCAATTACAAAATTTCTGCAAGTGGAATAAATTTGGCACTACAATCAAACTTTGGAAGATGAGATACAAAGTATATAAGCATGATCACTTTAAGCGAAAAGCTATAGACACAAGAATTTTAGCGAGTATCATATATGCATTCAGTGAACGGGCATATTTTTTTTCTAAATTAACCCTAAATAGACTAAAGGTATGAAAAGCCAAATAAATGAAATATTTGAGAGCTTCAACGTTAAAAAGAGTCCGACGAGAACACGACAAAAGCAGTCAAAGGTCAACCTTCTTTTAAATACATTTGCATAATTCATAAGCTAAAAATGATGATGTATTGTTTAAAATGCACATATATTTATAAATCTGTAATTAAGAATCGTACATAAATGTTTACTTACAGCATTTACGGAAGATTCCGTGAACGTTTTACCCATTGTACTTGGAGTTATATTTGGATTGCTATTTCTTCTTCTTCTGGCGCTTCTAATTTATTGTTGCTGTAAAAAGAAGAAGAAACGAGACAAAATCAAAGCTCTAGAGCAAAGAAATCTTAAAGTTTTTGAAAAGAAAATGGCAATGGATGGTAAATATTATATTTTAGGCACCATGTGTGTGGGAGGGCATGTTCATAGGTCAATACTTTTTTTGTAAACTTTGATTTATATACATTTCCATTCTCAATTTTATGTACAGGAACAAGGATGATTTTTTTAAATCAATTTTGTTATTATACTTAAACTAACTTAAAGAAAAACTATACAAAAAATATATTCTTGCATTTCCTTTGTTTATTATTTTAAGGAAATTCAAAATCTGACAACTTCTTTTAATCAATGCCAACCCCTGTCCCCCAAAATACGAATGTTCAGTGCCTTACGGAAATGAATTGTATAAAACGCAATAAGATTTAATTACCACACAATCGTTTCTGTATAAGGCTATTTTTTTTAAATTGGACCTAATCTATTCTCGAAGATTGTGTTCCATAATTATATGAGGCATTTTTCTGCTGTTTGTTCTTTTACTTTTTTCTATCAAAAGTCATCAGTTGTTATTTAACTTTTCATAAATGTTACCATTTTAATAGAAATAAGTTGAAAAATTAGTTGTAGTTTGTGAAAGTCGTTAGATGCCTAATTCAAAATACCGCCTCTGTGATTTTGATATAGTGTGCTCGCCTTGAGAGGTCGTGGATTCGGCCCTCAGCCGGCTGAAACCAAAGATTTAAAAATTGGTGTTTGCTGCTTCTTCGCTAAGCACGCCGCATTTAAGAGCAAGTAGTCTCCTCGGAGTAAAAAATGTGTCTTGGTAGGGTGATATATTTGCATGCAGACTGTCACCTTTGGTGTTAACAGCTTAAACATCCGACCCGCGTGTGTGTCTATTCATAATCACATCACATCAAGATCAAATATTCTTGTCCTGTTATGTATGTAATATGTACCACGTGACGTTAAAAACCAATCCATTCTACCACAGTGAAAGTAGGTTCGAAATAAGCCTTTGGCATTTATCTTACTAGTCTGAAACAATAGCCTTTTGGTATTTACAGTGCTCTCAAAAGGGAAACAGCAGTAGATTAAAATAGAAAAATAGTGTTCTGCCAGCAGATTAATCAATTTCATGCTTATGCCGGTGCAAATTCTAATTCAATTTCCCTTTTCAAAAATAAGGACTGACAAAATAAATTATTTTTCTAATGGCTGTGTCTAAAAAAAACAAAAAAAAAACAAAAAAAAAAAACAAGCACACAACCAATTGAATATTCATATATTCCAAAATTAAGAGTAATAAACACGTTTTACACCATTGTCTATAGTGAAAAAGACGTAAATGTTGGGCATGTGTTGTTGTTTTGAATTTAAGCAGAGATCATTCAAAAGAAATAATTTGTTTGATACTTTTCCCGATTGCCCTAATTGTGATATCTAATTATGAAAATTTTATATTTCATTTTCGAATGAATTTATCTATATTTCAGAATTTGATGATGAACACCCGTTGAATGAAGCCTCGCTTGTACCAGATTTCCCACAGAATGGATATCCAATGCCATTACAGTTGAAACTTACCCCAAAATCAAAACGATATAGTATGCCCACAGGTACTGTAAATTCAGAGATTTTTGCAATGTTTTCATTGCGAAAATTGCTACGGGGTATGTTTCGCAAAAATAAAAATTTGCATTTTGAAATTTTTATAGCATTTGTATGCAGCATTTACTTAAATCACAATCATTAATCTCGCATTTGTGTAATGGTTACACACTTTCTGTTTTCATAAATCAAAAGTAGAAATATGATAATCTACAAATAATAAAGCCACATGTTGTGCAGGATCTGCTTACCCTTCCGGAGGACCTCAGATCACCCCCGTTTTTTGTGGGGTTCGTGTTGCTCAGTATTTAGTTTTCAATGTGTTTTGTATACTTTTATATTTTTATCATCGTTTTTCTTTTATTTCCATGAATTGTCAGTTTGTTTTCGACTCATGAGTTTCATTATCTTTTGCCTCTCTTTTACATATCAGACTTATCTAGCGTTAGTTTATATTGTATTGTTCAAACTGACAAATGGATCAGACACAAGTTTTACAACTTAGTAATGTCTAACAGACCTCCACAGAAACCAGAAAACAGTGAACGACATATAACGACAAATATCTCAAATGTAAAGCATGATCCATTGATATTAGAGAAAAGTACAGTGATGCCATTTCCTTTATTGAAATGAGTTTAAATCGTTAACATTAAAAAGGTATAAATTGATAATTCAGTTTAATACCATTGAATTTACAACTTGAATTTTATGTTGAAAATGACTTTCATACAAGTAATAAGTTATGCACGCCGTAACATTTTAAACTGCGAGATACATGCCAGAACTAGGACAGTCAATTGACAGTGGCATCAAAGAAAATAATTGGAGAACATTTTCCTGAATGAAGGCAATATTATATATGTATATCACACGGATAATGATTGTTTGAATAGATACCTTATGGTTGAATCCTTTTTGTTTTTGTTTTTGTTTTTCTTATTCTTATGGTATTTATATACCAGTACCCTATTGCTATTTGGAATATACATTTTAGGACAGACTTTTATTTAATGTGTTTTTTTTAATCTGTAATAATTGTTCCTGTCATATTATTATTCTTTAAAGATTCCATTACATTTCAAATATATATATTTAATCATTTTGATTGTTTTGTTTTGTTTTTAATTTAGTTGCAAACGTTGAAATCCAAACAGAGCGTTCTTACACATCCCACGAACAAATGTCAGATAGAAATCCTGGAAGCTTTGGTGGACCAACAAAACAATTCCATGGTTCCAACAGAAGTTTAGCAACACAAAAAGGTTATATTTTTTAGTATATGAAATACAACCACCGTTTTATATCAAAGAGCAATAAAATATGATTGCTATAAAGAAAAGCCTGATTTTAAAATTCCATATTATGATGACCAAAACTTGGTTCGCAATATTTCATTTTTAAATGCATATGAAGAACAAGTATTATTAAACTCCCATTGTTTTATGTCCTTTTTTTAATAGTTTTCTTGATACACTAATTTTAAAATATATTTGCAAATCGCCTAGTCAGACTAATTTTATGGCTTTTTATTTTGATTTGAGTTTATAACAAATTCATAGCTAAAAGTAAATTAATAATGGCGGTTAGATTTTCTTCCCGTGAAAATAGCGAAAATATATAACATCAGAGTGAAAATGTTTTACAATAACCAGCTTTAATATTTTCGATTGCAGACTTTGAGAGTCCCGAATATAGTAGTGCAGACCACATATCATCAGTAGCTACGAATAACAAGACGTTACAACAAAGGTTGTTAAATAACGTGAATAACACTCCAACAAAGGAGTTTCCTACAGAGCCTCAGTATCTGCCGTGGCCATGGAGAACTGCCAACCGTGCAATGAGAAGTAAACCGGCTTCTATGAAATCGGGGAGTACCAGTTTTAAATCTCGCATTGCAGAGTTACCAGACTTAGGAGAGTTCACTATACACAATTACGGAATCAAGTATGATGATACCATGTCTAGTGTGAATATGCATCCGCCACCTCGGCGACCATTGTCCAGAGCAAGTTCTGTATACAATCTGTCTAGACCACCTACCAGAATGCTTGAAATGAAGAAAAGTTTCTCACAGGAAAATCTGAATAGATCTAAAACTTCAATGGGACAATTTCCTAAACATCCAAGTAGTAAGTCGCTATTTGATAGATCTGTGTCGCATAACGATGTCAGTAGATCAAAGCCTATCAGGAAACCATTCCAAAAGAGCAAGTTTTTTGAAAAACCTCCTTCAAAGCCTAATAATCCGTCACGTCGGGCATCTGTTGCTACGATCAAATTAATGATGCAACGTAGCAATACACGAATGTTGAACACTATCAGCGAATCAAAGGAACGAATTCCATCGCCACTCAGATATAAACGAAAACCGCCATTGCCACCATATATGAGACCACTGACAAGATCTAAAACTTTACCTACTCCGAGTGCACTAAAAAATGCAGCAAATGTATATGGCACACGTCCTTCAACGGAGAAATTAAAAGAAAATGCAAGATCAATGCTACAGACAAAATTAAGACATAAAAACATGGAACAACCTGTCAGGAGGAAAAAGAAATACAGTAAGAAGAAATCATCGTGGAAATCTCCCTTTTCACTTCCGTCATCTCTACAAACACGCACACTTTCTTTGAAATCATTAAGTAAGATGAAGCATGCGAAGGTAGAACCTGCAAAGTCATCAACCACAATTGCAAGATTTAATGATAGCTTTACTTCAAGAGATTTCGCCACTACAGACCATGACGTTACCTCAGGTTTGTAACTTAGAAATGAAGGGTTGATATGATGTCATACGGCACTATTGACGACACGGTCGTCTTCCTTTTCTTCTGCATCTACTTCTTTTATTTGGAAAGTTTTGTTACGGTTACGTATCTTGATTACCCAATAAACAAAGGTTTCGTCAATCAATTCTGTTGGATGTATGTTTGGACTTGATTTTTTGTTGGTTTGGGTTTTTTTTTATTAACTTACTGTATATTACTAGTAAGATTTATCAAAAGTTGTAAAAAAAGTAACCAAAAATTGCACTTTTGTCTAGGACATAATATATTGACAGTATACTTTTCCCAGGTTTGAAGCAAGAATTACATTTGAAAATAAGTTTGATAAATATGTTACTAGTATGTCTTTTCATTTTCAATGCAAATGCTACATTTTAGTTTGAAAGTTGAGTAAAACAGAAAGTGGGTATTGGTCTAGCAGGCAGCTACCCAATGCCATTAATAAAACAAAAAGACACCAATAGGTCAACATTTGGTATTAAAATACAACTGGCTCTACAATATTCAAAGCTCTAAATCGGCCCTAGGTTAAGCAAATGTCAAAAATTTAGCAAACACTAATAGATCTATCTTAAAGAGAAAATAAACTCTTCAATGACAAAAAGCAACACTCTTTGGATATAACAAAAGATAACCACTGCAAAATAGATTTATTTTTAAAAATCAAATCATAATAAAAGGAGAATATGTCTGAGGACACGAATGCCGCCGCTCAAGCTTGATTATAATACGTAAAGAAACTTAAGTTAGAGTGTGGAAACGGAAAAAAAATGCAATTTTCTAAGTTATAAAGCGGCATAACTCCAGAACGGCAAGTGATTCGGTTCCCAAATTTGGACTCTTGTCTGCGAATTTCGGTTCTAAGTATTGTGTATGAGTTTCATAAAATATGCAGGAGGCTAACTTAAGTTAGAGTGCGGAAACCAAAAAAAAATATGCAATTTTCCAAGTTATAAAATTTATTTCAGATTCAAATGGTGAGAATTTTATGGATGCTGAAATATCACATTTACCAGCTATTGACCATAAGCCAAGATTAGTTTCAGCTGCACCAAAGCGTGAAAATACATATAGAATGGATAAAAAGGTGTATGAAGGTAAGGCCAGTATATATTTTTGTCGAGTTGCGGGTAATAACTGGCTGTGGAATCAGTACACTTTTTTTTACTTTTCGAAAGAATTTCCTAGATATGATATGCCAAATTCTCTTTTTATCAAATGTAGTCGAAATACAATGCATAAGCGTATTTGACGGTAGAGGCCATTTAGCGTTTTTGCAATTAATATTTCATAAAGCCAAAACGTGTCTACTTAGTGTAAAAATGTTGGTAACTTTTACCCGAAAAAATCAAAAACCATTTAATATTTTTCTAAAAAAATCAATATTCGATTCAGAATAATTTTATTTATCTGAATGTGAATGTTTTGAAAAATTTCTTATCATGGCGATTGAGTACCTCAAATCTGTTTTCACAGCTTTTATTTCTGATCAGTTTTAGAGGTAAACATAACCACATGAAATAATAGAAACCACTTTTACAACTTTGGATTAAAATTGCACATCGTGTTAAAACACAACGGGATATACGCTGAAAAAACCAAAAACCTCCATTATATATTATAAAAATAAAAAGTTCTAGTATGATTGCCAATAAGACAAGTTTCCACAAGAGACCAAATGACGAAATATACATGTTATCAAGCTATTACAGGCACTGACATGACAAAATGTAAAACCATTCAAACGAGAAAACCAACAGCCTTATTTATGTACAAAACAACTAACGAAAACCACCGAATTACAGGCTCCTGACCTGAGATAGGCACATACAGAATGAAAATGGCGGGGTTTGCTCAGCCCTTCCCATATCCTTTGACATTGGTGTAACAGCATACGAACATAATTTTGAAAACGGCTTGCTAAGAGAGTTGGGCGCTCACAAACATGTTCAACCCCGCCACTTTCTTTATGTGCCTGTCCCAAGTCAAGAACCATGAAAAATGTACAACCTGTTTTGTTTCAATTACCTTTTGTTATGCAAATTTTCCTATAATGATTACATTGGTAGAGGGTTGCTACTCACAAGGTAGCTATTAAACCAAGAAATTTGAATCATCCCTTCGAAAATTTTACTGGCGCCGTCACAAGTTGTTTGACCGTTATCGAATATCTGTTTCACAGATGACGACGAATATCACTTAAAAATGAATTTTAGTCTGAAACGGTCATTTTTTACGTTAACATCTCTTAAAAGACTGGCAAAAAGAATATTAAATCATTTTCAGTTTTTCAGTCAATTTTCAGATTTATCCACTGCGGTAAACTCAGTAGAGTTCACACAATTTGCTTTCAGTCAATTAAGATTTGTTCAGTATATGCCCAGACTGTTCAGTAGTTGTTATTTTACCTTTTACCTGTACAGATCAATAACATACTGAATTGCCCGAAAAGCTACTGGACAATACTGAATTGACTGCAAGCGAATTGTTGAACAGTACTGATTTTACCATAATCGATAAATCTGAAAATAGACTGAAAGACTGTACATGACTTAATGATTATTTGTTCGGACTTTTCAGACTCAAATTCGTTTACTAACGGTATGTTCCAAAAGAGAGGCGAAAGATACCAAAGTGACATTCAAACTCACAAGTCGAAAATAAACTGACAACGCCATGGCTAAAAGGAAACCGACAAACAGACAAACAGCAGTACAACTGTTGTAACCACAATTCCGTCCTCTTTTCCTCGAATGTGAACTACCGATAAAATCTTATCACCGGGTTTGTACTTTACATAAGCAACACGACCGGTGCGATATGTGGAGCATGATCAACTTACCCTTCCGGAACGCCTGAGATCACCACCAGTTTTTTGTGGGATTCGTGTTTCTCAGTCTTTTTGTTTTATATGTTGTGTTTTGTATACTGTTGTTTGTCTTTTGATCGTTTTTCGTTTTTTACCATGGCATTCAACTTATTAGTTTGAATATCCCTTTGGTATCTTTTGCCTCTCTTTTTGTAGCCAAAACCTGTTTTAAAATAACATACTTGTCTTGTATGTCGTGGTGTTAATGTCGGATTCGTTGTTACACATTTTCACAAAAATCAATAATGGAAGTCGTCACCAGCTATTTTACAATATTTCAGATTCCGGAATATCTACTGACGAATCTCCCACGGGAAAAGTAGCGGAAAACGATGACGCTATGATGTTTCGTGTACAGAAAGTCATAGACAAAGGCAAATTTAAAGTTGTCACGCCTAGAAGTTTTCCTGGTCCTAAGAAAAAAATTATTCCATTTCACTTACCCGATTATTTGAAATGATTATCGTGAATTTATGTGTAAACGAGGATTTTCATGATATTTCAGATTCTGGGATATCGGCTGACGAATCAGCATTGTCTAGTGATGATACGAGATATCCACTTCCGGATATAGTAGAAAACTCAGATCAGACTAAACCTGGACAGTTGAAGCCACCGCCTAGAAGAAAACAATGGCACTAAAAACTAACAAAATCATTACTGATGACAAATAATGATTTTTTTTGTCGAACGTTGTGCATTATAATGTGGTTTATTTTCAAACGTTTGTCCTTGTTGATTTGTACAATGTTATAATGTGGAAAAGCCATATTTGGAAATACTAAATCAAATTTGATACTAGTATAGTAATAATTATCCCTCTTGTTTTATACATGTGTATTGTAAAAATCGAAAAAAGTTAATTTTGTAAAGTTGTTATTTTCCACTGTACAATGTCTGCTGGCTATGTTTTCGGGAACATTTTGATTGTTGGGAATATTATTTCTATATAGTATTTATGAAAAAAGTTAATTGCTTTTTTGTGAAATTAGCAACTGACAAATTTAATGTTGACCATAAATGTTCCTCAAAGAAGTATTTCGAAGAATTTAAATCTAAATAGTAAAAAAAGAAAGAATTGAAATTTTAACACGATTTGTATTTTACGATGCACCTGTTAATATATTAAATAACACTAAATGGCTTTTTGAAACAACAGCAAAATGTAATTCTTAGAAAATACAGGTGGCAATAATGTAATTAACGCCCTTTTTAGCTCTATGGTGCAACAAGTTCCCCTGCATGAACCCAATTTACAAATATTTTGAAGGATGTATACTTACACACAAACATTTGGGGTTATTTCAATATTTAGGAAGATTGTATTTCTCTCGAAAGCTTGGATGGTAAAATTGAAAAAAACAAAGGGTATGTCTTTCATGAAATACGCAAATTTTGAGACAAGAATGCAATTCATTTGAATGAAGAAAAATTATGTTATTTATTTTATTATTACGACTGTTTTTACAAATTCAGAAAATTTTTGAGATGATTAATTTCATAAAGGAATGTTAAGGAATTTTCTTTAAAATATTTTGTTTTGTAGCAAGTAAACGAGTACGTTAGCACCGATTTTATCATGAAAGCACATTTTAAGTGCTATCTAGAATGTCATTTTTTTTTTATTTAAAAATTTACGTTCAGTTATTTTTTCTAATCTAACAATAATGTTTTTTTCGTGTACAATTAAAGAACAGACAATAATGGGCGAGAAATAAAGAATAGACAGAAATATGGTCTAAAAATTAAAGTAACAAAAGTATAACAAAAACACCGAACTCCAAGGTAAATTCAAAAAGGGGTAGTTCATAAAAACTTCACAAAATCAAATGCTATTAATCAACGGATCAAATGAAAAACAACTGGCATATTCCTGACTCAAGTAGTATTTCATTTTCTTGGCATTAGGTTAACATTTTGTTTACCAAACTCGGGTGAAAGAAGTCAACTCTGGAGCGGCTGTGATTGGATGTAAATTATGAAACACATTTTCTTTAGAACTATTTTCATAAATCTGAAGTAAAATGACAGTTGCCATGGATACTATAAACAAGCTTCCTTGGAAGATTGTCATACCACCATTTGACTTCAATTTCTAAAACAGAATAATAAAGTACTAATATCACGCACAACTGTTTTGTCCGGTTTTATTATAGAAATTAGAAAATTTAGAAAATATGTGTACTGTCGCCTATTGAGAATAGAATACCACCGTTCACCCTGAAAGTTATTTTTGTCTTTATTTTTATTTGAAATAGATGGTTTCTTTTATGTTTGTACAAGCTTGTTGTTATTATTTACTGACTGCATAGTTATAAATTTATAAGTTGTTGTTTTTCTGTATTTAAGTAGAAATGGGACATAAAAAGTAAAGAACTTAGTATAATTTATTACAACTAATTTTATCAGGTAAAATGTATAATAGTTAAAGGAGATGTGGGGTATACGTCAGTGAACAATCAACCAAATGCTTAAGAAAAACAACATCTAGTGCTCAGCAAGTTTTCTTCATCAATTGACAATAATCTATACAATATATCATGCTCTAAGTCGCATTGGATCAAAAAAGTGAACAAATTAAAGAGACTATCAAATATTGTTTAGACAAACATGTAAACATTTGTTTTGATTTTGTTAAATGCAGACATTTATCTAGAACGGCATTTGTAAGTGGCAAATATACAGCGGAATCTCTTCCAGTTTATTTAATGTACATTGGTACATTGTAGTTTTACGTTCCCTTTTTAATCCGACACACAAAAGAATTAGCACTATGCTTGATATGTCATTCGTTGTATACAAGTATCATCAAATGGCCAATATGGTAAAATCATAACTGTTACATTTTAATATCTTGAATCGAGTCTCCGTCATAGAACATTTTCGCACTTTACACACAAGGATCAAGGGATGTGTATTTATTTTTATGCAGCTGTTTTATGTAAAAAAAAAGTACTCCTTTTCATATTTCCAATTCGGTTTATAGCTTTTGAAATTTTCGTAAACACTCCATTGATAACTGAGAAAGACTTTTAGGAATTATTGGAAACGTTGCATTGATAACTCAAGAAAGACTTTTTTGAAATTTTCGGAAACGCTCCATTGATAAATGAGAACGACTTTTTGAAATTTTCGGAAACGCTCCATTGATAACTGAGAAAGACTTTTAGGAATTTTCAGAAACACTCCATTCAGAACAGGGAAAGACTTTTAGGAATTTTCGGAAACACTCAATTGAAAACTGAAAAAGAAGTTTTTGAAAAGAAGACAAATGTTAAGTGAGTTTAGTGTATACATGTAGGAATCTATATCTTGCATTTCACATTTCCATATCGGACTTTAAAATTCAAAGGTAAACCCTTAAAATTTGGCAAATAACGGGACACTGGTTTATTAAAGAGATAAAGATGTTATTCTAAACGGAATCAATAAAATCTGTCTACATAATCAAAACAAACAAGTTTCAAGGATAAAATTGAGAATGGAAATGGGGAATGTGTCAAAAAGACAACAACCCGACCTTAGAGCAGACAACAGCCGAAGGCCACCAATGGGTCTTCCATGCAGCGAGAAACTCCCGCACCCGGAGTCGTCCTTCAGCTGGCCCCTAAACAAATATGTATACTAGTTCAGTGATAATGGACGTCATACTAAACTCCAAATTATACACAAGAAACTAAAATTAAAAATGATACAAGACTAACAAAGGCCAGAGGCTCCTGACTTGGGACAGGCGCAAAAATGCGGCGGGGTTAAACATGTTTTTTGAGATCTCAACCCTCCCCTATACCTCTAGCCAATGTAGAAAAAACAAACGTACAACAGTACGCACAGTAAAACTCAGCTTAAGAGAAGTACGAGTCCGATGTCAGAATAGGAAACAAAAGAAAATAAACAAAATGACAATAATACATAAATAACAACAGACTACTAGCAGTTACTGACATGCCAGCTCCAGACCTCAATTAAACTGATTGAAAGATTATTTCTTCATCATATGAAAATCAGGCACAATCCCTCCTGTTAGGGGTTTAGTATTATACCATCATGAAATATATGAGAAGAAGATAACCCGTGTCATGCCAACAACTGGTTTTAGAATAAATATGTTTAATTCCGATGCAAGGATGTATACTTGTAACTACTGAAACGTTTTCATACTTCTTCATTCTAGTTATCGAACATTGTGAAAATAAATAATAATTAATAAGAAAGCTTGAAATAATCATCCTAAATTGAAGATGCAATGAAAACTGTTTTTAAAACTTTAAAACTTGATTTAAATATTGTAGTTTTTAAAATATAAATGTTCATTAACACTTCAGAGTATTTATTTCCATATTTGCGCAAAGCCTCCACTGACCTCCAGATAATTTGTTTACTTGGAGACTTGTCTTTCATTAGCACCTCTGCAAAAGATGGAACTGTAAATGGTATCCATAGAAACATTTCAAACATATTGTGTTCATACGAAAGTTTTGACACAGAAACAACCGGTAGGTAAATATTTATTGAATTTTGAAGTAAAATTATTTTTTTTTGTATCATTACAACATAAAGATTTCTATTTCAGTGAATATAGAAGGATATATACTGAAAAAAATTTTAATTCAAAATTACCAGATGTAAATTACGTTACAATGGACTCGGTCCGAACTCGAACTGTAGTATGTATCAGTGAATGTTAAGGAGCAGGCGCTTTTATAGATACGATATTTTTCTCTAGTTGTCCATATACATTGTGTTGTGTTCAAACTTTTGTATGTCTCATGGACCGTACATGTATATATTTGTTGTGTAGTGTTTTTTTTTATTTGTCGAAACATTGAGGTTTTCTCAACGTCCATTATAACATATGCAAAACCATAACGACACAAAAAAAAATAATAATACTTTAAATATGGTATGCGTCCGAAGCGTTTTTCTATGTTTACCTTCATTAGGAACGATCAAAGCCAAATATTTGAAAGCCAAGGATGTATAATACCGAAACACACGAAGAGCCAAATATGACCAAATGGAACCTTAAACTGTAACTTTGTCTGAGGCAGTAGATACTTTAGTTTCTTAATGATTTCTATTATTTTCTATTATTATTACAAAAGTATTAAAGAGCTGTAAAAAAGAAGCATAACAATTACATATATTTCCACGCCAAAATACATACAAAAGATATGCATTCAATTATGTAAATTATATTACATTATAGAAACAAGCAAAGAGGTAGGGTCAATTTGTTTTTTGTCAATCTATTTGTATGTTTGTTTGAAATTTTAGTCGGTTGTGTTGTATGCCTGTAATTTATGTTTGCACGTTATGGACCTCCCCCTTTTTGAATTTACTTTGGAGTTTTTGTTATAATTTTTTTCAATTCTAATGTTGGTTAGGGATGTTCTTCGCAGCCAAATTTCAACAACAAAAAAAACATTAAAAATTTGCAGTATTGTATATAAAAAAATAAACTGGCTTATTTGTTACACCAGACGCGCGTTACATCTACATAAGAATCATCACAAGCGCCCGAATCAATGCAATAAGACTGTCTTCAACAATAATATTTTGCGCTGAAAGACATTTTGATTTCATGGATATGTGTATAATTGTTGTAAAATATTTAATGGGTAGGACTTAAACTCGGGAAACTCAAATACCAGTAGTTTTAAACAACATCGGATGCTGAAACAAATAATGAATAAATTAAATTCAGCAGAAATGAACCCTACCCCTTACATACACCGTCATAAGCAAACACACCCACATTAACTTGGTCTACTCTTGATTGATTTTTATGTACTTTAAGCTCAAATGTGTATGTATACACACTCTTTCCTAAACAGTTTATCGACAGGTTGTATACTTATATGCCATCTGCGCCCCTGTTCTTTTATTGTTATGAATCACAGTTTTCGACAAAACTCAGAAAACATCCATCTATATTCCATTTAATAGAAAAATTTGATAACATTTTCCTTTTTCTTGTTGGTATTTTTGCTTCTAATAATCAAAATTTTCTTATCATACTGCGAAAATTTCCCCATGGGAGCTAACTTTAAATAAATCTAATATAAACAGAAGTTATCATTTTTCTTTTCTGGATTTGAATATTTCAGATGAAACTGGAAATTCCATGATTAACAAATTTTTGGACTAAAGAGACGATTTTTGTTTCCTATTGTCGATTTCCTTTTTTTAGGACGGAATATTCCTTTGGCTCATCCTTTCTGTGTGTATATTTTCAAACTCGTTCGCTATACCCGTGTCTGTAGTACCGTTTAAATACACGTAATCTATGTATAACTGGAAAAACTTTAAGCAGGGGAATTCGTTTCCACAAATAACTTAAATTTCTTCATAGATAAAAAGACTTGGTTTGGAAGTTTTGTTTTACCTGTAAAAACATTATTACAAACCGGATATCACACCCGTAGTCTTAATGCGATGTTGTTCAAAGAGCCCGCCAATTTAGATACGATCAATACAAACTTATTAATCCGTTGAATACACATATTATTAAAGGTTATCATATTAACACTGTAGTAAGGTCGTTAACTATTATCTTTATACGATACTTCGAATACAAATCAGATTTTTGTTTGGATCTATTAAGTCAAGCCAATCCCAACTGATTGTTATTGTTTGTTCTTCTGTTGTACTGTAACAGCAAAGTCCAAGATGAGGAGAGAGTTGAGCAAAAGCATGTTTAACCAAACTGTACTCGTTATGTGCCTGTCCCAAGTCAGGATCTTGCTATATAGTGGTTGTCGTCTGCCTGTCATATTTGCTTCTCTTTTATAGTTTTATCTTAAATCAGACCGTTGATTTTCTCTTTTGAATTGTTTCACATGTTATCATACCGTTGCCACTTATAGCCTACCTCACTGAATGGATTTTGCCCATTGTTGAAGGCCGTACGGTGACCTATAGTTGTTTACCTCCTCGTCCTTTGGTTTATGGTGGATAAAGTGTAGTTGTCTCGTCGGCAATCATACATGTACTGTGCCATAAAACATCAATCCATGGAACTAGCGACCAACCAGTTTGAGATTCACATCTTAAGGATATAATCAAAATTAAAACGTCGACCGCAAATGATTTGAATTGAAAAGCTTAATTTTTACATGATACGTTATTTCCTTTTTAGCTCACATGACTCATATGGTCACTGTAATTTTTTTTGTCGCTTGGCGCCATGTGCTGTTTCTTTTTCCTTCATTTTAATCCCCGTTTACAATTTCCCCAAGATTGATTCAAATCCAACATACATGTGTAACAGAAATAATATACGGTAGGTCATTTTCTATAAGTCTTCTACAGTATAAGTCTTTAATTTGTCCAAATTAGGTAAAAAAAATCTAGGCGATCTTTTTATTCTTTGATTTCAAGTTTTGGCACACACACGTATCATATTTACGTCTGGGAATAAAAACACTAATTTTTAGTTGCCATCAAAATCATTGAAATTTTCATTGAGAGTTTCAGCAACTTAAAATAAATTGATTCTAAAACCGTCATAAAACATGCGCTGTGTCTTCAATAAAACCATCACATACATAACATACTCTGTTTTCTAAAGCTATATTTGCATATCTCCTCAACGGGGCTATTCCACATCTTAATTTGACGAAAGCGCTTCCGTGACTAGAAGGCAAAGCTGTTTTACCATATTCTTCAGGTTCAGGTTTTTTTTAACAATTTGTAAGTTCGTAGATTATTTCAACCTCAACCCGATTTATCGGAATTGTTGGCAAATAAGCATGCCAATTATCGATATGTTTGTCATGCGATTTTTACACAAAAAGTTTTACAGCCTTATTAGTGTCCATATTTTCAGTAAATGACTTAAATTTAGTTCACAGAAAGTTTAGTCCTGACTAAAACGTTTAACACACTTGTGCTTTATAATTCTTATTGTCATCCAACTTTAATATGAACTTTTGTATTTAATCGATATCATAACTTACAAGAATCTGGATGTTTGAAATGTAGCCATGGCAACTCTTTACAGTATGCGGTAGTCCTTTACTAGTATAGTTATGAAATCAATGTTTTATCAACAAGTGATAATTAAGTAGCATTACACTTTTCATTATGGGAACTTAAAAATGACGCAAATATGTGAAAATAACTTTCGATGTTTTGAATGTACTACAAGCTATAATTTAAGTAAAATTCGATTTTTGGAATTTACTACCAGCTATAATTTCGACAGTTTCGACGTTTGGAATGTACTTCATCTAATTTATTCAACATAACTTTCATAAATCTTAATAATAGAATTTCCCAAACCAAAGTTAATGATAAACGGGACGACTTTTCCATAAAGGTGGCTCGGCCTTTTAACAGTGCGCAGTTTTTAACGCATGTTTCAAACGACGAGCGCGTGCTTTTCGTCTTGGAAACGATGGCTTTGAGGGGTCTTCTCAAAAATAATTTTGACGACATCGGAACGCGGGCGTGTCTGAGAGCACCCTTTCTCGGTGTCAACAAGCGATGCAAAAACTTTCTTCAATAAACGAAATACGGTCAGAAATACAGAGTGGTTAGTTACTTTTTCACATAAAATTTTAAAAGGACAGAAATATAAGTATGATGTTGTGCATAACACTAATAAAATTGTAACATTGACATGGTGTACGACTGCCAATGACGCAACGTTTAACCGTAAACAAAGGACCTGTATGTCATCATACGGCCTTCAACAACGAGTAAAATCCATACAGTATGCTTTAAATGGAATCGAGAGTTTCATCTGCACACTATCAGTTTTGCGTTTTATTACATTTTGTCACTGTCATAAATACGTAACTTGAAATATCTTCATGTTTAAGTAATGACCAGGAGTTTATTGAGGGTCATAATATGGGGGTACAATGTACCTTCATGAAGAATAACGGTAAAAAATCTTAACAAATGACGTTAACGGTAATTTTAAGTGCATGACGATAAAATGTAATTTTCTTTATGACAATAAAAAAAATCGACTGATTTTGACGAATCACGTTAAATTTATTCCCAAAAATAACGGTAACGGATAATTATTTGAAACCTCTGACAAATCACGATAAGGATATTTTGCGAATCACGATAAAATTTTAACCAATTTGTCGCTAACGGTAGCCGAAAATGACCGTTTGACGCCTGACGAGGGGGGAGAGGTGACTGTTAACAAATTATGATCAAAGCATATCGACCAATAAAATATATTGCCCTATACTGTAGGGGTTCTAATTTACAAATAGACCATTTAGTTTCTTGCCAACGAACTCAACAATCATACTTTTTGTAACCGATATTTTACCACCAGGTTACATGCTCACAATTTGTCGGTTTACGGTCAAATGAACACAGAAGGATAGCCAGTCATTACAAATATATCATGTAAAACTAAGAAAAGACATTTAGAATACGTTGGGCAAACATCATTCATGTTTTAACCCATGGACGTTTTCAACCGCAGCGAGTATTTTGAGACAACCCCCTCATTTGTTTTTTTCGTGATACTGATAACATTAGGCTGCCTTCAATGTTCAAATCTATGTTTTTATATGCAATAACTCTACCTTCAACTTTGTATATTCGCCACTATGTCTGCTATTCAGGTATAAAGTCGTATTCATCAGAAGTGTGTGCTGCGATCCTGACATTTCCGTTGTCCGTTTTGGGCTACAAATTAAAGGGAAACAACTCGCGCCCGACAAACTTACCGTATTTCACCAAAATAATCTAAATTTCGCTTTGTAATTACAAATAATTATACGTTAAACAAATTAATATTCAAATATCGTCCATTGATATAATTGCACACATTATTTTATTAAAGCAATCAATAGAAAATACACAAAAAAGTAATTAATGGAGTGCACTGAAATCAGACCAATTGGGTTAGAGGGGTAAAACAAAAGTTCATAACTTTTTTAAAAGCCTGGTGACCCCCATTTTATTTTACCTTAAAAATGCTTATGCTCGAAAAGTTCATAGCTTTGACATATCCGTTTAAAAAAAAATTCACCGGGGAAATTTTACGAAAAGTCGATTTAACCAATATTTTTAGCCTAAAACTGAAATTAGAAAATGGCAAAATTTGGACATAAATCTAAAAATAAAAGGAATTTTAAGTCTAAATCAACCAAGGAAAACGTTTAGATTTAGAATTTTAATGTTTTTTCACATAATAATCATACTGACTTAGTTCTCAAAGTCTTTGAATTTAATGAAGCTCTTATTGTTGAAAGGCAGGAAATGCTTGAAAATAGGGTTAAAAGTGCTAATTTCGCTCCCCCTTTGAGGAAAACACGAGCCTGGTGACCCCCTTTTTTCTTTGCATTTTTTGATTCAGCATAAAAAGATCTTCAAAATTTGTGAAAATGAAAATTTTCTACCGGGGACCCTCATGGGGTGGGCCACCTTAATTTATTATAGTTAATGTTCTTTCCTTTTTTGTGGGGATGCCTCGTTGACCCCTTCTAATCAAGTATAATTTCCTCGGTGGATTATCTGTGTTGTTTAATTGCTGCAAAATTGATGTGTATATTAAAAAGTATGTAAGTTACCGTTTAACATTTATTATCGTCCATGGATATCTCTTTAATTCGTTTTTTAATCTGCCAAAGGAACATAGACGACAAGAAATACGGAACCAAGTAAAACATTATTCCTTCATAATATATCGATTTCTTTTATTTGTTCTTTGAATAACATGAGGTTTTAACACGGAAGAAATGTCTTTTTGTTACCTGTTTTTTTTAATAATAAAGTACATTTAAAAAAGCGATTTTTATACGGGTCCTTATCATATGCTGTTATCCTTTCTTACAATATTCATCATGCACTATATTTCCATATTATTCAGATGAAAAATATGGGTGACTCAAAAATTCACCCCACAAAGACTCAACAACACACTCATGAGGGACGATCAGTGTCCACTGATTCCATTATTTCTCTGACTCCGTCACAGATCAATGACGCAATAACGAGCATGCTGAGCATGAGACAAGTAGCAACAAAGTGCGACGCTGTTTGTAGAGGTACGTTTACAATAGATAAATAGCAACGCGATATGACACTTTGTGTAGAGGTACGTTTACAATAGATAATAGCAACAAGATGTGACACTGTATGCTGAAGTACTAAGCTAACAATAGATAAGTAGCAACAAAGTGTGACGCTGTTTGTAGAAGTACGTTTGCAATAGAAAATTAGCAACAAGATATGACATTGTATGTAAATATACGTTTACAATAGATAAATAGCAACAAGATGTGACACACTGTATGTTGAGGTAGTACTACGTTTACAATAGATAAATGGCAACAAGATGTTACACTGTTTGTAGAGGTTCGTATACAATAGACAATTAGCAACACGGTATGACACTTTATGTAGAGTTTACAATAGATAATAGCAACAAGATGTGACACTTTATGTTGAGGTAGGTTTACACGGTTCTTCAATCTGTCTATACCTATATTTTGACATTGCGCAAGGTAATGTTTTTCTCTGACTGTTAATGACGTCATTACACTAAATCCATTAGATATTGGATGTGTACGGATTGATAATTTAGTCTTAGAAACATAATTTTTTTGTTAGTTGTTATTGGCTTTGAACTAGCTGTCAGTAACTGCGAGTACTCTCAGATCTGTATTCAGTGTCTTTTTTGTTGTAAGATGTATAAATACCATGCCACGTCCGGTCTGTGTTTTTGTCACTTTTTTGTTGCTATGTATCGATCTGATGAGTTAAGCTCTTTTCAACTTTTATAGTTTTATGACACTGATATTGAAGTACGTATACAATAGCCAATAAGCAACAAGATACGACACTATATATAGAGGTACGTTTACAATCGATAAAAGCAACACGATGTGACATACTTTATGAAGAGGTATGTTCCAATCGTCGTAACCGCAATCCCGTCCTCCTTTTCCCCGAATGTGACCTACCGCATTTGGCTTATCACCAGGTTTAAACTCACATGAGCAACACGACAAGGGCCACACATGGAGCAGGAAATACTTACCATTCCGGAGCACATGAGATTACCCCCGTTTTTTTGGTGAGGTTCGTGTTGCGCAGTCTTTTGTTTTCTATGTTGTGTTTTGTATACTTAACTCGTACTTTTTTTGTCTCTTGATCTTGATTTGTTGCCATGGCGTTGTTAGTCTATTTCCGACTTACGAGTTTGAATGTCCCTTTGGTATCTTTCGCCTCTCTTTTACAACAGATAATTAGCTACAAGATGTGTCACTGTATTTAGAAGTACGTTTACAATTAATAATAAGTAGCAACTATTTGTGAAATCATAATTATGCAGAGGTATTTTAAACCAGGCTGAAGATGTTATTCTAGTTTTACACGTCTTATTTGTCACAATTTTTCAGAATTTTCGGTTTTTTCGGTTTTTAATGCTGTTCAAATTTTTAATTGATTTTGCCTTCTCACTGTTTTCATTCAAGAGTCACTGATGGTACCTATATAGACAGAACGTGCGTCTAGCCTACAACATTTTTACATAACTTATGCCAAAGCAGTGTCATATATAATTTGTTTTGCACAGTACAACAAATCACATCAACTACAATCAACCGACTTTTCCGAAAAACTGACATACAAACATAGACAAACATCAACGAAAAAAAACACATGGTCCAGACAGCCAGACTTGGTACAGGTACAAAATGTAAATTTAACGCAATACAGCTGTAATTCCGTCCAAAATATTAAAATATTAAAGATGATATTGCATATATTGAAGTGTTGAAAAGTAATACAAACTTCCCAAGTTTTTCTCTATATATAAATATTTGTACAATAATATTGATGACTGTTGGGCCTCCAATGGTATATAGGTACATTCAGGACGATTGCACGTTACACTCTGTATCCATCGTGTATACCAATTTCAAACGTATTATGTTTAATCGAACCCACGACGTCCCGCTCTCAAAGAGAGCATGCTACCCTGAGACCACCAATGCGATTATATTTCATTTTGCATGATCATAAAAGGTGAAAAAATATAAATATCTATCTACAGGTAACCCAATTACAGATGCTGGAAAACGCAAGCAAATGATAAAGATGTTGTCCGTAGTTATGATTCCAGTACTTGTAATTACAGGGATGACAGCAAATACCTTCATTATTGCAATAGACAGCTATATTAGTTCATCCAGCGTTCGAGAACTACTGTCTTTCAGTATAGAGCTCGGTGCTTTACTCCGTACCATACAGTTTGAACGGGATATGAGTGCACTCTATGTCAGTAATATAAAGCCTGAGACAAAAGATTTCTTGCTTCAACGGTATCCTGACACAGATCTAGCTATTCAGAATTTATCAAAATGGCCAAGAGGTGACGACATTATAAACGAAATGGAGACACGGGAGCGTTTTTTGTCTTACCTTAACAAACATAGGTACCAACTAGACGTTTACAATCAGTCAGTGGAAACGGAACTAAATTTTTACTCTAACAGCATCATGGTCTTATTAACATGGTTGTATGATTCCGTCAGCGAGTCCAGTACAGGTTCAGTCTGGAAAGATGTTGTAGCTTATCAAGAAATTATCGTGTCCAGCGAACTATTTGGAAGAGAAAGAGCATTAGGTGTATCATTCTATGCGACGGGCGGATTTGAGACAAGAGAAGAATATTTGCTATTTATGGAAAATCAGGATAGAGCTAATGTGACGTTCGAGTCCGCAAGATTTTATTCGCAAATAGCATTTGATATTTATAATTTCGAATTGGCTAAGAATGCAAATGTAAGTGGGCGTATAGAAGAGTTCAGGAATCGAATCAAGTCAAATAACTATTCCCGTGAATCAGCATCAATTACGGAAGCACAGATGTGGTTTGATAACATGACTATATACCAAGGCGTTTTGACAAGGACACAGAACGCACTTGCACTTACAATAGACGAGAATCTTGCCAAAGCCTCGGACGAGGAACTGAAGAGTGTTATCACTATTTGTATTGTTTTTGGAGTTATTTTGATTGTTTGCCCACTGATTGTTTTTGCTGTCTACTCACTTACATCGGAAATTCAAAAGTACTCCATCTCAATTGCAAATAGGTAAGATGTAAAAATCACCTTCGACATTGAATTAGCATGAGAATGTATTGATTAGAAAACGTTTCATAAAGGCGTTTCGCGATTTTAACAATGTGATTTTTAAATAATATTTGAAAATAAATGTTCTCGTGAACATGATTTAATTTAAGTATTAATTCAATATCAATCACTAAAGATTGATAACTCTTTCAGCCCAATCAGAGATCACATCCACTAGTAGTGCGACTGGTTTTTTCATAAGTTGTGCTACCATATTTTAAAGAAATAAGCTGTTTGATAACAGGACCACTGTTATCAAATAACAAGATTCCCTGTTTTCAAATAACATGATTTTCTGTTATCTAATAGCAAGGTTTCCTGTTATCAAACGTTTCGAGTTAACACACAAGTACTTAGCATATAACCGAGATAAGAATATTACATTTAATCATAGAACGAATATTAATAATATTCCATTTCAAGCATTTGATAAATATTTATGAACTGTTAAAGAGTGTGCGATAGAAAACGAAACCTATAGATCTAACATTATTGATTATATAATAATTAAGTTATTTGATTACAGAACTAAGGCACTTAATAAAGAAAAGAAATTGACAGACATGCTCTTATATCAGATGTTACCTAGAGAGGTAGCAGAAATGCTGAAAAGAAGTGAACAGGTTAACGCAGAGCAGTACAGTGAGTCCACTATATTCTTCAGTGATATAGTAGGATTCACATCCATTTCTGCTCAGAGCTCTCCGTTGCAGGTTGTGGACATGCTGAATAATTTGTACTCTTGTTTTGACGAGAGGATTGATGTTTATGATGTGTACAAAGTAGAAACAATTGGGGATGCTTACATGGTCGTTTCAGGTAATTAATGCATATCTAAGGGTTATAGACACTTTCTGTTGCATTTGTTTTACTAACAGAGTCAATATTAGAATTTTGAATATTCAAAAGACTAACTAATATTTCAATATTTTTTTGTAATATTCATTAGATTAAAATATTATTCAGCCATACACTTTTTTGTCGAAGACAATTTTAATAGAAGTTTTACAAGGTTTTGTACATTTTCGCATTGGAGGACATCTTGAACTTCTATGAGTTAATATACATACTTCAGCTCGAGCACTTCCTGTTATCTTTATTTGCCAAACATAGGAGTCATGAAGTCAGAACTGTGATATCGTGCATTCCAATTAAATTCTAAGATTTTTTGAAAATGAAAATGATAGGGAAATAGACAAAGAAGCATGGTCATATTCTATTAGTATTTTTGCATATGATTGCACTCGTATCTTAACAAAAGGTTAGATTTCTTTATGGTGCTAGGGGGCGTCTTAAACTTGCAGTGAGGTGATAGTTTTTTTGCTGCTGGTTGAAGGCCTCACTGTGACTTGAGTAATAAAAGCGCTATTCCTTTGCTTTTTGTGTTTCTTGCTGTACATATACTAATTTTGTGTCATGGATCGATACCCATATACTTTTCTATCACAATAAATTCCTGAAATATTTTTAATAGTAAAATAATAACAAAAGAGTATGTCCGTTGAAATTGTAGTGCTATGTTTTCTTATGTAAACAAATAATTAAATTCTATTTATTTAATTGTAAATTCTGTATTTTTCAATAATTACAATATTCTTTTATTGTGACTTTAAGTTTTATTTTATATGAGGTAGCAATTACTCTAAGCTCAATGCAGAACGTAAAATTAATATATAAACATCTTTCGAAATTCTTAATTGATCTTCGAACATAATTTTATTATATACAAGTTTTTCATACCTTGTTGGTAAATACTTGTTTTAAGCTTCTTTTTGGGATTTGGAAATGTATCTTCTATGTACGGAACAAACGGTAACTGTACATCTTTCTATGCTTGGAATACTGCTTTTGTCATATATGAATTCATTTTCAGGTTTTATTGTAAAAGGTAATAAATTGTATTGTCTCTCTGAATATTTCTTTCTCTTGCAAAATAATATTGCTTTGTCTGTGTGGCTATTTACAGCATGACCTATATATGATACAATCGAATAGTTCGGAAGAATAGTGACAGTAGACACATTTAAATTCTGCCAAAACACCATAGAATTACTCAGTATAACCATAGGATCGTGTATTATGGACTTTGAAGGTGATGAATTCAGTGCAATATTGATAGGGGAAACAAAAATTTATCAATTCTAAGTCAAACTCAGTAAAGATCCCTTTGAATTCCATTTTATTGATAAATTTAATAACACTCAACTTTACCTTGATGATGTTTTTTCTTTAGATAATCAAGAATTCTTTGAGTATACTGTTGAAGTTTCCCCAAGGGAACTTCCTTTAAATAAATCTAATAATAACAGTAGGTAATAGATTTTCTTGATTTGGATACTTTAGTTTGATACAGAAAAATCAAAACAAAAATTTACCACAAAAGAGATGATTTTTTGGGGGGTGGTGATTCCCTTTCGGTCCCTTCTTACGGTGTAAATATTTCCCAACTCGTTCGCTGTGCCCCATGTCTGTGGTGACGTTTTAGATTTCGATGAACGAAATCTATCATAATGCATTAAAAAGTTGCAAAGCCATTATGCCCTAATATCTCTCTATGTTGAACGACAATGCTACGTAGCTAGTACGTCGATTGTAAAATTATTCCGAGTTGATTGGACATGCTCCTATTTCTGCTAGAACATTGCGCCAGTCTTTGTATAAATATCTTTATTATATGTTTTTGTTCATATTGGATGGAGAGTTGTCTCATTGGTACTCATACCACATCTTCTGATTTATATATACGGTGTCATTTTGGATTCCCTGACGTCAAAATAGATTATTTAGCTAGCAAGTTTTTTTTTGCTATCTTAATCTATGTAATGGTTAGATTTCGTCGGTAAACTTTAGAAAAAGCATACTGTTAGTAAATTTTGTTAAAATGTTTGAATACACAATTCTGATGTGTCATCATTTAAGGATGTACAGATATCTATAGTGTTATCAAAATATGGTATGGACAATTCGAATCATTTCCTAATTAAATATACATATGATCGTTTTTAGGTGTACCAAAGCGTAATGGTATACGCCATGCGTCTGAGATAGCTACAGTGGCCCTGGATCTTCTTGATCACGTGAAGAAACTCGAGATTCAGCATCTTCCCGAAACTAAGTTTAAACTCAGAATTGGAGCGCATTCAGGTAACACAACAGATAATGTCATTTTCTTGAGATGTTTTTGCTGCTGTTTCGGATTTAAATTTTATTATTATTTTTTTCTCGGTCAATGATGAGTTAAATTAGCTAACCAAAACTACAATCGATTGATAGTTGTTGAAATATTTTTACGGTGATTTTACTATTTTTTTTATATAATTTAATACAGCAGTAGTTTGCCTGATATATATATGGCTTTCCAAATACCGTTTCGATTCCTAACATCACTGAAGAGACATTTATTGTCGAAATCCGGATATGGTGTACAAAAACCTTTGCACCTTTTGTTTGTGGTATACCATCTTTTCCGCAAGTTTATTGTTTTCTTTTTAGTATTAAATTTATAATTAAGATCCATTTATTACATCGGTGATCCGTTTATTTGGCAATCGCCAATGGCAGTCAGCAGGGTTTAAGAACATTTGTTGTTCGACCTGTTAGTCAAATGCGTTTTGTTAAAATATACTTTTTCACTTTTTTGGTCTTTTGGAAAATGTTGTTTGTGCTGTATTTAGACCCCTCTAACAAGAAATTTGTTTTGCATGCACACGTATAAAAATTGCGGTTTTTATCCAACGCAATCATAGGTTTGAACGTTGTTTTCAATTTAGACTTGTTTATATTTTTTCGTTTGGGCTTGTATTATATTTGCCTTCGGGTTTATATGATCCGTTCATCCTATTTTGACTCCTCAAAATTCAAGAGTCTATCCTAAATTGAGTTAAATTGTATGGCTTTCCAAATACCGTTTCGATTCCTAACATCACTGAAGAGACATTTATTGTCGAAATCCGGATATGGTGTACAAAAACCTTTGCACCTTTTGTTTGCGGTATACCATCTTTTCCGCAAGTTTATTGTTTTCTGTTTAGTATTAAATTTATAATTAAGATCCATTTATTACATCGGTGATCCGTTTTTTTGCAATCGCCAATGGCAGTCAGCAGGGTTTAAGAACATTTGTTGTTCGACCTGTTAGTCAAATGCGTTTTGTTAAAATATACTTTTTCACTTTTTTGGTCTTTTGGAAAATGTTGTTTGTGCTGTATTTAGACCCCTCTAACAAGAAATTTGTTTTGCATGCACGTATAAAAATTGCGGTTTTTATCCAACGCAATCATAGGTTTGAACGTTGTTTTTAATTTAGACTTGTATATATATATATATATATATATATATAGATTGCCTAACAATGTAATTTTAACACACTATTTAGTATGTAAATATAAGAATGTTTAAAATATTTACAAAATGATGAAAATAAACGCAATATTTCGCTAGACTAACTAGCTTTATCAAGCGTGCATCTATCCAGGTGAAATCGGATGTAGATGATAAGAAACTTTTGCAGCTCAATGTATATATTGCACTTGAATTTAGCTGCCTTGAAAATAATACATAATTTGGATGAAGTTCAAGATTTTTACAAAATTGGTAGTTGAAGTTAGCAACGTCCATTGGCCAATATTACAGGATAAAAAGGACGATGCTGTGTACTAAATTATTCTTTATCTTTCCTGTATCTTTTCTCATCTTTTTCGTTAAGACCATCAGGTTCTAAAGTGTGGAGTTGGTGGATCCAAAAATTTTCTCTTCTCCTTCTCGCCGTGGTGTCCCACTCGGTGTTGACTTCTATGATTTGGAAGGTAACATTATCAAAAGAATGTTTCGTTGAACGAAGATGTCTTGTGAGAGGACAGTTTTTGTTGGTTTTGTACCATGAACGATGGTTATTGAGCCGAATATTAAATTTGTCCATTGTTTCTCCCACATACTGAATGCCACATGTGTCACATGTTAATATATAAATTGAGTTCTCCGTTTTACAGTTGGAATTTGAGTAGATGGTATAATTTTGTTTAGTAACGGAGCTGATGAAAGAACTGCTTGTATTGGCAGCTTTACAACACAAGCAGTTCCTTCGACCACATTGTTTGTAGCAACCGGGAGATGGAGTAGGCTGCTTTGCTAATACAGATGTCACTAATTTGTCACGGATGTTTTTAGGTCTTCTGAAGGCCATGACTGGTGGTGAGGAAAATACTTTTTTAAGATTTGAATCATTTTCTATAATTTTCCAATGCTTCTGAACAATGGAAGACACATTTTTAAAATCAGGATGGTAAGTGAGTACAAGGGGTGTTCTGTTAGCTGCTTTATTCTTATCTTTGTACTCTAGAAGTTCTTGGCGACTAGTTTTGTTTGCTCTTTCGAAAGCGCTATCAATGATGTTGTTATTGTATCCTCGAACAACTAGATGTTTACGTAGTTGTCCAAGTCTAGTATTTTGCGTATTTTCAGTAGAGCATATTCTCTTGATTCGCAATGCCTGGCTGAATGGGATGCCACGGGAGCAGTGTTTAGGATGGCAACTCTTAGGAGAAAGGAATTGATGTTTGTCCGTTTGTTTGGTATGAAGGTCCGTTATAATGGTTCCGTTCTTGATGTAACTCGTAGTGTCGAGGAAGTTTATTTTCTCCATAGATGATTCATATATATATATATATATATATATATATTAGGAATGTCAACTCGGTGAACAATTACTAATCGAGTACTCGTTGGTTTTATCGAGCGATACTCGAGTACTCGCTCGGGAATATATCTACAACACGGAAACACGTATTTTACATTCTGTGGTTTGTTGTTCAACGGACGAAAAACCATCTACATAAGAAAATGGGACAAGGAATTACACACCATAATTAATAGCTCATTAGCTACAAGTACCAATTAAATAAACCGACAATAATCTAATCAAATAATTTAATGAGCACCTATTTAGAAATCACAAGGAAAAACCATATCAAACAATAGTATTTGGTAATCGTTAAGAAAACACATTTACTGCTTACAAAGGCGTAAGGATTAGAAGTTTAACTATTCACTGAGGGTCACCAGAGGATGCAACGAATTTATTCTATTTGGAAATATTATCTTGTCAACTATTATTGGGGACAGTCGGTTTTGCAACTTTGTAAATTACAGTCTTTCAGACGAAAATGTTTTCTCTGACGATACCGATGTGACGGAATGGCTAAGACATGTTTAGCCTAGGTATAGGCAACGTATTTTCGGAGGCATTTTAAATGATAATTTAGCGCAAGCATTCGAAACAAAATGTATTTATTTACTAGTATGATAATTGAATGATTCCTATTTAATTTTCCGAAAGAAGTTCTCAAGAAGATCAATTTTATATAAAGAAGACAGCAACATTCTAACAGGAAACCGATTAGTCGAGTATCGTTTTCGTATTCAATACTCGGTACTACTGAGCGATACTCGAATACTCGAGTACTCGTTGACATCCCTAATATATATATATATATGTAGCATTGATCTGTATCTGGTTTACAAGCAAGTCTGTTAAATAATGGACTGTACATGTATCTGTTTGCAAGGATAATTCCATACAAGGAGAGTCCGTTAGTAAAAACTCATCAAAGATATCGTGCTTATAAATTCCTATGTCAGAAACGAGTTACGTCTGCACAAGACTTATCAGTGGCTTTTGCATCAAAACAGTTGGAAGGCCATATCAAACACGAACACGAAGAGCACTGAAAACCAGAATTTTCAAAAAGTTGTGCTAAAAATGGCTACGGCCATCCATGCACATGGTGTATACAATGCTTAGCAGGGGCAGATCCAGCCATTTCTAAAAAAGGGGGGGGGGGGGGGTCCTAACCCAGGATAAAGAGGGGGGGTTCCAACTATATGTCCCCATTCAAATGCATTGATCGTCAAAAAAAAGGGGGGTTCCAACCCCCGGAACCCCCCTATGGATCCGCCACTGGCTTAGTGTTTGGAATAATTAAGCATTGTATAAATAGTAACCTTACAAAAATGACCGTATCAATGAAGTTTACTTCAGTACAGGAGTGAAGACTCCTGGGCTCGTGATATAACTAGTTGTAGTCTATTTATTCTTGATGATACATTTGTTTCAAAAGGAAATCTGCAATTTAAAACATGAACATAAATAAAATTTATAAATTATTTAAAATACTAGCAGCCTTGAACCATATCAAATAGATATTGAAATAAATCAAACATAAGTTGCATAATTAAAACAATATTGACACATTTTAATTTATAATTGAACTGTGTATAGGTCCTGTATTAGCTGGAGTTGTAGGAACTAAAATGCCGCGATATTGTTTATTTGGAAGAACGGTCAGCATTGCATCAAAGATGGAGTCTCAAGGACGAGGTATAGCATATTTCTCTGAAAAGTATTCATTAGATGTACAAAGGTTAAAGATCGTGGCACATTGCAATGGGAGAAGTGAAATCAATTTTGTTTTTGCCGGTTAAAAAAAAAACAAGAGTAGACTGTCAGGATTATTCAATTTTCACTAAATCGTACTATAAATTTAAAGTTTTAATGTTCAAAAAATTTCAAAACAATTGTTTTAATCATTTATATATAATAAAGTATGAATGAAAGAATATGTGGGGTATACATGATACGTTAACGAAACAGCAACCCAAAAAAGAAAAGCTACTTAGTCAGATGTTAACATACGTTTTACAACAATAGACAAGTATATACACTGTGTCAAACAATAAATCTAAGTCTAGAAAATTTGTGAATAAATTTAATAGTTACTGCCAAAACATTTACCCTCAACAACAATTTCCACGGAGGACAAACATATTGGCATGTGACCAAAGACAACCTGACATGGGACATGCACATGTGGTGGAGTTTTCTCGCACTCAACCCTTGCCTTTTAATCTGATTTGTGAACAAAAATCTTTTTTCTTCCAAGGGACAAACACATTTTTGAGACTTAGATTAAAAACGATTTTTCAATAACATTCAGGAAGAAGAGGGTTTAAAACAAAAAATCAATGTTGAATTAATTTTTTCCTTATTTTCAATAATATATTTCAGCCAACAAGATACAAATAAGTCAAACAACTAGGGATCTTCTAATTACGATTGGTGGGTTTGTAATGGATGAAAGAAGAGACAGTGAAATGCGAGTAAGTGATTTCTTTTTCACATGTTATACATTGATTGATGTTTGTTTTACACCGCCTCAGTTATATCGCGGCAAAGGAATAATTCATATTGGTAATGTATCTGTTTCTTAGAAGAGAACAAACATAGTTTTACTAAATCAAACTTTTGTATAGAAAATAATCTTACCGACTGTAAAAATAAAACACACACCTGCATAAAAAAAACCCTCATAGAACAATTCTAGAATAATTGTAATATTGTCCGAATGCTTTATTGTTTAACTATGTCAAACGCGGGAAATGCTGTATTGTTAAACTACGTCAATCGCGGGAAATACGTTTTCCGTATGGAGATAGTTTTGAATAAAAGTCTCTAATGCTAAGGACTTATCGAAACAACAGATCAATGTTTTTTTTCTTATCCAATTGTACTGTAACGGTAGTATACAAATAGATCCAGTATACATTTGTCAGTGGCTTTGAATATAATCACTCGGTTACATAGTAAAATTATAAGGCAATTCCACGGGAAGAAACAGTCAAACAAACGAGACAGGATATACAGAGGGGTAATATAAAAAACAACACCATGGCAAAAGAGTAAAATGACGATATTACAAAAACAAACTTCACAGAGAATTAGTAATTGAGTAACACGAACTCCATCAAAAACCGCTTGAACACATGTACTCTGGAAGATTAAGCAGTTACTGCTCCGCTAGATGATAATTTGCATTCGGTTATGCCACAAGCGATGAAAAGAAGGAGGGTTGTGGGTACGACAAGTGGAGAATATTAGTTAGTGTTCAATCGCTTACACATATTCCACAATTTCCACATTTAGATGAAACAGATTTATACTTTAGTGTGAGAGAACATGATTTATTCATTAGCTGTACTTGGCTTTGAACTAGCTTTCAGTAACTGTTGTTCTTATATTGTACTGTTACACCACTGTCCCAGGTTAGGGGAGAGTTGGGCGCTTATTTACACGTTTAACTCCGCCACATTCTGTATATTCCTGTCCCAAGTCAGAAGCCTTTAAATCAGTGGTCGTCATATTTGTTTTTCGTAAATGGTATTGTTATAAATTAGGCCGTTAGTTTTCTTGTATGAATTGTGTCACATTTTTCATGTCAGTGCCTTTTATAGCAGACTATACGATATGGAGGTTTTCATTGTTAAAGGACGTACGGTGACTCAACGTTTCGGCCTCAGGCCTTTTTCATAGACTGTCAACATAAGAAAAATACATCTTGATTCACTTTTACTACTTTTCTAATGACTGTCACGTTGTTATGTACATTGAGTCATAGTGAAGTACATTCAATTTAAAATTTAAAGACCTTTATGACAATGATGACGGAACATTCAGTATCATAAATTAGATAAACACATAGCTGAGAGGGAGAGATATATATATGCACGCGATTTGGTGTCACGATATCTCAGTTGCATGAGTTCGAATCCCGGCGAGGGAAAAACAAAAAATTTGCGAAAGCAAATTTACAGATCTAACATTGTTGGGCTGATGTTTAGACGAGTTGTATATACAGAATGTACACAGCCATGTATCACCATCACTGCTTGTGATCAGATGGAGAAATCTGTTGTAGAGTTGTCACTGTTTCAGACGTATTTATAAATATAATTATTTCTGTGACTGTGTCTTGCATTAATTTGTAGGATCCTTTACAATAGATATTTCAGCTGATCTGTAACAATTCCATCTTCATGCCTTATATATCATTACTGTCTTACGACGCTAGATTAAAACTGACGAGGAAAGGTAACACCCGGCCACCGGAAGCTTTAATATTGTGAAGCCTAGGTGGTCGTGTTGTTTAGCGCGTCGGATACAGTGCAGGCGATTTGGTGTTACGATATCTCAGTTGCATGAGTTCGAATCCCGGCGAGGGAAGAACAAAAATTTGCGAAAGCAAATTTACAGATCTAACATTGTTGGGCTGATGTTTAGACGAGTTGTATATACAGAATGTACACAGCCATGTATCACCATCACTGCTGGTGATCCGATGGAGAAATCTGTTGTAGAGTTGTCACTGTTTCAGACGTATTTATAAATATAATTATTTCTGTGACTGTATCTTGCATTAATTTGTAGGATCCTTTACAATAGATATTTCAGCTGATCTGTAACAATTCCATCTTCATGCCTTATATATCATGTACTGTCTTACGACGCTAGATTAAAACTGACAAGGAAAGGTAACGCCCGGCCACCGAAAGCTTTATTATTGTGAAGCCTAGGTGGTCGTGTGATCTAGCGCGTCGGATACAGTGCAGGCGATTTGGTGTCACGATATCTCAGTTGCATGAGTTCGAATCCCGGCGAGGGAAGAACAAAAAATTTGCGAAAGCAATTTTACAGATCTAACATTATTGGGCTGATGTTTAGACGAGTTGTATATACAGAATGTACACAGCCATGTATCACCATCACTGCTGGTGATCCGATGGAGAAATCTGTTGTAGAGTTGTCACTGTTCCAGACGTACTTATAAATATAATTATTTCTGTGACTGTATCTTGCATTAATTTGTAGGATCCTTTACAATAGATATTTCAGCTGATCTGTAACAATTCCATCTTCATGCCTTATATATCATGTACTGTCTTACGACGCTAGATTAAAAGTGACGAGGAAAGGTAACACCCGGCCACCGAAAGCTTTATTATTGTGAAGCCTAGGTGGTCGTGTTGTTTAGCGCGTCGGATACAGTGCAGGCGATTTGGTGTCACGATTTTTCATGTTGGGACCTTTTATAGCCGACTATACGGTACGGGTTTTTCTCATTGTTGAAGGCCGTACAATTGCCTATAATTGCTTACATCCACTTCATTTGAATTTTGTTGGATAGTTTTCTCATTGGCAATCATACCACATCTCCTTATTTTTATATTGTATATAGATCAGATTGTTAGTGCCTCGCCTTGGTTGACAACGTTTTTCGGGGTAACATTCTGCTCTATCACCCTATCAGCTATGTGTTATTTATATAACATCTACATCATTTGAACTCTGTTGGATAGTTTGTTTTCTCATTGGCAATCATGCTTCATCTCCTTTTTTGATATATTCAGTGGATATGGATAAAAAAAAAAGGGGAATAACAAATGTGATTATTTATGTCGATGGGTTACTGTCTCATTGACGTATACACCACATAAGATATCTTTCATTATAAAAATTAAGTTATTACTGCACCAGATGCGCATTTCGACAGTTAGTGTCTCTTCAGGGATACTCGAGGCCAAGACATTTGAAAATCTAAAACCTAGGCCGTTTTACAAACGTTGTAGAGCTGATAATACCAAAAAATGACCAACAATAAAATTCATATTAGAAACAATTTTTGAAACTCCTAAATATTAACAAGTACGTTATTGGGTACCTACCAATTTTTGCAATATGATAGGGCATCGTTTTCTGCGTACAAAAAGGTGCAAAAATAAAATCATTCTCTTATTTTATTCATTTATTATGGATTGGTTGTCAACCAAACTGAAATGAAATTGTTTGCCATTTATTTTAGACGGATCGGGATGTCATGAATGCTTTCAGTGACATGGTTCGCACTTACTGGTTACAGCGCCGTGATGGGTTTACAGGGAACTTCTCAGATGCTTCTGGAAATTCCACTGATGAAGAAACACATTTTTCAACAAATAAATCAGGAGGTATGATCGTGTATTTTATTTTAGAGAAGTCTTGATATCTGACGTACGGAATGTATATACATTATGTATCCATTAAATTGATTGATTGATTGATTGTTGGTATTTTACGCCACTTTCAGCACTATTGACTTTATCATGGCTGTCAGTTTTATTGGCAGAGTAAGCTGGATAGCCCAGAGAGAAGCACCGAACTTCGGCAGGAAAACGGACAATCCTAGTCAATTAAGATTGGAATCGAACATACCTGCCACATGCAGGGTTCAAACCCATAACAGAATACATGTCGAATGTGCTTTGTTTATTCAAATCGGTGAAGTTACTGTCTCAACAACAATGTACATGTTTACACAGCGCTAACATATATTTTTAAAATTCATAGTGCTGTGGAGCAAGTTTTCTTATTTGCTCTCTTTTCCGTTTACATGTAAGAAGTGTTGTTATATATTACAAGATAATATGAACACTATTAGACTTGGGTTGAACGTCAATAAAACAGCATCTCAGAGACACAAAATACCAAATGATATACATGTATGTTTGAAGAATTGTATTATCAACACTGAACACTTTAAATTTGCAAAATACTCATTTCTATTTGTCTCATAGGAGTTTTTTAACCCATGAGATAAAATATATTCTATTGGACAAAATAAATCCCATGGGACCGAAAAGAATCCCATGTTTTTTTCAGTCCCATGGGATTTTGTTTGTCCAACTGAATGACATATATTTTTGTTATCCCATGGGACATATAAGTGTTCTGTGTTGATAATACAATTCTGTATGTTAAATTCAAATTGCAAGAGAAAAAACTTATAGTATAGACGTTAAAACTTGGTATTTAATAAATCCCATGTAATTCCGCACATTTTGGCTATTTACATGACACAGTATCTTTAAAAAAAAAGCGGCGTCGGATTTCTATATAAGTGTTCTCGTTATATTTCACAAAAATTAGGCTACGTTCTGTTGACTCGAACTTATCAAAAATAAAACAATATATATATATATAATATATATTTTATTATTTTTTTTCAATACTTTAAAATGTATTACTCATAATATTACAGGATTGTTCTTTTTTACTCATTTCAGGTTTGAAGTCTTACTACCCGCATTGAAGTAAACTCGAACACTCTGTACATATAGAATTAAAACAATGACAATTTTAGTTTTGGGCAAGCGTAGTTTGATTATATCGCAGATTAGACATGAGTGTATCACTCGTTACTCGTTACTTCTTTGCTCATTTTAGAGTGCTGTGATGATTGTATATATTATCTATTTCATTTTTTGTACTACACTGGTGGTTATGGCGTCAAATCATCTCATGATGCACCTGTCATATGTCTTAAATGTAATTAAATATATATATATACATCAGTTTGTCCTGATTATTCTTTTTGAGGCCCTGTACAATGAATGTCATGAATCTTGAATTTGGCTTTCAAATATGATGACGATACTGTTGCTGATGGACTGTTGTATTCCGATGGTTTCAACAGCCTCTGGATTCAGTGCTTCGGTACTGACATGGTTTATAATATACTTTTCTTAAATTTCCCGTTGTTAAATTTAGAAATTATTCAAACAAAGTCAGGCAAAGTTGATATTAGATGGATTCAATTATTCTTTTAATGTCCTTTTGGTCATTAGTACTGGACTGTACAAAACAGATTTTGTACAATAAATGTACATCACATTAAAAGTATAAAACTGTTACTTACAACTTGAAGTACAAATCCAGTACTTTAAAATTATGGAACTGAAATAGTACAATAAGTTCGAAGTGCTGAAATAGTACTATACGAATTATATATGCTTTCAGTACTCTAAAGTGAAAGTACTCAACACGTACAAATGCAAAAGAAGCTGTATATAGGCAATCTAACTAAATTTTCAAAATTTCAAAAGGGATTAGCAAAATTGTGCAAAATAAATTGCTATCTGTTTATGAATAAAAATACCAAAATGACGATATTCAAACCGTTCGTTTTTTAGTGATTATGAATATCATAAAGGCATCAGCTTTTTAAGTTTTAAGAGTCCAACAACTAGAGTAAAACGCAGCTAGGTTTGAGCTATGTTGCTTTGTCCGACAAACATTACTTTATTAGCTGGTGGGCATAGTACTAAATTGTGTCTTCCTAGTTTCTGTATGAAATATATAAAGTACAGTAACCGATTTTTGAGTGTAGGATAGCATGAATTCGTATCATCGAGTTTTTTTTTTTTATCTATTGTTACCTTATTTTAGAGTTAAGTACTTTTTCTGTATTGATATTTCTCGTATTATCAGTAATGTACCTTTTTTGTTGGTCCAGTTGTCAAGATTAATTGGAGAAGAATTGAGGTCTAAAATAACTACGCAAAATATGCATGTGCCTGTTCAAAATCTGAAATCTCAACAGTGGTTTCTTATGTCATATTTTTACGTTCTGTTGTCTATATTTTTTGTATAATCTGGTGTTTATGACAGATCGACATTTTCTGTTTAATTTGTTCACACTTTTTAGACTAGGGACAATTTATAGCTTGACTTGATGTATAGGCGCGATTCTATTGTTGTAAATTGTACTTTGCCATTTAAATTATTTTGATGATTTGTGTCGTTGGGTTGCTATCCCATTGACGTATACCATACATCTCCTTTTATTCATTATTATATTATGTAATGTAAGCACATTTCCAATTTGAGTATGAATTATGCTGTTATACATAGAAGAAATTATGAACTGATGATGGCACAGTATTACCAGACACATGCCATCTCTTTTAAAAGTCAACTAATGTGATAATGTATGCACAAGAATTTCTGAATTTTAACGTAAACAACTGTTCAATCTGTAAAGTAAAATTTATCACAAGACATTTACAAACTTTGAAATTTCTTGATAAAAATCAATCTATTCAATATCATTCTTTGCCTTCAAATTTTTTTGTAAATAAAGAAATTATCAATTTTTTAACGCTAATACTATCTGGTGATTTCACCTGGAAGTCAAATTTGACAAACAATATTATGTAATTTGACAATATTTAAAGCTTCATTTTTATAGTTGTGTCTTATGGTTAGCTTTTAGTTCATTTCTTTTTTCATCTTGCTTTTTATTCATTGCTCCTGTTTTCATTCCGGTATTCCAATGAGTACTTATAGTGCACCACTACTGGGCGATGTGTTTTTTCTACTCGTACTCATACATAACCTTCTCAAGTCTTAAAAAAGAACCATCTTGCAAAGTTCTTTAATTACTTTTTTGGATATATTGATGATGTTCTGTCACTCAAAAAAAAAACCATTTCAATGAGTGCTTACATCTCATATATCCTAGTTAACTTGAGATTTCGCTATCTCAACTCACTTTCGACATATTTTCGCGGTCTTGGAGCTTTAGATACCAGTATAGTCGTCTGATCTGTAATAGTAACGAGTGTGTCTTATTCCAAATTGCAACATTTTTATTGTTGTTTGGATTTGCATGGCGGGTGATGCATGCATACAAGGAGATACTTTCCCTGTCGAGGCATCCGGTCTCACTCCTTTTGGAGTTCATGTGATTCCCTCAGTTTTTGTTTGTTACCTTTATTTTCTTTACCTTGTCGATTAACGAGATTTGGGCATCAGTAAACTACTGTCTCCTTGATGTAGCTATATGTACAGACTTAATATTGATTGATTATTAGTGTTAAATGCTCATTTCAGCACTCTTGACTATGTTATGGCGTAGTGAGTGTAGTCAGGTTAAAGATCACGGTACATGAATCGACATCTGAGGCGCTACAGACTTAAAAAAGGGTTGAGTCAACGCTAAAACAACGTAAAAGTACATTGTATCAAATACATGCATTTGTTTACATTAACTATAAATCATCATCATATCGATAGAAAAATATATAACAAAAGTACCGAACTCAAAGGTGAATCCAAAACGGGGGAGTCCATAAAAACTGACAAAATCAAACATTATCAATCAACGGAACAAGTGAAAAACAACTTCCATATTCCTGACATGATACAGGCATTTTCCGATCTAATTAAAACACCCACAGTATAATTGCTCACGAAATTGCTCTCGAACTTTAAAAAAAAAACAAAATTCTCAGCAGGAATATCGAGAAGCAAACCCTAGAAAACCTAGTGATGTGAAAAGACTTCTAAAATAATTTGTCGCTCTGTTTTTGTTTTTGTATTTTGTTTTGTACATAAATGAATCTAACAAGACTTGACTATTTGTTCGAGATCTTCTATATTAACTTTATCTGAAGAAACGACAGTTTTGTTATACTAAATAAATAAATCTGTGTTTGTGTGTCGCTCCTACTAGATTACAGAAATCGATATGACAGTGTTTTGAAGCTAACATGCAGAGTCTATGCATGTGGATTGCTAACTTTTGATTGTTCGATTATCCGGGAAATAGTTTGGAAAGAAAAAAAGATTTCTGAATGTCCCTCTGTCAGCAAGTTGTCTACGTATCAAACGCTTTCTTCTCCATCTCAAAACAAAAGTTGCAATGTAAAATTTACCATCTAAACTTTATGAAGATCTGATGAAACAATATAAAAGCTTGAATGGCGACTCCAACGTAAGGAATCTTTTTTTAGGAATCATGACAATTTGAAAAAAAAAACAATAATATTAGTCAATCAAGTTACAATTATATGTTGTAATCAAAGCAAAATATCGTGAACCTAAATCCATCAAGCAAAACTTCAAAATAATGATGGATGCAGTCGCGGATTATGCCAGGCAATGGGTAAAACGCAAAAATGAAGATGTTGATACTCTTTCCGAATGGGTTAAGGCTGTGGGGTCGTTGATACAAATTACAACTGAACAACTGACCGAGTCTATGAAAACACATGCTACATCAATCCCTAAAGACACAACATCTGCGGAGCCCCTGTCCTACATCTATGACAAATATGTTGATGTCCCCGCAGATAAAGCCCCAAACAACATCTTTTTAGTTTGTAAATCACATTACATAAGCTGATTGATAAAGGAATTATGTATTGACAATTTACTTGGATACTCAACATATACCCCACGACAATTACCGAGGAGGAAACCTGAATAATCCTAGGTCTGATCTATGTTCTTTTGGAATTTCAACCAAAGATGAAGAACTGATCTTCCTTCACTGTATTGGATACCTGAATAATATAAGTTTCCTTGCAAACTACGTTATATTGCTTTAAGTGCTCCACGAAACCACTTCTAAATTATTAACATCAATTTATCAGCAATAAAAGCCGGGATTCAACGTTATTGTGGAAGTACCTACTCTAGGGGTGGCGTAAATCAGATTTGGATACTACAAAATTCCAATGATCTGTTAGAGTACATACAATCTTAAACTCTTTGCTCTTGCAATAGCATTAAAAGATTTTACTTTTCTTCCTTTTTCACAAGTATCCCCATTTCAAAATAAAGGACAAATTGAAAGAGTTGGACCTGCTTTGTTTCATAAAAAACCGAATGGCCAACATAGATACAAGTAGCTTTACTTAGGGAGGGATAAATCGTACTTTGTAAAAAATCCCTCTGATTTAAAAAAAAAATTCTCTGAAACTAACATTATCAAGAAGCTTGATTTCTTGATTGACAACATATTTGTTAAGTTTGAAGGACAAAAAAAATCGTCATTCGCATTGTAACCAACTGTGCTCCTCTTTTTGACGACTTGTTTTCATACAGGTGCTAGTTAGGAAGAATAAAAAGAAGGCAGCATTATCTTTTAACTTCACTTACTGCTATAAAGATGATGTCCTCTTACTGAATAATTAGAAGTTTGGTGACTATTTGAACGCCATCGAACTTGTATAAAAAAGGATGTAACAGATACAGTTAAGTCTGCCTCATACCTTGACTTACACCTAGAAATTGACAATGAGGGTCATAAATGAAGACACAAGTACGACAAACGAGATGATTTCAGCTTCCCAATTATGAACTTCGCATTTCTATGTAGCAATATTCCAGCAGCGCCTACATATGGAGTATATATCTCCCAGTTGATACGATATTCCAGAGCTTGCATTTCCTATCATAATAACCCGGATAAAGGGTTGCTGCTCACAAGGAAGCTATTAAACCAAGAGTACTAAGTGGTGAAGTTGGAATCACCCCTTTGAAAATTTTACGGACAACATCATGGGTTTGTTGACCGTTGTGCAATATCTGTTTCACAGATGACGATGGATAAGTTCCGATTGTCGTAACCACAATGCCGTCCTCTTGCTTCAAAAATCCTACCGAATTGATGTTTTTAAAACAAAAGTGCGAGACGCAGTGACGCATTAAATGAATCTGATTTAATATTTGGTAGAAACCGTTTTTGTACAATAAATGAAAGTAAAGTGATCCGAAAACAATCCAATTGAAGCAAATTCGACGTACGTTGATCAATTAAGAAAATGGCATATTTAATGAACTAATTTAAACTTATATTACTTTTGTTGTAAGAAACTCACTAAAAGCCTATATTTAGAGGTTCATGGCACGTTAACAATAACCGACCTTGACATGTTTTGCTATCATAGTATGATCGACTTATTAAATATGTTCCGTCATACAAGTTGTACATGTAGCCAGTAGTTATGGACACGTTTGCCATCATTTTTCGGATTATTGCCTTTACTCTGTTATTTGCGCTCTTTCTCAACATTTGTGTCAACAATTATTTATACATTATTTCATTTGTAATACTAAAGATAACTCATAGTTACGTGGAGAAAAAATACAAAAACAGTTTACCTGTGAGTAACAAAGCAATCCTTATTACAGGCTGCGATACAGGTATGTTCATATAGTTATTCTGTATCAAAATTGTAAATAAGATGTGTTCGTTGCAAAAACAGGTACACGGGTCAAACTTGAGGAACGGCACTAACATAATAGTCATTTCAATTTAGTGTCCAAGAGCATTAACAACAGGTAAAAAGACATCATAACAGTTATGTTTAATGAGATTTTAAATACATAAATACAAGAGAATGGCAATTCAAAACAATAAACAAAAAGAAAAACAATCAAAACAAAAACAAGTATAAGAATATCGAATATTTCAACAAATTATTTCCAAATTAAAAATACGAATTTCCATGAAAAACTGGAGGTCAATTTTGAAATTCATAGACTTTTTATGCATTCCTTACACTAAATCCGTTGGATGTGGACTGATTGATATTTTTCTCTGGCAAAAACATAGTCTATTTTTAGGTGAAATCTGAGTTTTAGCTACAATGTAGTCATCAGTTGATGTGAGTACTCTTGGCTATTAGAGTTTTTTTTAGCTTAAACCAGGCTGTTGGTTATCCTTTTTGTAATATTTCACTTCATATTTTGTTATTTCTATACCTTTTAAAGCTTACTGTTCAGTATAGAGTTTCCCATTCTTAAAGGCCGTACGGTGACCTGTAGTTGTTCACTTCATTGTCCTTTGATCTTTGGTAGATAATTATTCCAAATGCAATCATACCACAACTTAAACTGTTCATGTTTGCCTATTCTGTAATTCTCATCAATGTCAAATTCGATTAATATAGATTCAAATGATCAATAAAAATAAAGTGGAATGATTAACAATGAGAAAAGGAATGAGCAAAAAACAAATTTGGTAGACAGTAACCCACGACAACCATTGCATTACAGGCTACTGACATAAAAATGTTTGTAAGGGTCAACAATCCCCTAACATGGGACAGAAATGTTACAGTACAATATTAGAACAACAAGTAAAAATAAGTTGGAAAGGCCTTTACTAATCAGATCAACACAAAGCACACAAAAACCTAACAGGTATGAAAATAAACACAAGGTACCATTCTAAGAGTACTCGCAATTACTGAAAGCTAGTTCAAAGTCAATTTCAACTAACAAAATAACTATGTTTTCTAATTAAAACACCAATCGGTAAACATCCAAAGTTTTTAGTGTAAAGACGTCATCAACAGTCTGAGAAAAGCATGTGCAATTTCTTATTTGATCAATAATAGATCAATGGACAACGAACTTAAGGTTATGTAGTCAATTATATAAGGAAACATTGTCAATACATTTCATTAAAGTGATTACATCATTTCATTATACATTGGTATACAGATGAGAATAGAAAAAACTACGCCCTTACATAAGAATAGATTCTTTACAATGTGAAAATGAAAAAACACTTAATGTTTTAAGCGTCCGCAGTTGTTTTCTGGATTTACCTTCATCAAAAACGTTCAAAGCCTAAATTTTGTAAGTTAGGGATATACCAATTTAACTTTCCAAAAAAAAAGTACAAAGTGCTTCGCAGTATCATGAATAACGTCAACAACAAGCAATAAATTTTGATCAAGTCTTGAATACCCATACTGTAATTGAATTCGTTATCTTTCGTATATGATATCATGTTTCCTATTCTATATATCTGTCTAATCAATAGAACCTAAGCAACATCATAAGGCAACCATTCGGAACCGATTTTTGATAATAATAATTTCAAGATGGCGTGAATATCGAATGAAACTAATAGCTTTGCGCAAATATGCTAAGCAAAAAGTACCACTGAGAAATGAAGTCTTTTATTCCTGTCCTTACTTATATAATGAATATAAAATGAACAACATTGAATATGAAAAATACTTATCAATAACTGCAGTTGATAATTTGAAAATTCTTATTAAAACTACAATAAATGCATTTTTACGACTACTTGGTAATTTGTTTATACCGAATGACTGTGTCAATCGAATAAACTCAAATGTTATACAATGTCAACAGAACAATAAAAACTTTCAACCTTGTGTATTTTAAGGAGCGCGAGAAGTGACGTTTAGGTATGAACAAAAGTACAATTAACACTTTTTTTTAAATAAAAATACTGTTCGGTTTTTTTTTGTGCGCACTACAACATTTACCTACTTCGTTATTATTATTTACTGGTTTTTCAATATGTTTTATTTTCTTGGTTTTTGAATGGACATGTTAAACATTTAAATAAAACAATTAAGGCTGTTTTCCTTTTGGAATATTTTTGTAGGTTTTGGATATTATTTAGCAAATAGATTAGCTAATAAGGGTTTTACTGTTTTTGCTGGTGTTTTAAACATAAAGGAGAATGGTGCCATCAATTTGAACGACCGAAAGTTATCAAATTTACATGTTGTGGAGCTGAACGTTACAAAAATAGAACATATACAAGAAGCGGTATTAAAAGTACAGATGACCTCTGCAGGTACATACAATATATATATATAAACATATTCACGGAGTGTACTTGACAAACCGTGCAGTTGCATTGCAAATAAAAGACTTGTACACTGCATTTAATATATAAAAAGGTGTAAATTAAATCAGGGAATTAGTATCCGAACGTTTTTAAGAAGCTTAATAAAGCATACGAGCTACGCTAAACAATGGAAAAATAACAAAACAGTGGAAAAAACCTGGAACTACTAAATTTTGTTCTTGGAACCCGTTGGCAAGTAACGTAAAAGTTGATTTTTCTTTTTAGATATTTGAGAGAGGTCATAACATGGCAGGAGTAATTATATACGTTCATTTTTGCTAGAAAAAAAGAAAAGCGTTTTTTCCAAAATAATTAAATATCCATGAGGTATTCAAATCACGCAAGTTATTAAGCAATGATGACATACTGCACCAACTTTTGGGGATACTTAATCGTCTTCTATCAGTAGATATTTTTTTGGTATATTATTACTACTTCTACTCATTTTGATAAAAATAAGCACACCGGATGCTTATATCTGTAATGAATTTAATTGATTTTTTTTTCTTTATGCAGGATTATGGGGCATAGTAAATAATGCAGGGATTGATTTACCTGGTGAACTTGAATTGTGTACTTTAAATTTATACAGGAAGGTTATCGAGGTGAATTTGTATGGACAGTTGGCTATTACAAAGGCTTTTTTACCAATGATTCGAAAATCAAAAGGTATTTTCTTCATATATAAAATTGAGAATGGAAATGGGGAATGTGTCAAAGAGACAACAACCCGACCATAGAGCAGACAACAGCCGAAGGCCACCAATGGGTCTTCAATGCAGCGAGAAACTCCCGCACCCGGAGGCGTCCTTCAGCTGGCCCCTAAACAAATATGTATACTAGTTCAGTGATAATGGACGTCATACTAAACTCCAAATTATACACAAGAAACTTAAATTAAAAATGATACAAGACTAACAAAGGCCAGAGGCTCCTGACTTGGGACAGGCGCAAAAATGCGGCGGGGCTAAACATTTTTTTTGAGATCTCAACCCTCCCCCTATACCTCTAGCCAATGTAGAAAAAACAAACGTACAACAGTACGCACAGTAAAACTCAGTTTAAGAGAAGTCCGAGTCCGATGTCAGAATAGGAAAATAAACAAAATGACAATAATACATAAATAACAACGGACTACTAGCAGTTACTGACATGCCAGCTCCAGGCCTCAATTAAACTGATTGAAAGATTATGTCTTTATCATATGAATATCAGGCACAATCCCTCCTGTTAGGGGTTTAGTATTATACCATCAAAAAATATATAGGAAGACCATAACCCGTGTCATGCCAACAACTGGTTTTAGAATAAATATGTTTAATTCTGATGCAAAGACCCTATAAGTGAATCAATATTAAAGCCAAAATATGCAATCTTTAATGACCTGACAACAGTATCGTAACTATATCCCTTCTTAATAAGTCTGTTTAAAGGTTTTGTATTTAAATGAATACAAGTTCATTTATAAGTCAACAGAAAAAGCAAAAACTATATGCCAGTATAAAACAATTCTTTGAATATTGTGGTACAGTTACTACTTATAATATTTTTATATGTCTTTTATTTTCCGAGTGAATGCCTTGATGCGTTATTGTCTTTTATGTTTTCAGCTCAGTTTTACGTTCACTGACCTATTGAGTAAAGCCATTTACAAATGATTTTTACAGTTTGTTCTTTTGTTGTTCTGTTTCACTACTGTCCCAGCTTAAGGTGATGTAAGAGAGCTCACAGACAATATTAACCCCGCCATATTCTGTATGTGCCTGCTCCGAGTCAGGACATTGTTTTTCACTAGCAGTGAATTTTGTCTTTTATATTTGTTTTTCGTAAGTTATTTCGATATAATATAAGCCGCAAGTTTTCTCGTTTAAATTGTTTAATATTTTGTCAAGTCGGGGCGTTTATAGCTGACTACTTGTATTCGGCATGAGTTTTGCTCATTGTTGAAGGCCATACGGAAGCCTATTATTTCTTACATCTACGTCATTTGAACTTTTGTGGATAGTTGTCTCATTGGCAATCATACCACAATAACAGTGGAGCGCTAACACAAAAACATCACCAGCATTCTAATAGGGAAGACCGACTAAAATGATTCTACATAAGTTATACCATTGTCATCATCTTAAGACACAAGAACTGTCGACGTCTGAAAATTGAGTAATTCTGTCCTATTCGCGGTTGAGACATTTCAGACCGAATATGGATTCGCATGTTTGGCGATACATACATAGCAGAAGACGTCTACCCTGTCAATGCACCCAATATCAATCCGTTTGAAGTTTATACGATTCTACCAGGATTTTTTTCCTCTTGTTTTGTGTACTTCGAATAGATTTACGAGTTTAGAACATTGCCAACTAATGTCACTTCTTATTTCATATTGTTTTCCTAGTTTAGAAAATGTCACTTTTGTAATAATAAAAGAGAATTTATTAGCAATATTCATTACACGTAATAATTACAAACAACGTTGATATTAATTTGTCAATCTGACATTTCAGGTAGAATTGTCAATGTTTCTAGTGTCCTAGGCAGACAAACCTGGCCTGCACGATCTGCATATCAAATTAGTAAACACGGTATAGAGACTATATCAGACTCTTTGAGATTAGAAATGATCAAGTTTGGTGTCGGTGTATCAATTATTGAACCCGGAGTTTACAGTCATATCACTAGCATAAATTCTGAATCAGCCGTATGTATGAATATAATCAAGTTATATTTAGTTATCATTGGATTTTTGTATTTGTTTCTTTAACGGAAAATATCTTTTATTGGAAGCGCCTTTGTGACAACACTAAACATGATATTACGAATATCTTTATCGATCATAACTATGACTACGTAAGTGCATAACACATTTATGGCAAAAAGGGAATTGTAAAAAGGTAATTCCGAATTAAAGATTCGGAATTATAGAAATATGCCTTTCAGCATGAAAATAACACTTTATAAATTTCGTGTTTCCGAAGTTATTTTCAGGATTAACCTTTATCCGGTACGCTCAAACCTTCAAATTTAAAAGCCAGAGATATTTCGTTTAAATGACGTAGATGTATGACCTTCATTCATTAATACGATATTGCCTGCTTTTGTTTCCACGTAACTTTTTTGTCGTCTGTAATGCTGTTAATGAATACAGTAGGGTTTTTCAAATAAATTTCAATGAACAGTATTTCGTAGACAGCTGTGTCATCAACTGAATGAGGTAATGAGGAGCAGGTTTCGATATTTGTTATGCCCCGTCACGTGTCTTTATGTCTGTCCTAAGATTCAGTCAGTAATTTTGTCAGGTGTAATGTTGTTGTTTTATTTAGGATAGTTCTGAATCCTTTTTCAATTTTTAGTAGACTCTAATATTTATTATATGATTTTTGCACTAGAAATTCTTTAAAGATATTGACCCGTTAATATTTATTTTTTCGCTGAGTTGCTGTTATTGACGTATTTTCTTGTTACTAATCATATTTTATCAAGCTACATTGCATTGTACCATGCTTGTCGTTAGTGTGGGTTGGATCCCCACATTGGTTTAATCAACAAATATGAAATTAATATTAGCTGTTTTTCCATAATGAATGAGAACAATCATAACTGATAGTCTTGGAGTATGATGTGTCGCATTTAGATAATATGCCTTCCTGCGGGCTGTTGCTTTAACATCTGACTTAATATATATAAGAAGATGTGGTATGAGTGCCAATGAGACAACTCTCTATCCAAGTCACAATGTATAAAAAGTAAACAATTATAGGTCAAAGAACGGCCTTCAACATGGAGCCTTGGCTCGCACCGAACAGCAAGCTATAAAGGGCCTCAAAATGACTTGTGTAAAACAATTCAAACAGGAAAACCAACGGTCTAATCTATATAAAAAAAACGAGAAAAAAACTCATATTAGTCACCATCATTCCCAATATGATACGTTAACGCTCTGAATAAGCATGTCATATCTAATGCTGGATGTTAAACATACTGGCATATCTTTTCAATTAGTCGAGTCGCGACATGCACATTTTTTTCTTAAATATATAAATATATATAAAGAGCACTTCGTTTATGTGTAGTGTGATCGACTTAAACAACAAATTGGTCAGATGTGGGAAGAAGCTTCTGCAGAAGTGAGAGAGCTGTACGGAAAGGATTATTTCTATCGCGCAAGTAAAAGGTATACCGAACAGTGCTCAAGGATTGACCCGACACTTGATACAGAAAAAGCTGTGGAACCTGTGACAGATGCTATGGAGGATGCTTTGATTAATGTTCATCCTAAACCTAGATACTTGGTCGATGGTGGAACTGGCATGTTTGATGGCTATTCTGTAAGTACAGTGCCGCGTATTCTCTTTTACAGTTTAGTTTTGCATACCGTTCAATGCTCGTTTGAATACCAGAAACAATTTATTTTTTCAAGATGACATTCGGCAATCTTTCTAGACACATTTTTGAAATGATTTGAATGAGACAGCATTTTTTACTCTACGAATGTTTTCAATGATCTTTCTAACAGAAACCTCAATGGTATCATGTATTACCATAGATTTTGAAACAAGTAATTAATATAAATATATCTCGAGTCTTAAATACACTGCTGATTTTGTTCTTCTTACTAATACATGTTCCTACCAGAAAAGCTCATGAAAATAAAAATACATAGACCACAATGTGCTGATGATACAAATTGCAAAGTTTTCTTTCATCAATTCAGCATGATTCTACTAATAAAATTTGATAAAAGCAGGTTTACATCATTTTTGATTTATTTGTTAATTGATTTGAAAATAATCCTTTATAGATTTAAAGCATCCTTCATCAGGAAGGCTCAACCCAAATATTTGAAAGCTAACGATGTATAAATACCTGAATAAGTGAGACGCTATATGACCAAAAGGGACCTACTTTTTGTTTATCCGTATGAGCCACTTGTAAAATAGAACGATAGAACAACCACATATACATGACGACGAAGTGGTCAATTTCATGTTCTATATCTGAAGAGGTTAATGGGTGAATTGCGTTCCTCATTACAGCTGTGAAAGTGCTTATCTGTGGTATCCTCAGAAAAACATCAACATATTTGAACATGCAGTATTTTCTTCAATCCGAAACCAATTGTTGTTAAAGGGTCCTGACATATCAAGAAGAAGAAGAGCAAATCTGATGTACCAAATAATTAAAAATTAATCGAGATTGAGTATAGACTTGTTCATGTCAAATGTTAACAAGTTGAACAATATTAAAATAAACAGCTGTTGTATGCAAATGATATAACTTTTCACAAGTGACCAAAATGATAAGATTGTAAAAACTAAAAAAAACAGTGCGATTTTCAATAATGAGAAACTCCATACCTTAAGTAAGCTATACAATGTTCTAGCATGACAAAATGTGAAGCAATTCAAAAGAGAACATCAAAGGCCAGAATTCTGCTATAACAATAGAAAGCAAAATATGGCAAACAATACCAACGAAAACCACTGAATGACAGGCTTCTGACTTGAGACTGGCACGTAGGGAATGTGGAAAGGTTGAACATGTTTGAGATTGCTCAATCCTCCCCAAAACTGGGACTGTGTTGTAACAGAACAACATATGAACAACTGTAAAAATCAGTTTAAAAGGGCTTACCTAAACAGATTGACACGAAGCACTCACACAACTATAAAAAAAAAACGAAAAAGAAAACCCACAAGTTTCCGATCTAAGAGTACTCGCAGTTTATAATTGAAAGCTAGTCAATAACAAATTTCAACTAATGAATAAACCATGTTTTCCTAGATTACAATATTAAGTACACATCAAAATATATTTGTTCCTGAATTCTATTTCAGATGTATGCTCGAATCTATAACTTCTTGCCAGAATACATCAATGACTTTCTTTTGAAGATAAAGACAGGATGTTATAATAAGATAAACAAAGTCAAAAATTAATTTCCATGCAGCATTGTTAAATGTTTGTACACAAAATGCAAGAGATGATTAAATTTGTAAGGCTGTATGTATTTATTAAGGAGCAAAATTGCTATCTAAATATGATATTTACATAAATCAATAAACTGAGAGTGACACACCAATGAGTTTTTACAAGCGTTATTCAACGTATAGAGAAGGTGACACTCTCCCTACACTAGGCATTGGATTAAACACCCTTTTCCGACCAAATTTGCTGCATATTTAAAATTCTGCACAGCCAAATTGACGCCCCTCTTAAGTATTGGCTTACAGCCGGCTGGAGAATTTGATGTCAATTTTGTACACCAAAATAAATCTATAACAGAATTGCAAATACGAATTATCGTAATTTAGCCACAGTGGTTAGTTTCCAGTTAGCAGAAGCAATGTACATTGAAATCATATTTTCCCCATTTAAGTTGTTTGTGGTTGCAATAACAAACGACAAAGGCAACGTCAATGGTCAAGTATTATGCGTCCATAAAAAATATGTGTCTTTAAATAAAATCAAACTGGCTCGTTTAAGTTGAAAAAAAAATCCGTTCCAAAATATACTAAGCACAAGTATGTTTTACATCGATGAAAAAAATTTCGTCCAAAATCCAATGTCGAAACCATTTATCAACCATGAATTTTAACACATTGTTAATGTCTCTGACATGCAGTATATATTCAATGTAAAGTTTAAATAGTTGTTTGGTTTTATAGTGATTGAGGTTATAACACAATGTTGACTGTAATACCCCAATTTTTTGATTTTTTTACTTATTATGCGTGTTTGGTTTAATGTAATGAAATTTTATACGACTGTCATACATGTGAGAGGTTTTGCTAGCTATAAAACAAGGTATAATCCACCATTTTTCTACATTTGAAAACGCCTGTACCAAGTCAGGAACATGACAGTTGTTTTCCGTTCGTTAGATGTGTTTGAGCTTTTGATTGTGCAAGTTGATAAGGGACTTTCCGTTTTGAATTTTCCTTGGGATTTTTGTTATTTTACTTTTTAAACATGATAATGTATTATAAGCGTATATGGCTGGTTTAAACCATGCATACAAAATGTGCATCACATTTTCTGTGTTTTTTTTTGTGATTAAGGAGTTGATTTTCGACCCGCCTCTTTAGAATATTTCGTTTTCAGTGCATAACTGCTTATTGATTTGGCCTTACAACTATCTTGATTTGAGCGCAAGTGATGAATTTTGAGTAAACAGACGCGTGTCTAGCGTTCTAAATTTTAAGCCGGATATCTTTGATGAGGTTTTAAAACCACTTTGTCATTCTCACTGCTAATGGACATTTTATTTCCGACGTTATCACTAGCCTAGCAGTCAGCATTTGTGCTTTTCTGTGCTGACATGAACTATCATTGATATGTCATTTTTTAAACATTTACTGTTCATTAAATCAATCGATATACTAATATATCTTTAGTGATGCTCGCGGCCAAAATATTAAAAAAAAAACCTAATACAAACGTTGAAGAGATAAAACCTAAGTTTAGCCAAATCTGGCCAAGGAATCAGAGCTCTAAATGATGGATATTTATTAAAATATTTAAAAAAAGAAATGTTTACTTATAATAGCAAATTTCATTCAAACAAGATCAGTATTGATTACTTTTCATTTGCATATCTATAGAGAAAAACACAAATCATGCTATCAAATTCAAAACGTTAAATGTTTGACGTATTTTGTTACACTCATAGAAACATACACTGTGCAAAACGTTAGTCTGTTTAATATCTAATTCACGCCGCCTCTAGAGTAGTTAGTTTCATATGAACTCTGCAGCAAGGTTTCGATTGCTGTCAGTAAAATCGATGTCATTTATTTGGAAAGATATTTGGGAAGCATTTAACGGACCCAGCAGTAACACGTTGATTGTAAAGACACTACGAGTGGAGTGCATCATAATGAATTCTTCGTCTTTGGTGGTTGACATTCTAAAGGAACATAAATATAACATAAATGGTTTACTTTTACAAATTGTGACTTGGGTGGAGAGTTATCTCATTGGCACTCAGACCACATCTTCTTATATCTATAAGGTTGTTCAGGATTTCATCCTTAGATAGAGTGTTAAAGTGTATGTTACAACAACAAAATAAACAAAACCTTTTATAGCTGACTATGCGTTATGGATTTTGCTCATTATTGAAGCCCGTACGGTGACCTATAGTTGTAAACTTCTATGTCATTTGGTCTCTGAAGGAGAGTTGTTTCATTAGCAATCATACCACATCTACTTAGTTTTTTATGTACAAATGGTCAGTTGAGCAGTGCAATCAATCTATCCATTTACTACTAATAAAACATATATTTAAAAAAAAAAGAAAAGAAATAATAATATTGATTTTTTTCGGATAAAGTTAACCAAAGGATGAATTCAGTGCACAAATATTCTATTTCATGCTAAATCTGCTTTTCGTCAAGACAATGGATCTATTCGTCTTTTTATAGAATTAAAACAGAAGTAATTATTAAAAATAAAACTTATTTCCAATCGGGCTTTGTACAACAAATTAAATATGACCTATTGTTACACAAAACGAAGAGCGTGACATGCTTATTGAACTATCTTTAAACTAGTTTTAAAGCAACAAATTTACACAATATCTGTATTTACTGGTTAACATAGTTAAGAAATGTCTCCAACGAGTTATCTAAGTGGCCTTGACTTTTCAGTTTTCATAACCTTGTCGACTGTGTTTATATATAATATAGTTAGGAATGACTATTTGAAGGTGTGACGAAAAGTTATGGACAAATTAACCGTTCTTTGTCGAACAATTGTGACAAGTCTGCCCTTTGCATTAGTTTTTAATATTTTTGTAAACAATTATGTTTACATTATTTCCTTGGTAATTCTAAAATAACGTACAGTTACGTGGAGCAAAAATACAAAAAAATTTACCTGTAAGTAAGAAAATTGTTCTTATACCAGGGTGTGATACAGGTAAGTACAATAGCATACTATCAGCATAGACCGTTCTTATTTAACCCGTGTTGACATCCTTCCAAGTTTGTCTAGGACTTTAGATCGATAAATAGAACAATAACATTTCGTTAGTAGAAATTGAACAAATAAGTTGCAATAATATGTAAATCTAGTTTATTAAAAAAAAGTGTTTTTAACTGTACTTTTAATTGGGGATACGGGAAATCATAGTCCTCCTTTTTTAATAGTCACTTTAGCTACTAGTACTATTATCGATAATCATTATTCATGTATTAATAAATGCTTTCTTCAGATGAGTGATCGTTTTGTTATGACAGGGTCTTGTCGAAAAGGAAAAGCAAGACAGAACAAATTTGGTTTGTGTAATTTGTCTGTTGTAATGTGCATACATTTTTCAACATGTATCAAAAACATTCTAAAATTCAGTGTGACCAATACCCCGCCCTCCCCCCAGTTTAAAAAGTAATGAAATACCTGTGACTTTTCCATTTTTAAATGGAACACATAACCACTACATGACCTTGTTTTCTAAACCACAAGTATCGTATGCCAGTTGGGTGGTCATTTTGACTACAAAACAAACAATTTTAACTATGTGTACGATGATTTTCATAGACAAAACACCCTTTCAATTTTGTATAAAGCCAGGTGCTCTGCCTAGATCTTCTTTGGATCTGGGTGATCTCGAAATTCTATTGCCTCACTAGAAATGAAATAACATCGTCTCATTGAACAGAGTTTTTTTTCTACAAAAATGTGAAACGTAGACACACATTTCTTGTTTAAGGTCATAAAAATCCTACTTTGTTAAAAACCACACTGATTCCAACAACAACTACACCGAAGATCGACAATATGTTTGTTAAGTTTGGTCGATTGAAATTTCAGCAGATATTCTGTATTACAATAGGTACTAGTTGTGCACAACTTTTGGACGACTTATTTTTGTACTCATATGAAATAGAATTCATACAAAACCTTCTCAAAGACAAAAAAGCCTCTTGCAAAGTCCTTTAATTTCACTTTCATATATATATATTAATGATGTTCTATCACTTAACCTAGATTTCAATGAGTGTTTAAATCTCATATGTTGACACTATACGAAATTCATTAAGGAGTGTACTTCTTACACAAAAACTGCTACAACAGAGTTCTATGAAAGAATGACTGAAATCGGCGATACTTAAGTTTTACGGTCACCATCACACATTGGTTGTGTCTCTGTCTCAACTCACTAGCGATATGTTTTTACGATTATAGATCTTTAGATACCGGTTTAGTTGTCTGATCTGTAATTTGACCGATTGTGTCCCATTCCCGATTGTGAATGAGTGTGAATTTGAATGGCGGTTGGTGCATACATAGAAGGAGACGCTTAACCTGTCGACATTCCCGATCTCGCTCCTTTTAGAGTTCATGCGATTTCCTTTATTTGTTTATTACCTGGATTTGTTTCTTTTTAATCGATTTACGAAATTTGAACATCGGTAAATTGTTGTCGCTTAATTTACGCCTATGTAGATAATCAAACGACTGCATGCAGTTGGTAAGTTTGTGCAGTCGATAAAAACGCGAAACCAGTCAATTCGTTTTGACCATATAAACTTGTCAGAGAAAACACTTTCAGTCCATTTACAATACTATTTTTTCGAAGTTTATCATTGTTAACAGCTGCTGTTGTTTATTATAATTAGGAATGTACATAATTACAGTATTAAGAAACCCCAAACCTACTACTTTTCTATCGTTATTTTTCGTAACTTCATAATAAATTGTACTTATTATTACAAGTTCATGTAGAGTAGCTAAATGTTTAAAAAGAAAATAAAAGGAAAATGTACCAAATGCTGTATTGAAAGTAATAAAATGTCCAGAAGTAAGCCAACTTTAAATATATAACAATATTGCTGGGTGTTGTCTATCTGAGAGAAAAAAAAACATATGTATTGCGAATAAATACATTGAATATAAATAAGTACTTTGCAATGAGAAATATAAACCCAATAACTCTTGGTAAATTGTTTTTGCTTTACCAAATCCATCAAAGAAAGTACGGCTGGTCACACTATATTTATA